GTCATTTCGACAAAGCACGCTCTTTTTGACACACTAATAGCTGTTTACAAAGCTTGTAAAGCTAAGTAATCTTCCGCTTTCAAAGCCCTAGTTAACCGCTAATTCATGATTATTTAAGAGATCTAACGGTGTTTAAAGGCCATTTTCGTTTTGGATGTTCGTCGGTGTCTAATTATGCCTTCAATCAAAATAGACTTTGCAGCGTAAACATATCAATTTCATTCAACAAATAAAAAGGTAACAATAACAATAGCATAACAATGATAAGAATTAAGATTTTGCTATTTGACGGCCGAACCCTCAGCTTCTTCAGGCTCCCCCTCAGGTTTCGGCTCAGGCTCGACGCTCTCAGCTAAGGGCACACTCGATTCCTACATGCAATCGTTGTTAATAATGGCACCTCTATGCGTGAGTTAGCATCGTGTTCAGTTTTTAGGCCTAGGTATCTAGCTCCCTTCCAAAAGAAACCCTACCCGAACTGAAGTTTTTAAAAAGAACCTGATTGGCCACTCTTGCCGCCAGTTGCACAAAAGTCCCTTTGGCTATTTCTGCAGACGATGGATCAGCAAGGAATGTGTGATGTTGCACAAGATCAGACAACCATCTCATCATACTAAACAAAAACGTGTACAATTAGCATGTTTTGCTGCTTAGGCTTTCAAGGGAGTGAAAATAGCTTAGTAACTAATCCTAGTGCTGCTCAATCTCAATACATACCTTTGCTCTCGCAATTCAGTATCAAGGATCTCCTTTGTGATTTGTTTCTCCTTCATGTCATTGATATCCTTCTCAATTCTTTCTCCCCAATCACTCAATGGCTCGTGGCTGGCAGCATAGCTAAACAAATTGAGCATGTACAACTTAAAAACTTCAAAACGCTCTAGCTAAGTTCGTGTTCTAACTCTACAAGATCTCTCTTACTTTTTGTCATAGTTGTGAAAATGGAGTCGCTCCAGTAGAAGACCAAGTCCCGGAGCTTTTGGAACATCCATCTAAAAGTAAAATTATCTATCTTTTATTTTAAGCCCACCAATAAAGATAAAGAAACTTACTCGTTCCCCTTCGAATGACCTTTGAATTGCGCTTCGACTCTGCAATTCACGGACCACAGATATCGTCATTCCTAAAGTAGAAGTTTGCCAGCAATCAAAAGGAATAAAGTCGTAGTCATTGATAAGCCAATTAAAGTTTCCATTAACAAAAACATACAAACATACCAATCATTTTTCGTATCTGGTGCAGAATGAAACTTTGTCCTTTCACCGTCAACGTAATAAACTCGACATCCTCATTTCGGAAGTCATCCCTAAATTTTAATAATTAATCAAGTCAAAAATTCTCTCTCTTTACCTATACAAGAACGGTTCTCCACAGGTGAAAAGAATGATGTATCGACAACAAGATCGATCTTCAAAAGCTCTAAAACCAAAGGCTCCTTAATAATAATAAACAACTAACTTTTTACTAGTGTAGTTAAAAAAATTGTGTGTTCCTTTGTAAAGCTGTAAAATCTCCTCAACTTCCTTTACCACCTCTGGTTTGATTCGAAATTTTGCATCGGTTTTCTAAATACAAATGCCCTGTCTTCAGTATTAGTTTAATTGAAAGTGATTATTTTAATATTGATGCTAAATAATAACTAATCAGACAATAAGGTAATAGAAAACTTCAATAAAAAACTGACTTCATCTGGTTTAGCAAAAGCGAATGTTGGCAAAGTATATGAGTATGTGCGAGCATCACAGTACTTTTGCGAGTGAAAGTTCCTAAAATTGAAACGCCCACCATACATGTACAGTAACTTTGGTTCACAAAAGTCCTTTAGTTTAAATCAATCAACACTTACTGAGTAGCACGGCGAAAACCAAACACGCGAATGTCTTCCGGTAGGTATGCGTTCATTTGAGCGGCTCCTGTCAATGGCAGATCGTCCATTCTGGGCAACTGCAAGGAGCAAATCTGTAAGCAAATGTTTAAAAGGCCCATTGCAAATCCTTATTTTATTTGCTCAATGCTACATTTGAAACCTCTTCGCTTCGAACGTTTTACAATTTAACTTATTAGATGGATTTGCAAAACAAAACAAATTACTAAATATCCTCAAAAAGAAACCACATTTGCCGTACATAATAAAATGACTTAACCTGTCTAACAGCAGACACAGCTTTATCCGTCCGGGCGGCTCTTTGAAAGAAGAAATCAAATGGCCGATCGTAAAGCTGTTGAGAGATCCACCCATTCTTCAATAACGCATCCAATAGATGACTCTCAATTGTCGGCGCCGCATTCGGACCCTTTTGCACCTTATGGACTTATGGTTTTTAAGCATACATAATAAGTCTCTTACCTGCATTCCAAAGTAATTCTTTCCCTGATAGCCGACAATCATTGCATATCGATAAGTCTTCACCCGTGGAAAGCCTCGATCCTCTAAAGAATTACTATATGCACCTACTTGATACTTGAGTGCTTTAACTCTTTCAAACGTAGCCCTCGAAGTGTTGAATCTTTGAAAGTTTAGTGGTTTTGGCTTTAGCCTATTTCTATTCAATTAGCCGAGAAAAGAGCAAAAAAAAAACAGTTAAACATTAGTTTATAATTAACTCGCAATAGCACAGATAATTAGAGCTACGTTTATACTCGGAAACTATTACTAGATTTAGCCTTCCTCCGTACTTTTCTCGACGCGTCCTCCTTCAACATGATGTAGATGAGATGGGTCCGTGGATGCATGGGTTGATGGTTGATCTTCTCCGTTTTTCTTCATTTCAGTCTCTTCATTTCTCGCCGCGTCTTTGCTCTCCATTTTGTTCCGTTTGAGTTTTCCGTTGAATCGATTCTTCAAGTTCCCTTCGATTCGACGAATCAATTCTTTCAGTATCCACGAACAACGTGGTCAACACATCTAAAGAACCAAAGTCTTAAAATGTAGACCCACTTGCTTCGCTAACTAATTAAAATGCGTGTTTCTAAAGAAATTCTAACAAATGGCCAAAGTATTAACGTTCCTGTAAAGGTTCCATGAAATAAAAACTAGGTAAGTTAAATGTTTATTGAAGAGTTTAGGAACAAATATAAAAACCTGACAAGAGAGCACGCCAAAAAAATACCGCGAATATGTAGTAAAACATGAGAATCAACTGAAACACATAAAAATAGACACCCTACAACCATTTGAGAGACTTAAATGAGACCAGATCTGGGGAAAACGACCAAAAATGTAAAGACTCTAGTAATCAAAGAATAGTGAAAGAATTTGACCCTTTAACATGAGAAAGAAACAAGCAAAATTACGTAAAACTCGACTAACAAACTCGTGAAACCCATAAGTACTAGATACCCCAAATACAGTCGAACCTCTCTATAACGTAACTCACGGGACGGCTACCTTATATAGGGCCGTTTTATATAGCTTAATGTCGGCCGGGACCGGTCACGCCTTACGTTATAGAGAGGTTTACGTTATATCGAGGTTCGTTATAGAGAGGTTCGACTGTACTGCTATTTCAAAAATCTTCTTCATCCTCATCAAAGAATTCTTCGTCCTCGTCCTCGTCCTCGTCGCTGAAATAGACACGATTTCCGACAAGACCCGAAGTCGGTTGATTGCCTCCACGATTAAAAGATTGCTGCTTTCGCGACGGACCGTCAGATCTAAATGAGAAAACGTGTCAAATTAGTGCAAGTAGAGAGTTGCTAACTTAGTCATTGTTCAATTTATTCACGTTTAATAGTCTAACGATTCAATAATTATCACACCAACCCAACAAACCAAAAAACTTTACCTTTGATTATTAACCTTTCGCTTTTTCGTTCCCTTTTCCAGTCGATTTCTGTTTGCGCAGCGAAATTCCCATACTTTTTCATAAATATCCGTCAGAATCGCCATTACATCAGCTTCAGATTGAGCTAAATAGGGTGTTTATTTAATTTCTAGACAAATATGGGTGTTTGTCAATCAGTTTGGATTCTAAGCCGGTTATAGGTTGCTCTAGTTCGCAAAAAAAACCATCTGTTAGTACTAACTTCTTCGCCACTACCATTGAATAAAATGTGCTTTACCTCCAGTGACAGTGATGCTTCCAGTTGTGTGAATGCGCAATGTGGCCTTTGGTATCTTGTTTCTCCAAACCAACCCTACGGACAATTCTGGCTCGTAGGTTGAGTGCTCCTTGTATTTCTGTGCCATCTAGGAGCCAAAAATACATATTTTTATACATAGTACAACAAACCTCCTCGATTTTGATACCAAAGGGGAGTCGACAGGTGGCCAAAACATTGCAGATTTTGTAGTTCCTCATGCAAATCTAGAATCAAATCAATTTTGAACAGCATGTTTGCAAATGAACCCGTTTTCCCAATTGGTCCATCGACCGTTGAATGCAACGAGCCACTTTACGAGCTGCTCTCATTGCCTCGAGCTCACTAAAAAAAAATGAAAAATTACATTTATGCACGACCAAATAGAATACTAGGTAGGTATGATAATTTTCAATCCTAAAATATACCTACGACACCCCACAATGTAGACCTTTCCCGAATTGTATATTTTGATGAGGCACCAGGGATTCCGCAACTGCTTCACGAGAGCCTAAAACTTTGGCTTTGTTGTTATTTGGTTTGCTATTACTGTGAACTTGTTATGCCTTCATGGCGCTAACAAGATAAATTATTTAGAAAAATTTGATGATTCTTGTTTATTATCATCTCATTTTATAAGTCAAGTTACCTACCCCCTTTCCTGGGTCGAGTTGCACATCTGAAGAATCAAGAGCCACGCGGCGGAGGTCGATATGGAATGGAAGTGTGTAGTTGCAAACAACATTCCGTACCTAAATAATTGTAAATTATTAAATTTTAAAAATGCAAGCCTCGATGTTAATTTCTCCGTCACCTTCTGGAGGCGGCTGAGAGAGAAGTTGATTGCTCGTGGAAGCAACGTCAACTGGTTCTTCCTGAAAACCAAAAAATAATACCCTCAAAGAAAAATAACTTTTAAAACTTGATCATTAAAACGAAACCATTGATTCGGATCAGCTTTTATTTTATGTTCTAATCAATACCTTGATCTCAGTCTTAATCCCATGTGGCGGTGGCGTCGACTCTCTGACCGGAACATTTAAAGAAAGACTTGCCGTTCGCACGAAGTGCTCACCTAAATGGAAAACATTTTGGTACTAGCCTAGTTGAGGGGGGGGGGCACTTTTTTCTCAAAACTACCTTTTCTTGGGTATTTTTATGCATAGATTCCAAAAAACACAACGCGAGTTTGAGAAAAAACGTTCTAACTCGAGTTTCGGGGCTCCAAAGTGCGCGATCATATAGTGATGGGAGGGATACACAGAGAAAAGGTCTAAAAATGGTCTCTCAAAAAAATTTTTTGAAACCAAGAACCCTTCTTCTGTTTGTTCTGCCTCTACCAGTCAATTTAAGTTAGAAAATGAATATTTAGTGGTTAGAAATGGTTTTGGCCTCTAGTCTTGACCTTGAAAAGTGCCCCAATAGTCGATAGCTTTGGCTCCATATAGGGAAGTACACTATTGAAGGAGTCCCGAGTCTCGGCTTAAAATACCTTTTCCCAGGCCTCTCGTTGTGTTTTTCGGAATCTACGCATAAAACTATCCCAGAAAAAGTGGTTTTGAAGAAAAAAAAAGTGCCCCCGCCCCCCGCCAACTAGGCTAGTACCAACATTTTTTTTAATTTAAGAAGTATGTACCAGCAAAATGATGTGGTTGAGTTCCGTGTTGATAATGAGAGTCCACGTGCTGATAGGAAAGTTGAGTCGAGAGATGTGATGGCACTAAACGACGACAACACAAGTTTTTTATCGAAACTTTTGTCATAACAGATAATTTAAAATTTCGTGGTACGCAATAATCACGTCTTTTATATAAAACAAGGTGTTTTGAATTAGAGACTCTTTATTTAAGTCATGGTAATCAAATAAAAAATAACGTACATCCGAGAGAAGGTGAAGCACCACCCCGTGCATTTACCATAGATGCTGGAAAATTTTGATGATTTTGCGAAGGTCTCAGCGACATCGCTCTGAAAGGAGAAAAAACAACTATCAGGTAAAGAAGTGACCAAGCCTAGATTAAAAACAATACATTTAGCTAGATCCTATCAACGTTTTAAAGGATAAAAGTTGTAGGCTTAGGCACATCTCCTAAAACATAAGTGCCCCAATTCATGCAGGTCTCTTTGAAAATAGAGAAAATGGGGAGTGGGACAAATGCGACCTTTTTTTTTCGCAACCGGATACTTGAGCAACTACATTTGACAAAACCTATAACAAAGCGCAAATGAGAAAAAAAAGCTAGATATGTACAAAGATATTTGCTAATGTAACCTCATTCCTTTTATATTTTTTATATTGGTGAAAAGCCGATTTTTCCTTTGTTTTAAGAGAATTCGACCAAAAAGTTGTCGCTGAAAGAGAGTTGGCACCTGCTTATTTGCTCATTTTTCGATTTCGATCACCCGAGAACCACCACTTAAATAAAAAAATGCATTAATTCGTCAGTTTAAAATCGTGTAGTCATCGTTTCAAAACCTTTTATATAACGAACTTTTTCCGATAATCAGCTTTACCGGTCGTTCTTTCTGACGATATATTCACTACAATTTGTAGCACCTAAATGGCACATGTTATTACTAATAACATTAGTGAATACTTCTCCATCTTGTGATCCTTCGCCAATTTTCGGTTGCAATTTGTAGGCGATATCTCCTAGAAGAGTGTCAAGGAGAGCGGCTCGGACCGATTCCACACAGATTAACTAATTAATGAATGTTAGAAATGCTTTAGAATAAACCTGTGGTGTTTTTGTTGTGACCGTATTCTCGTCCATTGCCCACCCCCTTTCTTCGGCTATTTTCTATTTGTGTGTATCCTTGTCAATTCAAGTAGACCCATCCGTTTGCCACCAAATCAATCTAAAGATGATGTAGAGTTTAAAAATGAAAACACAAACTTTGTTGAAGACCAATGAGGAGAGAATGTGGGAATAGCAGTAAAAAATGAAGTACTCGATGGTGAACGCAATCTCCTGTCGCTGTCGCATCCTTAATAAAGAATACTTAGTCTTAATAGATAAAATCTATCCAAATACCTGTACGAAGAGAATATGTTGTGATCGAGTTTTAGCCTCCTCTGGATCACTTAGGATTCGACCTTGATTACTTCTTCCCATCATCCAATCTAATAGAGTTGTTAGTTTGTTGTCAAACACAATACCTCCATTGCGTGTCCTATCACTCATCCATCGTTCTGGGACTTTCAAAAACAAACATCTACAGATCGTCTTTGGTAACGATTGTTTCATTATTCTAAAACACCAAACTCATAGACAACACGTTAAAAAAATACCTTCATTCTTGTGTCTATTTTCGAGCTAACAGCAGAAACGGCGGCTCTCACAATCTACCTGGTCAGGAGAGAGTAAAGTTCAATATATAGTCAAGATAAAACTACCTAGTCAACATTGGAATTCTATTTAAATAAAGGAGAAAACCCCATAAACTATCGACATAACGATTGAATTCATAATGCACCCATTACATCCATATATATTAAATTTAACCCACTCCAAACGACCTAGCCAATATAGATAAACAAACCTTTCCAACATTCGGTGTTCCAATTACGGCAACATCGAGGGCTCGTTTTTTCTTGATGATCGGTGTGGGCAAACATGGATGATCATGCGAAGTTGACGAAGAGCGAGCCAAAAAGTTCATCGTGGGCACAACATAGAATCCTGCATGAACTGTAAAAAAACTCCCAAATGCCATGACAGAGAAGTTAATTTCAGTCCAAACGACGGCAATCGAAAAGAATAAGAAAAATTTCGTTTTCACCCTAAAAAAATCACAATATTTTGCATATTTGAATGTCATAAACGTTTGTATCGAATCCTCAAACATAATTGCCCCAATTCATGCAAGTCTCTTTGAAAATAGAGAAAATGGACGGACGTCAAGAAGAACTCTGTGACAACAATTTTTTTAGGGTTTATATAGATTGGATAATTGGTTACGGTTGAGCTGAACAGTTCACTCCTAATGACATTCCAATTGAATAGCTTAATCACGGAGAAAAATCTTCCCATGTAATTCCCTGCAGCCCTTGATGGTGAACCAGAAAGCTTTCTCGTTTTTACACGTTTAAACTTCCCATTTTAGAATTTGCACCATATGTATTGTGCGTAGCAGCCTTTTAAAAAAGGCATGCCAAAGTTTCCGAAAACGGGCTGTCACGCGCATTATCGAATTGTTATAATTTGACTACATGACTTCATGACTATTCTAAAACATTGAACTCGTTCAGTTTGTTGCTCTTATTTTGTTTTCTTCTTTTAATCAACAATTTTCACTATATATTTTCTCTTTTAGGAGATCGACCGAATGGATCAGCAAGCACAATACGATCTCGGCAACGTCGATTTAACAAAAGTGGACTGTGATGTAACACCGCAAACCGTTGATGAGTATCTTCAGCAAGTTGCCGCAGGAAGGATGAGGATTCCAGAAGTCGCCTTTGTGGATCGTCCTAAAGAGCCAAAACAAGATGTGCAAAAGATGGTGAAAGGTGTCGATCCATTGGCCCGCAAAAAGGAATGGCAACAGCAAAAGGTGCGATTTTATCGAGAAAATCGAGAACAACTGGCTCAACTGCGTGCTGTTACGGCCCCATTGGACGTCGATTGGCCAAGTATTTACTCACCCAGGGAGTGGGTGACAATGATTTTGAAAAAACCGCAAGCGATGATTTCTGAAGAAATACGTGATCTTTTTCCACAGCACGAAGGCATTCCACCCACGCCGGAAGTGCTTTTTTCTATGACGAACGCGCAAGTCGAGAATCTCATCCAAACACTTGTCAGTCATCTCGTTTACAAGCCGGAAAAAAGGGTTGAACCTATGAAAGGCGTGAAAAAGGAACAAGTGGAATCAAACGGCGAAAAATCGGAAGAGGAAGTCAGGGTAAATGATGAGAAATCTGAAGTGGAAATCAAGACTGAAGTGAAGACATCCGAGGAAGAAAACAAAGAAGAAAGTGCTGATGAGATGAAGATGAAGATGAAGATGAAGATGAAGATGAAGATGAATCTCATCTAAAGTTGTGTCCATCTATGCAGCAATGGATTTATGCGGTTTTATTAATTCTTGAGAAGAATTATCTTCACGATGTGCTGGCATCGCTAAGGGATTTGGCTAATTTTTGTCGAAAAGGCCGATCGGCGCTTGCTGAAACAGAGTTGGATGAGCGAGAACAAGAAGAAATGGCTCAAATGTATTCACTTTTCATTTCCATTGTCGCTCTTTACTTCGAGCAAAAAGATCTTGCGGATTAGTGGCTGCAGATATCATTCCATTGTCGTTACCATTTTTGTTGTCAAACTTCGGGTATTTGTTAATTTTTCATGTTTTATTTTTTAAATACAAATCAAATTTAGTAACCGATGTTGAATCTCCAAAAGCGAATCAATGGTGTTGATGAGGATCGGAACTACAAAAAGATGCACACACAGATTCGAGACAAGTTGCTGGCACAAGAAGTGAAAGATCTGGAGATGAACCTTCGCAATCAGAACGTGTGTCGAATTCGCTTCCCCATGTCTCCGGCTCTTCACGAAATTGAGCTCAGCATTACTCCAACCGAAGGACTGTACAAAGGAGGAACTTTCCGCTTTCACATCACTGTGCCTATCGAATACAACGCTGTACCACCTCAAGTGAAATGTTTGACGAGGATTTGGTATTGACTTTTTTATTTTATTAGACCCACACATGCACAACTTTTACTTGTCCGCCATATTTGTTATATGGCTCGACGTTGCTATTGCGTCATCTCAATACTTGCTTTTAGAAATAGTCTAAGGCTAGTTGTTTATTGTTTTGTTTAGGCTTAGGCTGAGTGATGATAGTTGTGCACGTGTTAGGGTTATCAATTAATGGGTTGCTGTTTGTTTACTTTTTACTAACAGGTAAATTTAGGCATCCAAATATTAACGAAGATGGAGCAATTTGTCTCTCATTGCTGCGAGAGAATTCGGTTGATGATTTTGGATGGCGACCCACCAGGAATCTTCTTGAAGTTGTTCACGGATTACAATCACTCTTCGGTGATCTGATGGACTTTGACGATGCTCTGAACATGGAAGCTGCTCGCCAGTACAGCACAAAACGATCCGAGTATGACAACAAAGTTCGGGAATACCTCCAACGCTATGCTAAATAATTTCAAGTTGATGGATTTATATTTTTCGTGTTGAAATGTTTTCTATTGATTCTTTACTCTTGTGATATCAAAAGTTCATATATTCGTGATCTCTTTTTTCGGTGTTGCTCACATACAATTCGAGTGTCCCCCTAAAAATGTTCCCTTTATTAGGGCTTGGTCTTTTTCTCGCTTATTTCACAATACAATAAAATACGTTGTCCTTTACTGTTTTAGACAGAAAAAAAAATAAAAAATATTGTGAAATAAGCGAGAAAAAGCCCAAGTCCTAAGAACCGCTTGGGGGATACCTAGGGAGACACTCGAATTGTATAGTTGCTCATAAATAAAATTCAGGGGATAAGATGTCGTCCTCAGCTATCTTCATATTAGATCTAAAGGGAAAGGTTTGTTATCGAGTTGTTTTTAAGCATATACAATATTTTTAGGTGATCATCGCAAGAAATTATCGGGGGGACATCGATATGAGCGTCATCGATCGATTTATGCCACTATTGATGGAAAAAGAAGAAGAAGGAATGGTGACTCCAGTCCTCGTCCATCCTGAAGTGACATTCGTCTTTATTAAACACACAAACATCTATTGTGAGTTTTTCTTGTGATATCAACAAATATAATAAAGGGTGCTTTATAAAAACACTGTTTTGTAGCCCTAAGCCAAAATTATACGGAATTCAAATAAGTTTACCATGATTTTAAGACTTTACCACGAAAAGACGGATCCTTTTTGCAAATGCTAGTTTTAGATTGCTAAAATTAGCAGTTTAGCACTTGACTTGTTTAGTGGTGTCTTCTTGTCGAACAAATGTGAACGTAACTCTGGTGCTATCGTTCTTATACAAATGCATCGAGGTAAAGCTAATATTCTTGGTTCTAACTTTTTAAAACTACTAGGTATTTAACGAATACTTCAAAGACGTTGAAGAAGAGTCGGTGAGGGACAATTTTGTGGTGATCTACGAGCTGCTGGATGAAATGATGGATTTTGGATTTCCACAAACGACTGAAAGCCGAATACTTCAAGAGTTAGCTATGTGAGATTTCGTGAAAACAGTGCGTTTTAGATATATAACTCAAGAAGGTCACAAACTTGAAAATGCTCCACGGCCACCAATGGCAGTGACAAATGCGGTTAGCTGGCGAAGTGAGGGCATAAAATATCGAAAGAATGAAGTCTTTTTGGATGTCATCGAAAGTGTTAACATGCTTGTTGGTCCAGATTACGATGCGATTTTCAAAAAAATTTAGGCATCTGCTAATGGTACCGTCTTGCAATCCGAGATTGTCGGAGTAGTAAAAATGCGTGTTTATCTTACCGGAATGCCCGAATTACGACTCGGATTAAACGATAAAGTACTATTCGAAGGAAGTGGACGTGAGATTTAAGAAAAAGGTCCCAAAGAAAAAATGGATTTAGGTGGGAAAAGCAAATCAGTAGAGCTGGAGGATGTGAAATTTCATCAATGTGTTCGACTTTCGCGCTTTGACAACGATAGAACTATTTCTTTCATTCCACCCGATGGATCATTTGAGCTTATGAGTTACAGGTAATGCTTTGTATATAGATGAGCAGTGACTATAATTTAGATTGAACACTGTGGTAAAGCCGTTGATTTGGATCGAAACCTCCGTGGAGAGACATTCGCACAGTCGCGTAGAGTACATGATCAAAGCAAAATCACAGTTCAAACGTCGTTCAACAGCCAATAACGTCGAGGTTGAGACTAGCATTGTGTTTTATTGTACCGAGCTATCCTTTTAGGTGATCATACCAGTTCCATCGGACGCCGATTCTCCGAAGTTCAAGACGAGCATTGGAAGCGTTCGGTATACACCCGAGCAGTCAGCATTTGTTTGGACCATCAAAAGCTTTCCAGGTGAGCAACTGCTTATTAGTTGTTGTTAGGTTTTGTTAAAATAATGTATTCATTTTAGGTGGTAAAGAATATCTTCTTTCTGCACACTTCTCGTTGCCTTCGGTTGTGAGTGAAGAAAGTGAGGGAAGGCCACCAATCAAAGTCAAGTTCGAGATCCCATACTTTACCACTTCCGGGATTCAGGTAGGCTTACTTTTAAATTGTGTATAGAGCAAATTTTAATTTAGGTCCGCTATTTGAAAATTATCGAGAAGAGCGGATATCAAGCACTGCCGTGGGTTCGGTACATTACTCAGAATGGCGAGTATCAGATGCGCATGAAGTAGATGTTTATTGTTGTAATTTATTTATTCAAATCTTCTTTTTGTTCTTTAATAATTTTCGTGTATCTACTTGCCTGTTTAAATAGTATCTCTTCTTAAAACGTGTATTGATAAGCCATCTCATTTTGCAACTTAAAGTTTCTTTCCGATTGTGCATAATAATATTTTTCTGTGCATAAATAAGTGTTTTTTGCAAATTCGCGAATAAATTTTTGAATCTCTGCGGAAAATCACGGATAGTAAGTAAGAAATAACCGTACATATTGTGAATTTTTCAAGATGACTCCTACTCAAATAACAATTAAGAAGCCCATGCGAAAAGCGTTCGTGGGAACAATTCGGCCGTGTCTACGCAAGGTACCTATGTTTTGAAACTTCCGTAAGAAAGGAGCTCTGTAAATACTAACCCTTCCAAATGAGTAGTTCTAGACATTTGCCTTGAGCCAGAGCTCTCACCATCTTGTTGGAAGGAGTTACTCTATTCGACCGTTCTCATCATCGTCAATCGATACGGTTTATTAAAATTACATTTTATGGTAGTTAAACTTTTAAAAAATTTTAATCCTTCAAGCACGGGTCGTTTTGATGCAAAACAAAACTCCGGTTGTGATTTTCATTTAATTCATTCCCAATTACTTTTGGTGTTGTAGAACGTTGCTGGCACGAACCACTTCGATGACAGGAATTTGTCGGTGGCGGGCCGAGAAACGATTCGCCAGATTTTGAAGCGAGTTATTGATCAATTTTCGTTTTAATTACAAATGCCAAATTTTAATAAAACTAAATTTAAAATCAAAGTTAAAGTACGGCGTAATTTTGATCTAACTCTAACCAATTTAACTGATTTTAGGAAACTACAAGAAAGGAATTATTTTGTAACCTTGCCGGAGGATAAGCTCACTGCTATCTTGATTCCATTATTTGCGAAACTTGGCGCAAATGGTAGCTTAAAAATTAAAATTTGTATTTCTATTCAATTCAGGTTTAACAACAGACTTTCTGATAGCCGAATGCAGTCGAAACGACCATTTTCTACAGCTGTTATTAAGCAAATTTCAGGAAGACCTTTTTGAAATTTGTAAAGTGGGTTGTTTTTTAACCGGAGCTATTTACGGATTTATAGAATTGTAGAATTTATAGCTTTATGTTTCATTTTTTAGGTGTTGACAACCTATTGCTCATTAACGTACGAGGAGATATTTTTGATGCTGAAGAGGTATCTTTTAGCGTTGTTAGAGTTAGCCAACAGCAAACATAAATTGTAAATGCTTTGTACTGTACTGTAACGGCAGGTAAAATTGATCATTTTAGTATTGAGTACGATATTTCACATTCGGGAGGAGATGTTGGTGTTTCGGGTCGTTTGGATGTGCTTCTCAATTTGTCGGGCGTTGAATACGGGCGCAATGTTAGTTTTTATGGGAATGCTACAAACTTCTGATAATAAGTTTTGAGTGAACTGTCGCTGGTAAAATTTACAACGTTTTAAAAGGAGCTTTTGACTGTAATTCATTATTTTCCAGTTGGGGCAATTGGTGCTAAAATGTCCACCGCTAATATTTGCCCAAGACCCGGAGAAGATAAACGAGATTTTCAACGCATTACGATCATTTTTCACAAAAAAGCAGGTACTGCTCATGGCTTTTGGGTGTACAAATTAAGTTTCAGCTTGTTGACCTTGTTCAATATACGCCGCAAATACTCGTGATGAACTTTGAAGAATTAGAGCAAAAATACGAATACATTTTCTATCATGTGGGTAACTTTATTTTTACGAAAGTCAGGCTCTAGTCATTATTTTAATATGTTCTGGAAAATGTCGTAGACCCATTTAGTACATATTAATATTAATTGACTTTTTTAGATGGGCCTTGGGGGAGAGGATTTTCTTGGCTGCAAAAGTTGGATCGAGATGAGCCTTGAAGAAATGATGCTGCGGCATAGTTGCTTGGTGAAAAGTGGAAGGTTTGATATTGTTCTCGCGCATATTCATGTGCCATTTTTAGATATCATTTTCCTGATCCCAAGGCACCACAATTGAGAAAAGTTTGCTCCACTAATCTATCTTAACATTAATTTTTAGGAGAATCCTGAGATGAGCAAGATATTCGATTCGAGTGATGAACATTTTTCGACAAAAGTTCTGCACATTTGTCGTTTTTTTAAATTAAGAAACTTTAGATTGCTGGAATCTCATTAGAAGAATGGAATGTCTTCAAGATGATTGAAAGACGGGTAATTTGAGTTTTTTTGACGTGAAATGTTAAGCTTTTTTTCCAATTGGCATCTTTGAACCTGAAGAGAGTAACGGCATAGTTAAGTATTATAATGGCATATAAAGTTTTTTATCAAATAGCGCATGGTTTTAGGCCCGTGAAGAAGAAGACAGAGATGAACCATATGTGAAAGTGAAGCCGTCATTGAGGAAAAAATTCGAGCGCCAAAAGAAAGCTACCATCGAGAAACCAAGTGAATTCGTCTTTGGAGCCGAAATAAAAGATCAATTTTGAAGTTTGTGTTGTTGTTTGTTAAAGTTTAAAATATTTATTTCACGCAATAGATTTCCCACGTTTCTAGATTTCCCACGTTTTTTTACATTCATTCGCTCCTTTTGGAAATTTGCGTGATCAGCAGTACAATTTTAGCGTCTATGATGGTTGGTCACTATTTGCAAAGCGAAATAGATTTTCGAGCAAACATTGATTCGGCAATAATAAGATACTGGATCTTCATTCAAGTGCAAAAATGTATGCAAAAAGATGCTTTACTGTGCTTATGTTTCAATACATGTATTTGATGCGAGATATGGCGTGGGTTGTTTAAACAATTCCGAACAGACTCTCATTCTCTTTTGATCCGATTTTTCTTTTTTCGAAATTTTGTCGATTCCTCGATTGACTTCGTTCAAATGGCACACGTTTCGAAGATTACCTTCTAATTTACTATTGGTGTTTTTCAAAAAAAAAATCGATGCAATAACCCGCTTGATTAGTGCTACATTCTCCTTTTCCTGCCTCTTACGTGAGCTTCTTTTCTGACTACAACACTTGTACATCTTCAAGCTTTGCTGATTGCTTTAACCCGTTCTGTAGACAACTTTTTCTCGTTAAGAGGATAAATGCCCTTAATCTTCTTTTTCTCATTTTCCGTTTCTTGGCTTTCTTGTGTTACTCTTGCATCTTCTTGAGGGTTTGTGGTGATTAGCAATATCGCCGGAAATGCGGCTTCGTTCTTCGGAAGGATTATCCGCCATTTTCGTGGCAAACGTCATCGAGAAGTATGTATCGCATTTTGGTGAGGGGGCAGTTTCGGGTAGAACCGACTAGACACGTTAGTCGAGATCTCATTAATTAACCTCGAAAATTAACGAGACAAGACCTTGTTAAGCTTAACTAGAAATAACTTTAAACTCGGTAAAGGAGAAAATTAGGGTGCTAAACATTTGGAATTTATGTGCTATAAGGGTACATAAGTTATAGAGCTCGACTATTGAAAGAAAACCAACTTTTTGTTTATCTTTTCTCGTTGATCTCGATTCTCGTTCTCGTCTCTCGTTAATTTCTCGTTAGACATGTCTAGAACTTACCTTAACATCAATACTGCTTTACCTGTCTTGAACTAGATTTGGGAACTAAGGGCCGCGGTGTTCGCCAAAAAAAAAGACCCCAAGTGGAGTCGAACCCAGCATTCTCGGATTGCGGCAATCCACCAGGAGAACACATTGATCCAGCTACTTTTTCATACCCTTAATTGAAGATCCTAGGAGGCCCGACTCTAGCAGTTCTGCTCATTGAGTTTCATGGAGCACATCAAAAATAGCGCTGAAATAAGTAAACAAAAATTCAAATCAAGCTTTAAAGTTGCTCGGTATAAAGCCGCATATTCATGCGTAATTTTTTCTAGGAAACCAGAATCAACTCATCGTTAAAGTTACAATAAATTTTTCACCTAACAAATAGTTTTCGGGGTTAAAGAAAATTAAAAAAATCCCGAAAACTATTTGTTAGGTGGAAAATTTATCTTTTGTTTTGTAGGCTTCTTTGTCTTCGGACGGTCAATCAATAAAGAAATGATAATTAGCGGGAAGGGAAGCTTGTAGTTTCTTTCAATCATTTCTTGTCTTTCCATTTCAGAACTTCGGGGAACTTTTCGAATTGAACTTTGACAAAGTGGGTGTGATTTTGGAGCGTTGATCATGTTTCATGTTTCATGTTTCGGAGGCTTCTTGGACTACTTTTGAATACAGTTTTGCAATACAGTACAGTGCAATATAAAACCCATTCCGTATTGTGACGCATTCATTTTGTCTCATTTTGGGGTTTGGCCTTTGATTATAGCTTTCAGATGAAAGAATTCTCTGTTAAAGACGAGTGATAGACTCGCTCATTCCATTTCCGGTGTCTTTTACCTCTTTTCTCTATGTGTAGCCAGGTGGGAGTGCTCATTTTCCCATGTTCGGTGCTAGACAACGAGACACCGAGGTGGGCTCACCTTTTGTCTCTTTACCTCCCTCAACATTCACCCATTCTCATTCTCTCAATCTTCTAGATTTACCTGTTATACCTTCTTCTTCTTGTTTCGCTTTGCCCATTCTCTTATATTTCATTCAGGCCACGTCTTCTCTCCTTCATTTGATCTTTCACTCTTCTTTTTGCTTTTCATTCACTCTATTCTCATTCCCTCTATTTCTCCCCCAGTCTTCCCCCTTTTCATTCTCTTTGTTCATCTGAGCTCTTTTCACTCATTCAACCCGTCCTCATTCTCTATCATTTCTCTTCTATCTAGTGACTCTCTTTTCCCATCCTCTTTTCCCCATTCTCTGTTCCCCATTCTTTATCACCCCTTTGCTGACTAATGTGATAGTTGCCATTTTGCTATTCTCCTTCCTTTCCCTTCCATTTGTCCTCCATTTCTCTTTCATTTATTTTCCGTAAACATTTCTCACTTGTAAACAAGAGTTTTGGAACACTTGATCTCCTTACTTGTATGCTCCCATGAAACTAGTCTATCTAGATTTTGAGTTTCTTTTAAAATTCCAGCCTCACAACTGTCGCATTGTTAAAACAAAAAGATCGTCGATTTCGGTTTTAAAGTTTCAGCGGCCTCAATCAGTTTGCCTTTAAATTTTAGAGGATCCGTCTTAAAATCTCATTTTTCAACTACAGTGATCCTTCGTTGTATCATTTTGTGATCAAAAAGAAATCGAGTGTCCAGCCATCTGTGCCAATTTTTGCATTTCATTCATTTCCTTTCGCACATTGCCACTCGCCGTTGTTTCTCTTTTCCTCAATCTTTTTCAATGGGGTGGCCGTATGACATGAGACTATCTGACTGTCTTACATTCAAAATAACTCTTTCAATTTCGATAATTGCATCGAAGGGTCTTTGTTTAAAATTTAAACCTTTCAAGATATACATTCCTGTTTTCTATTTGAAAGCTTCAAGCTCTATTTCACAATAATTGTAGCTAGAGTAGAACCCTGTTATTCATGCATTTGCGATTGCCCGCTTGTAGTGTTCATTATGAACAGGTGTTTTGTCATCGAAAAACGTGCCAATTTTGATTAATAAATGAGCTCTGATGAAGTATTTCGCCTATATCAGGTATCTAGCATTAATTTTTTTAATTTTAGTGGATCTTTACGGTTATCGGCAGGGGGGGGCGGGAATTTTGACCATTTTGGGAGCCCGATTTTAGTTAGGTTTTTGTTGATAGCTTTTGATGAAACAAATAGTTTCTGAAAGTTGACGTTCTAAACAATCTAAATCTTATTAAAACTTCCTGATCTGATAAGTTTAAGGTGCTTAAAAATGAGCTGCAAGTTGGTCAAAAATTCGCCCCCCCCTTCCCTCGCCTCCCTCCTCCTCCTCCTCCTCCTCCACCCGATAATCGCTCGACCCCCGCCCGTTAACCACAAAGCACCGTTTTATCATACATCATGCTCGGATTGGATGGAGTAAGCAAGATCACATCTTTGCTTGCATCGAAAATTTGAAATCCATGTATTGTGTTTTAATTAGGTTGAGGCTCAACAGACTTCTGGGAGCAAATGTGCGATTGTTCCAATTTCACAGATTTATTTGTGTTATGTATTTATTGTGCTGTTGATTATGTTCTCCTAAACAAACAATCTTGTTTCTCATGCAAATATACCCTCAATTTATGTTTTTGACAGTTGATCAAAAAGATACTTCTCTTCTAAGTGAGCGTTGTTGATGGAAATGAAAGGATTTCCCCCTTTCTTTTCATGCCATTTCATCAAACAGGTGGCCATCGAGCTTTTCTCTCTCAAATACAACTTTTTTATGTTGAGTTCTTGTTTTTGAAAGCTTGATCAAGATAGTATCGTTGGTTAAATAAAGTACCGATTAACCTGAAACTGAAAATTGAACTCGAATCTTGACATCTTGACACTTACACTACTGGACAATGAAATATCATATTCGAAAAAAGATCGTCACTTTCGCGCGTCTGTAACTCTCTTGTCTTTACCGTATTTTTAAATATTAATATTACCATTGCGCAGCCCCTGAAAAGAGCTTTCAGAAAATGTATAACACTAATAGTTTAAACTCAAAGACAAAGGAGTTACAGACGCGCGAAAGTGACGATCGTTTTTCAAATATGATATTTCATTGTCCAGTACTGTACATTTAAATGCAATTTTTGCTGGATTTAATGAAAAGTGCCGTTTTACTGTTATCATCAATGTTCCTAGCAGATTAATCTATTTTGAATACCTTTATTTATTCACATATTACACATATTATTTTTTATTTTTCACACGTTTCAAAATCAATGCACAAATCGTATGGTATAGTATATAGTATAGTTGGATGCATTTCGCATTTCAAACATTATCTTCATTCGAGATTTTCAGTGAAACCACGTTTTCTTGGATCAAATGAGAACTTCCGCTCGTTGTGGTAAATCCCCGTTGACATTTCATCGAATGAATGTGGATTTGTCCACAAAATTCTTTACATATCAAAAAATTTCTTCTTTAGACATTTTGGCATTTTGACATTCTTTAGACATTTTAGGGAATCAAAGTAGAGATTATCTACTGGAATGGAATATTTTTCAGGTGGATTCAGCTTTAGAATTACAATACGTACTACAGAATTTGATATCAGAAACTTTCTAAACACAATCTTACATCATAATTCACTTCAATCAGTACCGTTCATTTTTTCGTTGGCTTGCTCTCCCCTGAGAGTTTTCTACAAAAGAGACCATTTATTCTTTTCTAATCTCTCATTAGCGCTTTCAAAGTAGCCCTATAGCATTTGTCATATCATTTCCTTATCTATTTGCATTTTGACAAAACAGCATTTCTGTCATATCATTTTCCTCGGCGAGCACTTACAAACGGTGATGCTGAAAGCAAATCGAGACTAGGTATTTAACAGTTACCTAACCTTATTGCATAATCATTACCATTACGCATAATCATTACCATTACGGCTGCCATTTCATTCTTCAATTTTTGCAATTTTTTTTCTTCAAAAATTTGCCTTTTCTATAGAGAAATAGGTCTAATCCTTTCGCCCTTTTATTGCACGCCATTCATTGAGGGGGAGACTTTGTGCAGAAAGTTCGTCTTTTGCTCGAAAAAAAAATTGTACCGTAATCGCAAAGAGGAGACCAAGAAGTGGATGTGCACAAATGGGTAGATGCGAGGAAAATGGCTAATCCGTGGGGGCGATTTGTCCAATCCACGGGAAATGTTTGAGGGATCATGCTGACGTCGTCTCTCTCAATACATGAATTGATGCTTGTGTAGAGATTCGGGGGACTTTCTTTTGCAATAAATCTGATCTAACTCTCTTTTTTTCTACAATCTTTCTTTCGCACTAATTCTTTTTCCTTTCATTCGGAGATACGATGTACTTTCGTGGAGGCTAGCCAGTGGGTGGATTACTTCTAGCATTTCGCGCAAATCCTCAAGAAAAAAATTGCTGAATGGGTAAATAAAAGCAAATCCCTGGTCATATCTTCGTTCATAAATATTCAAGTCTAGTGAAGAAATAAGCATATATTCAAGCTGACTGCAGTTCCGTACTCAAAGAGTAAACCTCCTGTATCGTCTCAGTTATTGCTCTGTTCTCAAAGTTCTTTTTCTTTAATCTCAGTTTGAAAGAGCATTCAAAATTTACAGATACTTCGTCCCAAAACCAAAAGTGGAGAAACGAGGGCTTTGTTTGTGTTTCGCGGAAGTGAATGATGCAGAACGGAGCATTCTCCACTGTGGCCACCGATGGACTACCTGCATCGACCGCCCTGCAATGGGCTCAATTTCAGGTGATTGCGCTATCCATTTCTACTTACAATCCCAGCCATAAGTACCAAGATACCATCTGTTCAAGCTTCGAGCAATCCGCATTTCGATTTAACGGCTGGATGGCCGATTTAACGACTGAATGACCAACTTCAAAAGAGAACAGATTAATCCGAACCCCAAATTGGTACCACTAAGCCCCATTGATACCTCTTCAACAAGTTTGTGAATCATATGATCTGTACAAAATGTCCCAATAAAAGTTACTTTTGAATCGGTAAACTACCCACTTTATACTAGTCAAAAAACCAAATCGTTTTAAAAAACACCTATGGAATTCAACAGAATTTAATATTAGACCATAATATTTTTTCTAGAGCAGCAATCTGGTGGCCGAGGTCCAAGCACAACAAAACCGCGACAATGGCTCCGGCTCGACGGTGGTTGAGAGTGCCGAGTCGGCCATTGACCGACAATTGAGGTAATCAGGGAAGGGGCTTGATTTATAGTAGATTTCAGATGTATAGATAGTAGATTTCAATAGCAAAAAGATCCGGCATCTACTATATATAAAAGGGAAGTATCTCTCCTTCTATCTGTCTGTACGCGCGAGTTCCCGGCTCCCCGTGTGCCGATTTTCATGATTTTAAGTTTGTTTGGCTTAGAATTCTATGTAATTATGCATCTCATATTTCGTTTTTTAAAAAGCAAAAGACACGCCACAGCCGGGAGTCGAACCCGAGTCATGTAGGCCGTAGACACGACTGCACCACGGCGACAAAAACTATGCGTCAGCCCCAAAACATCCAGCCAGAATTTAATTTTTGGCTGGTTAAAATATAATTTAACATTTGTCTATCATTATCCATAGAGTCTTGATGAGTGGAGCAGCGGCATCTGTATCACAAATGACCAACCCTACCTCACGGAAGCGATCTCAAAACGGAAATGTTCAGGTAGATAAAAAACAATAGTCTGTAAAGTTAATCGGTACTCATGGGTTATACATCCACAGCGACTCAACTAGGAATTTACATCCACATGTTCCGGATCGGGGGTGCATCATCGAGGTAGAGCGTCTTTTTTGAAGAGGAAGAACAATTCTGGGCGAGTGCTGCCTCAGGTTTGGATATTCGGAGGAAACTGTCGAGAGACAAAGCAAGCGTTTATGGTTGAAGTGAAGGATCGCTCTGCCAAAACTCTTGCGGAAGAAATCAGCAAACACATTGGAATCGACTTCCACGATCTACAGAATTGTTGGCGAGGCTACAACACCAAACAACTCAAGCAGGCTTTACGGACGCCACAGTCAACCACAAGTTCAACTCTTCGAATCCTGATTATCCCTCCATCCAAACGCCAACGATCGAGCGTCTTTGGGGTTTTGCCAAATGGCGCAACAAGAAGGAACCCTCGCTAGTTTCTCTCGAACTACTTAACTGAATTTTTGACGGAGGACAATTTCTTCCCATAGATCCACAATCAAACCTTTATTTATTGGCCATGTGTTTGATTCATTTTTGACTGTTTGCGTTGAGCTTTGGCTACTAGCATAGCGGATAAGATGCAGATTAGAGATGTGGATGTATATTTCCAGTTGCGTCGCTGTGTATGTAAGTAAGAGTCTTCTACGATGTTTCACGAGTTTTATAGTTGTTTCACGAGTTACATCGAGTGACAAGCACCGTTTAATCTATACAAGATACAAGATCAAAATGTGTGAATGATTGTGTTTTCACTTTTTCAACCTTTTCAAATGCTTAGTATTCCTTGAGTAGAGAGGAGAGTGGATGGGTCGAACTGTCGATTCCCCAAAAGATCCACCACGCCCCCTGTACCTACCCCTTTGCCCCTACTTCCAATCCCATCCCTACTTGCTTTCACAAACTGTGCCACTTTTCTCTCTAGAAATTTTCATTAAACAATCTTTCAGGGAACCGGTTTTGGGAGCTCTATTTTTTAAAAACTTCACTCAACCTTACGCTCATTGTGAGAACTCCCTCCGCTCTTTGGTAGAAAACTTCCTCCGCACTCCTTAACAGCCAAATATGCAAAATGTTTATAGCTAGAGTTCTTACTACTTACTTAGTTCTTACTAAGTTTAAGTAGGCTAGGTAACAAACATTTATTGAACTGAAACGTCTCGAAAACCAAATTGCAAAACCTAAGCAGCTAAATAAACTTTTTAAAGATTGAAGCTAGCATGTTGTCTCACTAATTAACCTTTTTGTAACCAATTTTTGAATCAATTTAACTTTTCAGACTCATAATGAGAGTGAGATGAGTGTTGACGAGCACCTCTCATCAATTCCTTCTCCACAACATTGGATTGATCAATTTCGATATACACAGGTTTGTCAAGAATGAGAAACTTGAAAATTGCATTATTGTATTGTATTGAAAATACATTATTGTATTACATCATTTGAACTCAATGAATTCGATTGTACTACGATACTCTTAGCAATACAATACTCAATGAATTCGATTGTACTTTTACAATACTCTCTACAATACTCTCAATACTCTTTACAATACTCTACAATATTCTTGTAACACTCCTATCATCCATATTTAGAAAGTTTTAGCAGTTTGCATTTCCTTCTTTCCTCAAGTTCTTTAGAAAGTTAATCAAAATTTTCAAAGTAAATTTTAAAAATTAATGATCACGCTCTTTCGCATATTCCTTCGATACCATATAGCCCAAATCGGTAAAAAGTTTATGAGAAGACACAGGGGAACGTTCCATCTTTTTTTCTTTCCTTTACTTTTCCGCTACTTTCCCCAACTTCCACTCTGCTTTTTTCCTTTCTTGATCAAAATTCCCGTAAACATGTTCTCATCGGTGACTTCAAGGTCATTTCACTCTCATCCTTTACTTTTCTTTTCCTTTTTTTTACCATTTCGGACTTTCGATGTGTTCAATGTCGTTTCTTCTACTTTCCATCATTTTCTTTTGAAAGATGGGCTCACCACAAATCTGTAAAGAAAAAAAAATCGATCAGAAAGTTTTGGTAAAACTTTCTGATCTAAAATCGAAAATTTCTGATTCACACTTAAACTATTCAGCTGTGATCTGAAAGAACGTTAATTTATGTAACGAGTTTTTCAAACTCTGATTGTTATTAGATATTTAACGCACTAATTTTTAAGGAAATTCTTTCCGCTTCAGTATTATAATACTTCAACTCGAACTTTAACTTCAACCTCAACTTTTCCCTGCGGCTAAACTTTTCCCCATAAAAAAAATTCAGAGTTCCGGCTTCGTCATTTCTGAAATCGAGTGTGTTGGCCAGTTGGTTGGGGAGGCTGTCCAAAGGAAAAAAATTGAGAAAAGGATTGGGCAAGAGAGAAGAAATGGGGAAACCTTTTTACAGCAATGGCCGGCTGGATGGGAAGGGGAGGGGAATTTACTGCGAATGAGGAAAGGGAAAAGAGAAAAGAATGAAAGAGAAAAGAATGAAAAGAGGAAGAGCTCTTTGCGAGGAATGGGGCAGCCGTTCGTTCGCCCCAGCGGACACCCTTCTCTTTTGATCGAAAAATGGGAAAGGAGAGGGCAGCGGCAGGCGTTTCTCCTCTTCTTTCCATTTTATCTCTCTGGGTCTCTTTGATCTCCGAGAAATGCCCTTTGCCGAAGTGCATTTCTCTGCTTCTCTTTCTTTTAACAACTATCGCCAATTTCTATCTTCTCGTTTACCATGTTCTCTTCAAGATTGTTCTTCTTTCCTCAGTCCTTCTCTTTTCTCTCCATCTATCCAATATTTCTCTTTTCGTTTCACATCTCTATTCCACGATCTTTTACCTCTTCTATAACTTGTTATAGATCTTTCTCTATAACTTGTCCTTCAATCTTCCTTTTCTTTGGCAGATCTCTGCTTGCCCAGAGATCTCTGTGTTTCCATCTCTATCTCTCTTCCTCCATCTTTCTTTTCTCCATCTCTTTTCTCTAATCACCCCATCTTTTTTATTTCTCATCTCATTCCCTTTCCCTACCCAAACCTTTTTTCGGTGTTCATTCCCTTGTCGGTCAGTCTCTCACTCACTCTTTTTCCTTTTCCATTTTTTTCTCACTCTTCTCGTCTCTGTGCTCATCGACGCCCCCCCCCAAGAACCACGATGAAAATCGATCTCCACCCCAGGACTCTCCTCTCTTTCCCTTCCATCTCACTCTAGTCATCCACACGATTACTGTTTTTTTCCAAAGATTTTTTTTTGAAAGCCCCGGCTCTTTTTGGAGAAAAGATTAAGAAGTGCTCGCCTTTTTTGACTTTCTCGATACATAGACTTTTGATCTATTCCAAGTGTTGAATTGTGTCCAAGTACCCAACCCAGGTGTTTGAAAGTTCTGAAAAACAAAGAGCTGCCTTACAAACTTTATGAGAAAAGATAATCAATCCTAATTTCCATCGAAAGTTTGGAAATAGTAGGAAAAACTATTTCCATTAGAAAAAAAAAGTAGGAAAAACTCGTGTTGAAACAAAGCATTAGAAGCAGTTTTGTAGATTCGATTCAAGTTTCATTAGAAACTGAGGCTATGAGCTTATGTTCGGCACTTTCTCAAACTTCCTTAGCTTGAAAATTCTTTAAAAAAATCGATTTCTTTGAAGTATTTTTAAAGCTAGGACTAACCAAGCGGCAAATGCAAGCCAAAGCTAGCCATCTGTCCTTGAATTGGATTTTTGGGTCTTGAAACAGTATTAAGGCAACTTTGAAGCTTTTTCTGAATTTTCCAATCTCTAATGATTCTGTTTTTCCCCACAGCCTCCTCGTTCTTGCCAATTCTACTCAAAAAGAGCATCTACTTTTTTGAGAAAGAGAGTCCCCTCAAGGGATGGGAGATTGGAAGTGAGTGAGGGGGAAGGCCTCGATCAGGGGAATACCCACTCCCTTTTTGATGAAAGGACTGATGAGTGAATGAACCCCCTTTATCTTCTTTACTTGACTAATTCCGCACACTTGCAAGGATAAACCATTGATTAAATGAATCGCTAACCATAACTCGGGAATAACTTCAAGAATTTTCTAAGTTTGTTGTATACTCCAATTAGTTGGTTAAATAACCAGAACATGTTTTGCAAATCCCAAAAAATGCCTTGCGAATTTAGATTTTGGATTTTGGCTTTGCTTGGCTTCAATAGTCATATCGAAAGACGAAACTTTACCAACTTTCATTTTTTTCTTTCCTTTTCCATTTTTCATTCATTCGTCAATTGATTCATCTCACTTCTTTTCTTTTTACTATTTATTTTCCTTTCTTTTAATGGCTTTTTCTGGAACCTTGATCTTTAAATCTCTCAACTTTTTCTTCGTTGATCGATATCGAGCAAACAGATTCGGTAATCTAACGGTAAAAGACTAATCTAACGGATGATCGGAACAAAAAACTAATCTAACGGAAAAAAAAGTTCTGAAATAGAATTAAGAACGAAAATGTAATTATTAGGTGTATTTGAAACATAAAAAATGAAAGTGATAGGAAATCTACCAAATGGGTGTTCTGAAGCTTGAATTCACACAATTTGTCCTTTTGTAGATGTAAATTATTATGATTGCACAAAATTTCTATTAAAACCACAATAATTTCGAATCCTGTTTCAAGAACACTTCATCATTTAGTAGAAATCTATAATCATCCCTTTTCATCTTTTTCTTGGCCCATTTTTTCGGTTGAGCGTTGATGGACTCTGCGGGGATTTATAATTGATTTTGGGGGCTAAAAACGAACGATGTGAGGCCAAAAGAAAAAAAATGAGAAAAAGGAGGGTCGAGGTATGGAAAAAAAGTGGGAAAAGATAGATTTTCTTGAGTTATACCGGACTAAGCTGAAGATATTCAAACGAATTTTCACTAACGATTATTTGAAAGCTGAATACTATGGAAAGTCTATTGCAGCCGATATTTTGTAATTTGTTTGCAAATGTGAGTTGTTACTGTTAATATGTAGCAACTAGGTAAAGGTAGAAAATGATTTTCAGTCGCAAATTTTAAATGTTAATTTTCGCGCGACGTCGCATTCCAATTGACGTCGCCGCCATTTGGAGGTAGTCGATGGGAGCGCCGCGTCGTCGTTTCCTTTTCATTTTTTAAAATCATTTTGTTTTTGTCATTTTTTTGTCATGTTTTTGTCAGATTAGCTGAAATTATTGTTTTACGCGAGAAATTTTGTGTTTCTCTTTGAAATGAGAAAGAAATCTATTTCCATTTGGGAGCCGAGTGGAGAATCGGGAACTTTTCATAGCCGGACCGCAATGAAGGCCAAAACTAATTGTATGGTTTGGGGAATTGAATGGAAACAACGAAAGCAAAGCTCGTTTCCTGGACCGTTACAAAACTTAAATACCTAGACCATTAGTTTGGTGGTCTAGGTATCTCGAAAAGCTAAACGCTTTTCTGGTACACTCACTCATGTCTTCTAGTGAAAATTTTCAATCTGGATCACTGAGCCTCGTTTCATCCTTTGTTGCTAGATCAGTTGATTAACAATAATTAATAGATTAATAACAATATTTGTATTATTTAATACGTAAATGGACCTTTTACTTGATTTTTCTAATTGTACGAGTAAAAGTTTTGCTTTTCCTTTTAATGCTTTTCCTTTAAAACCATTCATAATCCCATAAGAATTTAAATGAAGGTACTCCGTTGATCGATCCGAAGCGGATCCATTGAAAAATCTTCAAACTTCTTCGAAAAATCTCATCCATTGAATGGTTTCATTTCTCCAAAAGTGAGCTTTGCTCTAAAACCATCGTCAATTTTTCTATTCAAATTAAAAGAGCATTGAATTGAAAAGAAAGAATTCTTTTTTCTAAAGGGATTAGCGTTTGGATTCTTCCTTTTTTTGAAGTGTGTCTCCTCCATTTTTTCCTCGTTTAGCTGAAGACGTTTGTAGTCAATGCTCAGATTTAGAAGGGAATAGAGTGATGAAGGGGACATAGAACGCACAAGAATTTCTTCTTATTATCATTATACGCTTTCATTATATATTATCTTTATCATTATCTATTTTCTTGATCACTTTATAAACAAGAACATAAAGTAGCTAGCTGGCTCGGTTTAAAGTGCCACTTTGTGGATCAAGAGCCGATGAATCCCTTTAGAAAGACAATGACTGTGATTCTGTTTTGAAAAGTGCAAATATAAGTTGCTTCTTTATTTCTATATAATATCCAACTTTGTCTAGTTATTTGGAATATGATTTCAAAAGTTCATTTTTGATGAAAAAATCTAGAAAAATGATCGCAACAAGAGACGACGTTCAGATTGGAACAACGAGATAAGACATGCCACCCACAAACCCCCCATCCCTTTTTCTCTTTTTCTCGTCAAGAAATGCAAAAAGGATTCCATTTTTTTCTTATCAACACAAAAATTCGTCGTTGTTTCACCCCTTTTGCTCTCTTTTTCGTTTTCTTCAAAGGAACCAAAAAAATATCGCCCAAATGAGGCGTTTTCGACAAAGAGATTGATCTGTTTTTCAAAAAACAGCTTTTTTGAAAATTCTCCTTTACCATTTTGGTCTGAAATGAAAGTAACATGGTTTTTTCTTCACAATTTGTACTTTATCGTTATACCTTTTGATTTTACCATTCGAATTCTTAACGACATTGAGCAACGTGATCGATATAACTATCTTGGAAAAAGGTGTAGAGAGCATTTTGAACATTCAATAAAATCTCATACCTGTCAACTGACTAAAGCGCGTTGGGATTGGATTTAGCCCTTCATTCACCTGGGAATGAAAATAGGCTTTCACATCGGCGCACAAACGTTAGAGCCATTAATCCTTGTAAGCCTTGAATGATTGATCCTTGTAATAAGATTGTACTTCTATAGTAAAAAGTAGATTGGGTGGTATAACGGTATTGATGCCTAGGGAAAAATAGGGAGGTATAAGGGTAAAGTACCAAAACTTTTATTGCTTTGTTTTAGGCCTTCCGAATTGTTTTCATTATGGAAAAGCTTTAATTTTAAGCTAAGCTAAATAACTCCTGCCAATTTCCCTCAAATAAACGACAGTGTAACTTTTTTAAAAACTCATTTTCGAATGTTCAACTTTCTTTCTTGATCATCTTGATTCTTGATCTTCTTTTGTTTGTTCTTTCTTTCTTTCTTTTCAATAGTAAAAGCCAAACTCTTCCACGAGTTTTTAAATCAACAAAATCACAAAACAGTTTGACAAGTACTTTCTAAATATCAAAATTTAGGACCTAGCAATGCTGGGTGGAATGGCAGTAGGCGGAGTGGGGAAAGATCCTTACAAATTGGGTGGAGGACAACAAAATGGAGGAGTAAATGGACAGCAACAAGGAGTAACATCAATGATTGTATCGAATACATCAAATGGACAACCACAAGGGACAACATCTGTTGGAGGATTGCCTCCCTGTCCACAACAGATTATCATTAATAGGTATGTGGTTTTATTTCTTTGATATGTTTTGACCTAGTACTACTCAAAAAGTACTTTAAAAATGACCAAAATGACAGCTGTCTTCAAGTTGTTTTCAAAATAGTGAAACGGGCAAAATAGTAAATAGTAAATATGCTAAATATTGTTAGCTTTAGCTTAAGCTTGAGTTTACCCAGTTTATCCAATCTAATACATCTAAAACTAATAAGAAGTACTATCTTTGTGTTCTTTTTTGAAACGCTTTTAACTGCTGTGTACTGTGTCTGCACATTGAAACTAAATTTTTCGTTCTTTTTCAGGAAATTATTAGAAAAATTTCTTTGGAAGCATTTTGAATGGAATTAGTGAAAAGAAATCGGATTTCCCCATTTCCTTTTCTCCTCGAAGTGAGATTTGTGTTTTAGCCGAGAGATAATCCGTATCTTGAAATCATTTTCACAAATCCTTCTCTTCTTGCCTTTTCCTTCAAATCCCCTCAATTTACCCCTTCTTCCATAACGATCTTTTCGTTGTAGACGTCATCATTTTGCAAATATTCTCTCTTGAGATAATTAATGTTCAAAAAAGATTGATTCTGAGAAAAAAAAATAAAGAAATAAAGATTTCTCAGTGATTTTCAACAAATAAAAATTTTCCAGTGATTTCCTCCGATGTGAGGAGAATGGTGGACGAGTTGGTGGTGGTGTTCGTGGTGGATCATCATCTGGTGGCCCATCATCATCAAGTTGTTCTCCTTCATCAAGTGATCACAATCATCACATCTTGAGGCATACAAGTAGCACGGGTTATTTTTGAATTGTTTTAAACTTCAAATCAAACACGGCAAATTTGCTTTCTCTTCTTTTTACTCCCTAAAGCTCTGAAGCTAGCTAGAATCCGAACTACCTTGATCTATTCTGAGCTTAAACCAAATTAAAACTAAACAACGTGGAGATTAAGTTGCTTTCAATTCTTTACAAAGCTTTAGATTCGACTCTAGATGTGGTGAACAGTATGATTAACAATGCCCAGTTGAAGACTGAACCCCTCGAGGCTGCTTATGGATTACCGTCACTTATTGGAATGCCAATGCATTTGAGTAAGTCTAAAACACATTTTCTCATGAATTATGAAAAATAAGTGTAAAGAAAGAAAGTTCCTATTGAAAATTCCGATTGACGTGCGGCTCTAAGGGACTGGCGCGAAAGCGCCGCAGCACGCTTTCTAAAGCGTGGATACGCACTGTACCCCGCACAAAAATTTCCCTGTTGCCATTCTTTTAATTTTTAATTTTTCTATATCGAATCGCTAATGCAACATTTTAGATCCCTACCAAAATGCTCGCAATTCTATTGACGCTCCCCGATCAAGCACTGGCAATCCAGCATCCGTGGTTTGTCTTACAAAAAAAATAAAAACCCTTTTGATATTTTATTTACTTTTAAACTAAACAAATATTGAGATAATTTCCAGCAAGGTCGTCGCACGAGAAGCTCTACAGATGGAATGTTCAAATGCCAGTTTTGCCCGAAGAAATGGACAGACGAGTCATTGGTGAGTGGAAAAACAGAACTAAACCGTTTTGACGAAATGTTTTTTAGTTGCAACAACACATGGGTGATTGCCGAATGGTGAGAGTTCACGAGTGCGCACAATGCGGGAAACGATTCAAAGCTCGCGGAGGACTTCAACAACATATGAGGTGAGAGGAAAAAAACTAATTAACTTGTTTTACTAATTCAAAATTGAAATCTTATGCAACCTCTTTAAAAATTGTTCAAAAGGTTTATTAGCTGTAGCTCGTTCATCAGAATGCTTTGAAAAAAGAAAGTTTTATCCTTTGAGAATTTTAGCCTATTCATATAGGTGAGAGCAATGAGTACTTATCGCTAATCGTTATTTCGTTTAAAATCTTTTTCAAATAATTCTTTTAGATCTCGAATTCACTCAAATGATCGACCGTATGCGTGCCAGTTTTGTGCAAAACGATTCACACAAAAAAGTCACGTCGACCAACATGAAAGGATTCATACAGGTGAGTGCAATGAGTACCGATCGCTAATTGTAGGCAAGTCTAGGTTAAATTATTTGCGTTAAATGAAATCTTTAGGTGTGAAACCGTTTATTTGTCAATTTTGTGGTCGGGCCTTTCGACAACGATCGCAACAAATGGGACACGAGGCAACTCATCAACATTCGGGAAGTAGAGGACATCGACGAAATACAAACGATGATGAGGTTGGGGAAGATTTTGGCTATTTTGTTATATACTTAATACTAGTTCTTGTTGTAAAAAAAACTACTTTCAGGGCCATCGTCAACAACAATCAGTCAGCCTACAACAGCAACAGAGTCATCAACAAGTACAAGTGCAGCAGCAGCCCCAACAAAATCAACAAGTAGGCAAAGAGCTGTTTCAGCTTAAAAACTTTTAAATTAAGCTCGATTCCGTGTCGGCTTTGGATTCAATGCTTCACCAATCACTTCCCTCAATGGTTCAACAACAAACGAATGGACTCCAGTTGGCACAACAAAATAGTGGGTGATAGTGAATGTATTTAATCTTCAAACGGCGGTACCATGCATTAAATTAACATTTAAAAAGCTTTACTGTCCTGCATACCGTTTCTAAAGTGAGATCTTTTGTTAGCTTTTTGTGTTATGGCAAGAGAACAAACCTATTCAATCAATTTTCAGCTTCTCCACCAACTTCATCAGGCCCTCTAGCTGCTCCTCCACTCAACAATCTTTTCGGTTTCCCCGCAAATTGTGCCAATAATGCCATGTCATCACTTTTGGCTCTCAGTCAGGTATCGTTGAAATTAAGGGTACTACCCTGTTACACATCCCCACGCGTTTTGTGCACCCAAGTTAGGCTACTTTAAAATCATGTGTTTAGATTAAGTTCAAGATATGTTAAGGTTATTTAGTTTTGGACCAAGCATAGATTAGATAAACATATGCATCAAGTAGATAAAAAATATGATAAATCCAAAATGGTTAGGTCAATTGGCGTGGGGATGTATGAAAGGATCGTACCAAATCAAGGAATGTAAAATTTAAAACATAGTATTAACTATAAGCTGTTTAACTATAAGCTGTTTAACTGTAAGCTGATTACCTAGAAATAACGTTTTAAAGTGTCGATATTTTAAAGTTTTAACCGATATTTTAAAGTTTTCTTTTCAGAATATGTGCCCACCCCAACCGGGAGCCTATGGTGGAAATATGAACAATATGGCTCTTGGAATCATCAATTCAATACAATAAAAGAAAAAAAATTGAATATTTTTGCAGCCACTCAATTACCTAGGTAGCTTGTCCCTTTCTTGCTATTTTATACGGTGTGAGAGCCAGTTGGGTAATCCATTTTTTCGCACAGTTTCCTTCAGGTTTTGAGATTTTTCTTGAATTGTTCTTTGACACCAAAACCATGTTTTTCTTTAATAGGATAGTCCTTTCTTTTCTCTGCTTTGCTAAGCCTTATTTTGGCCTAAAACTACAAATTCCTGTAAAAGGCCCCTAGTCACAATTTTATTGGAAACCATCAGAAGAAAACATTTTGATGGATTTTTCCGTAAATTCATCCATTTAGTGAAAATAGTTGCCATTATATGAAATGATTTCCTTTATTTTTATTCAGAAACTGAAAATCGTTTAGCGATTTGAAAAACGAACTAGTTTCAATCAAAAGACTTCAAATTTGAGAAATATATGAAAATGAATACTCTTAAAATTGACTCATTCAAGTTGATCGATCAAATCAACTCTAAAGTGGTGAGTTTTTGTCTAAGAAGATTTCTGACTTAATGAGAGTAAATTTGAGGATGTTTTTCAATGATCGGAAAATTATTTTCCTAAGATCTTCCCTTTTTGATTGTTCCCAGTGTTTTCCCTGTGTAATTGCGAATGATGAAGTCTCTTTTTAGCGAATTCATCAAAAAAAACACATTTGCAGGCATTCTTTGAGTTTTTTTTACTTTTGTATGTACCATTTTCTCCCTTTCAACCTGCCAAATCCGGTTTCCCAAAAGAAGTTTTCTGAACTTTTCTGAACTTTTCTTTTTCTAATACTTTGTAGTCGCGTACCACGATTTAGTCGAGTCAAATTGGTTTTATTGATATCTTAGTTAATGATTTAGTTATCTGATCTTTTCTTATATACGTTGAAAAGTTTGTAATTTTGCTTGAGCTCTGACTATGAGATTTTGCGCATCGAGCTTTTTTCGTTGATCTGGAAATGGTTGCTTGACAAGATATGGTAAAATATGTAAACAAATCGATTTTTTTACACCGATTGTCTAGCAAGTACAGAAAAGGGCAATTTTTCAGTTCAAATGCCATCCCAGTCGTACTCAATGACTGAAAGTAGGTAACATCTTACAGCTATAAGTTGTCAGATACTAACAGTACTAACAGATACTGTTAGTATCTGACTAGTTAGTTGTTCATATTAAATCCATTCAACTAAAAGATTCAAAATTCATTAAACTGGCAGAATTAGCTTTCTCATCAATTAGTTTTCTGTTTAGAATTAGTTTTCCCATCAAAATCTCATTGTCAGCAAGCAATCCGTTCACACATTATTAGCTTTTCTATAGTGGTGACGAAGTAGAGATCTCACCAAAAAAAATCGATATTCTTTAATTGACGGATTGGTAACACAATTTGTTATAGAATTTTATATTTGTTTCATGTATTGTTTTCTCGTTTCTTTTGCCCAATTTTGTAGGAGCTAGCCAAAAAGGCCTCCTACGTAACAAAATGATTTCCCGCCCGGTAGTTTTAATTGAAAATTGCACACGGTTAGCGCCCAAATTGAACGTGGTTAGATATTTCTTGTTTTCATTTTTCTCTTGTTATTGACTTTGAAATATTTATGGCATGATTTCCTCTTTTCCCGTTTGAATTTACCCCGATTTCCTTTACAGGACGTTGATTCGGTCTAGATTTATTTCAATGGTATTTGGCAGGAAATGATAAAAAGGAAAAGGCAAAATTGGTAAAAATCACTCCAAAAACCTTGAATGAGTCAAAAATTGCATTTTGCATTTTGTGTTTTCTTTGTGTACGTTTATTTCCCCGAGCGAACGGTGTTTGATTTGAGTACAATAAAACATTCTTGCTTCAGCGGTGCATTTAGCGGAACAGAGAAAAGAGATCTTATGACTGAATGGCTTTAAATGCCCAACAACACTAAAGTTATTCTGTTTACATTAAAATACTTATCTCATACTGTAGATTTTAAAGGGTAGCAACACTAGTATTTTTGAAGGCATATCAGCATATTTTTTGGTTATCGGACATTTGATACGCGCCATTGGCAACCTAACTTTGAGCTCAAATTTCTTGGCGTTGACTTGTCCAATTTAAACAGTTTTTATACCAATCGATAGAGAAAGACTTGGTGCATCTAACAATACCAAGAATATTTAAATTGGAGAGATTAACACAAAGATATTTGAGCTCAAAGTTAGATTGTTAATGGCAAAGGGGGCGAGGCGCGTATCAAATGTCTTACAATCTATATTTTTGGATTCTTATTTTTTTTGTGCTGTATAGCATGCAGAGATTTTTGGGTAGCAATATTTACTGGCAACAAAATGAAAACTCAAAGCTTTGACCACCTTTATGCAATGAGAGTTGAGGCTGTGCTACTCTCATATCTCCATGAAGGCGGCAAAGCTTTCGATGTTTTGTAGTAACGAGCCAAACGATGAATTCGTGATTCAACGAGAATCAGGCGATACTTGGAATCACGATCCTTTCGACACCTTTCCAAATGTTTTCGAATGTTCACCGCCTTTTTCACCAAATGATATAAATCCTCGGGAATCTCAGGTGCCATTCCCTAAAAATGCATCACTTTTGATAATCAACGCTACGTATTTGACCTCCTGGGCTAGTAAAAATAGTAAAAGTATATCCGTAATCTTACCATTTCAGTAAGAGCATAGTTTGGCATTTACATTTAACCAAAACGCTCCAGCAATTCGCCATAAAATGTTTCTCATAAAGAGAATTTGCTTATCAAAGTAGTAATTTAATTTAAAGTAGTAATTTATTCAGTACTTTACTCATTAACAATTGAAATTCATGTCGATTTACCTTGGCTTTAAGAATCCTGACAATCTTGTTGCCGGTTATTCGACGGACCTGAGCGATCCCGTGCGAATCACGCAACAAGACACCGATTTGCGATGGACGAAGACCCTAAAAGTTTCAAATACAGTTGGACAATCAGTTTTCCGCAAATTATGAATAAAAACTAACCTGAGAACACCTATGGCAGAGGAAGGAATCGAACCTCACACTCTCACAGGATGTTCATTCCACAACAAACAAACCTTCTTTGCAAGACGGCAAATTTGTTCCACAACATCATCACCGCTCATTTTCAGCCATGTCGGAACAGATCGGCGATACGGCAGTGCCGATTTGGCCATTCCTTTACCCGGATTATGCATTCGACCCATTATTTATCGATAAGTGCCAGGAGTTGTGTTTACCTAAAATTTTATTTTAAAAATGAAGAAATAGAGAAATAAAAGAAATCTTTTATAAAAGATCTTTTATATAAAAACTTTGAAGGCTCTTTCCCTGAATCGTGCTCTTTTGAAATTTTCGTGGTTTTTTGTTTTTCATAGTCATATGCGGCGAAAGTTTCGTTCTTTTTAAAATTATCTTTAATTGAATTCTCTCTGATTGTTATTATTTCATAAGTGTCTATGGCCAAAAGAGCCAAAAGAGTCAAAAGAAAGCCAATCTTTAACAGAATTTAAATCTTATTACTGTTTTTAAATAGCTCCTTTAGATTTTGAGTTATCGCTATTCTACGCTCTTCGAAAAAAGTCTCATGGTACATATTTTTGCGCTTTTCATTGCAAAAATTTCTATAAAAACTACAAACTTATTGAAAACTGTTGTTGTATTTTCAGTTTGAAACTGATAAAAAATCTTTTTGCAGACTTCTAGTCGTCTGAGTTCTAAGGTTAATAGATTTTCTTATCCTGGTAATACTGGTGTGACCACAGAGCACACAAAAACTAGGGTAACTCAAAATCGAAAGAAGCTATTGAAAAATGGTAAAAAGATTTAAATTCTGTGAAAGATTGGCTATCTTTTGGCTATAAACACTTATGAAATAATAACAATCAAAGAGATTTCAATTAAAGAGAATTGAAAAAAGAACAGAACTTTCGCCGGACCCTGTAATAAAGTGCTAATAAAGCAAAAGCAAACGCACACGGGAGAAAAAGTAAAAGTCTCTTTCTATATAGTCTATAAATCTCTTTTTATATTTTATAAAACGCAAGTAGTTTATGTAATGTATATCCAATGCAACAAACAATTCAAAAATATTGTAAAAAAACGTTTTGTAAATATATTGAATGTTTCTACGAAATAGTTTTGATGAATTCTATTGTAAGATTCTATTGTAAATCTAATGTAAGAGCTCAATTTGCTAACGAGTATGACTATGGTAGCTTGATAAATCAGGAAAAAGGAAAATGAGGTCGCCGTATAAAAAACAGGGAAATATCGGACAGAAGAGAAGACTCTGCGATTGAAGTATTCACTAGCAACGTTATTAGGAGTGAAGTGTTCAGTTTGGCCGTTACAGAGCCTAGACCCTCTGAATTTGCAATGCATTCATCTAACAATGGCATTCATCAAAATTGCAAAACAAATCAAATTGCAAACGCGAACAAATTTGCAAAGGCAGCTGAACAAATCGGAAAACTTATGTTAGAGCCAGTCGAGTTATGAAATTTGAATTTATATACAAGACACTTACACTTCAGTGTCCGCTGGGCAAAGTGAACAAGCTTTGTTTTCAAGTTGGGTACACGTTAAACTTCTTGAGATTTTCACCCGAGTTTTGCTCAATCATTCGATATTTTTTGAGTTTTAAGAAAACTCACAAAAATCACTCCCTAAAATAACCCTGCCTTTCGGATCACCATGACAACAACGACATCAGAACTAAACCAATCTTTTTAAAGCATCAATTCATTTCGTATCTTAAAATCATGTCTTTTGTACCGATTAAAGATGGAGAATTTACTAGCACGATCTATGGAATGGTTTGTAAAAGTGCTGGCAATTCATTTCAACAAAATTTCAGATAAAAGACGGCAAATACAACGAGGTGATGCGCATCTTACAATACGAGCTACAAAGGAGTCCATCAGTATGCTTTTTGAGTGGTATTTTTAAAATGAACTTCAGAATCGTGCGGCACTATCTCTACTTGGCTACTGTCAATATTATACCCAAGTGAGAGATTGCTTACAATTAATCTAGAACAACATTGAGTTATTTCAGGATTTTCACGGAGCCGTTGAGTGCTACGAGCAGCTCACTCAACTTTATCCGAATTTCTCCGAGTACAAACTTTACTATGCTCAATCACTGTACAACGCGTTCATGTTTCCCGAGGCTATAGCTGTCGCTTCAACGGTAGAGTAGGGATTGTACAGTAGTACAGTATCTGGACTTTAGATTGAAGATCCAAGTCTTCTTAGCGAAGTAATCAAACTTGAGGCGGCTATTAAATACAGGTAGACAATCACATAGCATTAAATCTTTTAACCGAATGGTAACCTATTAATCTTTTAACCGATGTTTGTTATCTAATCAACAAAATAGCAAAATAAAATGATGAGAAAGAGTCAAACTCTAGAGAAGAAGATCTCACAAATGCTCGAATTCTTGTCGAACAATTCCCACAAGAAGACGTCGATATTGAAGTGAATCTTGCATGCCTGGATTACAAGGTGGAAAGAGGGGAAAGTTTTGTGATAAAGATGAGCTTTTCAGGAGAATAATTATGAAAAATCACTCGAGAGATTCAGTCGAGCTACTGGGACTTTTGGATATCAGGTGAGGAGAAAGGAAGGTAGTATTTTCGATAAAATAGGCACTCTGGATCACCTTTTAAGGTGAAAACAAGAGAACAAATGTACAGGTGTCCAATATTTGTGGGGACTAGTAGATTACTAGGTTTAGAGCTCATTTTGTACGGGTTTAATGCGAAGACGGAAATTTATCAACCCATTTTTTTAACCCCCCCCCCACCTTTTTCCTGGGGTCCTCTGCTCGGCCAATTTTGTTTTTAGACTCTGCTTTCTTAACTGAAATGTGATTCCAACATTTTTAACGCCCGGTAGATTTGAAAACTGTTAAATAGTGAAGGCTTTTTTATCGTTAAACAAGAACAACTGGGATCTGACCCCTTTTGGTGAAATTTGGTGATCGAATTCGATTAGTGATCGATTTGGTGATCGATTTTTGGAATATTAAATTTAGTAAACTGTAAAAATAATCTAGGAAGTCGAGTTTATTCCAACTTCTATGCTTTCTTGATGATTTTTTTCATAAATCGATTTTGAGAGCGCTAAACGATCAGCGAGCTCAAAAATCTCCATAAATATTGAACACCCTGTATATCTGATTGTGAGTTGTATTTTAGGATTGTATTATGAGTTTTATGTTTTATGAGTTTTATAATTCAAAAAAAATTTTTGTTTAGCCAGAACTCGCGTATGCTCAAGCCTTATGTCACTACCGAAGAAAGGAGTACCCACAAGCTCTCAAGTACATCACTGACATAATCGATAGAGGTGTAAAAGATCATCCAGGTCAGTTCAACAAAAAGAGATACAGATACAGTAAAGGATTTATTTCTTTAATCACAAAGCTCTCGCAATACACATCTTCCATAGGCTGTCCTCCGGTATCCCATTTCACATTGACATTGTGGGGCAAAACATTCGAGTCTCGTTTGATCACAACTCTATCATAACCATTATTTGAACTCTATCATAACCATTATCATTTTTCTAATTACCTCTTCTTCTTCCCCACATTTGAACTCACAATCCAGATTCCCACAGTCATTCAGAACCTCATTTAGCCCACAATCTGAAAGGAGAATTTTGTGTTTTGATAGAGAAAATGGTAGATTTGGTAGTTCTTGTCTAGCAAACCTAGCAATAAGTCTAGCGAACCTAGCAATAAGTCTAGCAAACCTAGCAATAAGTCTAGCAAACCTTGTTCTTGATTTTGTCCCATTTGTAGAATAAGTGGATTGATCCCTCCTTGATTATCTTGATCATTTTGTCCATTTTGATCCACCACTCCCTGATCGACTCCCGTTGAACTTTCAAGAAATCCATCATTAAGCGCACTTGTTGTAGTGTCTTCAACAGGAAATTGTGTAGTTGTTTCTTGACAAAATATGTTTGCCAAAAACACAAATATCCAGACTAGGTGATTCATATTTGCAATTTAAAATGATAAGTCGAAAGTGAGATTATCAATTTGGAAAAAAACGGAAAACGGCCAAAAATGAGCGATTAGCTACGAGTTTTGTCATATCTTGCAAATTGATTTTTTTGGTAAAATTGAAAAGTGATTTATTAGAGGTTTATTAGAGATGATTGGAGTTTAGTTCGTTTTTCTGAAGTCTCGGTTTTCCATTGATGTGATATTTCTTGAGTTCAGCCATCTAAAAGTGATTGAATGATGGAGAATTTGGTATGATACGGTGCTAAACTGCAATTTATCTCAACGGTAATTTGCTACCGGTACTTGGTACAGGGAGACTTACAAGGGAAGGTCAGTTGGCTAAGCCAAATGGCATGCGACCTATACCATTCGACTCAGAATTTTATGCTGATTCCGACTATGTATTCCGTTTTTGCTAAATGACAATCTGCCAGGAGTCATAAGCGTCTAAAGTTTTACTAGTGGTTGTTTGGGCCGTTTGGGTTAGAAAATGTGGTTGTTTGGGTCTTAGCGGTCTACTTGCGAAACCGATTTGGTGCAGCTGTGACCCGGGGGTACAGCGTTCGTTTTCAGGGCGAGATCTCGCAAGTTCGACCCCGCTCTGGTTTTTTCTTTTGCTTTTTTTCAAGAAGTGCTGACTAGTGTTCTTTGTAACAACATATTTCTTGTTGTTGGACTAGTGTTTACCGTATTTCTAAATATTAATATTACCATTGTGTAGCCCTTGAAAAGAGCTTTCAGAAAATGTATAACACTAATAGTTTAAATTCAAAGCCAAGGGAGTTACAGACGCGCGATAGTGACGATCGTTTTTCAAATATGATATTTCATTGTCCAGTACTGTATTTCTTGGCAACGTATTGTAACATATATTTAGCAAAAACTGAATACACATTCTGAATCAACATAAAATTCTGAGTCGAATGGTATGGGTCGCATAGTATTTAGCTCAGCCAGTTGACCTGTTAGTTTTCTACCCGTAAGGTAGCTAATCTGTAGCTAATCTAGAGCACAACTTTTAGAAAAGCTTTATTATGTCTTAGTCGACTTGCCATAAAATCAATGAAACCCACTGATCAATGGTGGTGATTGCAGGATCGATGATCGATGAATAGAAAAAGAGAGCTCCTCTTGTTTGTGGCAAGTACAAGTAGAGAAGGAAAATAACCTAACAAAATAAAATAACCTACATATTTTACATCTTTCAGTTTCGATTTAGACACAATACTCAATGTATGTAGAACGTCCTAAACTTACCTTTGCTACATAATAAAATGGGAAATAGTGCAGAAGGGAATCGGTAAAGAAATCGAGCATCGAGAATGAAGCGAACACCGTCCAATAGATTAGCCATTGTGTGTCATCTCCTTTTGATGGGGATCGAATTGCCTTGATTCGGTATATAATTACACTTTTTCGATTGCAAAACAAACCTTAACCGAAGCGTACGCGGGATACGCGAATCCAATGAGATTACAGACAAATTGAGCTAAAGAACCGAAGATCAAATAGATCAACACTAATCCCAATAAACCGTAGAAAATCTAAGTGTTCTGTTGGGTTAAACCTTTGTTTTTTTATACTTGTTCCCGTTTCAAACGCGTTTTCTCTTCAATCAAATGAAGCGTTCGATCATAGGTTTCTCCATGAGAAGTGTAAAGAAAATTGCGAAGATCTTGCTAAAAATCAATACTATCAAGGCTTTAAAAAAATCAATGCTATCAATGCTTGATTTTTAATAAAATCAATGCTAAATTTCAATGTCCAACCAAAACTCCTCGATTCCGAAAGGCTGCCGACATTTTTTAGTTCAAAAAACAAAAAGAAAGAGAATGAAAGTAACCTGCTGCGGAAAACGAATGCTGTTGAAATCCATAAGATAAGCAAAATGAGTGCTGAAGAAAAAAGGATTGAGGCAATCGAAAAGCGATATTTCTCTTTGTGAATTGTGAAGTGGGGAACAGGCAGGTGAATCACAAAATAGTCGATAGAAAAAAAAGAGAGAACGTAAAAGAGGAAAGGATGAGAGGGGATGAAAAGATCACTTTGGACGCCTTCTATGAAATCATCCTTTTTCATACTAAACTTTTCAATCCAATAAACCAAAAAATAACGATTGATTGTTGTTGTGAGATATACCCAGCTAAACTTGTAGCAAGGTGATAGATATTGGTTTGACCAGAAAGTCTTTTCCGCCTTTTTAAAATTTTCGTTTATAAATGAATAAATAAATGAATAATTAGCCGATCAACGTGTGATTTGCTTTAAATAAAAGAGATTAACTATTTCATTTAGCTCATTTTTAGGCAGATTTGAGTCTGGTTTGAAGCAAATCCGAACGGGAGTTCTTGTTTCTCCTAAAATCCTTGCAATGGACATAGAATGAAAACCGCTTGGTGAAATGTTACGAAACTTTGTCTATCAAGCTCGATCAATTTTGTCGAATCTAGCAGCGGCATGAACGGAGACTTCGCGAGTCATTTTTGCAGCATCTTCGCATCCATGTTTTTTTCTTTCACTTTGGCTTTTCCGTTCTCTCGTTTGCTTCTTTGTCCGATTCCTCGTGCAATTCTTCAATTCACGTTGATGTTCTTGTCCTTCTTCCAAGAATCCGTTTAGTTTATGCTCACGCCGATCGCGAAACGCTTCAAAGTCATCCCAGCTTTCGTGATCGCTCATCAAACCTAAAAAAATAAAATTATCAAAGAAACCAAATAAGAAATACTAGAAAAGCAGTAAAAAGGAGAAGAATTGAATGAACATTTCAAACTTTTCACTCTTCATTCTCTATCTTTTGTCTTTTGACATCAAAATAGGTTTCTGTGACAAAAAATGCTCGAATCAGAACTTTGAGATTCATCGTTTTTGACTGCTTGACTTCGTACCTTTAAAAAAATAAACTAACGCAAACTTTTCAAAACTTCTTAAAGGGCAATTTGTAAATAAATAATAGGACTTTTTGATAAAACAAGCCATAGATCGATTGGTTCATTATTCATTTCAAAAAGTAACCTTTAAAAAGAGGACAAGACAAAATAATTAAAATATTTAATGTTTATCAAAGCACTTTCAGAGCTGCATGTGGGAATGGTGACAGAAGGGCTTGAGGTGAGATCTGTCGGTAACAGTCTTCTTCTTCACGAGACAGCACTCATCGAGGCTTGTAATCTCAAATTTGCCATCGAGTACAAGTTAAAGAACAGTAAGAATTACATTTTGAAAGTAAATTGCATTGCGTTTTCTTGAGTGGAAGCCGCCTCCGAGGCTCTCACCGATATGCCTCCGCGAGCGGAAGAAGAACTTGATGCGGTTACACTTCATAATCAGGTGGATACGGATAGGGATTGATCATTACATTTAATCTATATAGTACATGGTCTACATATATATAGAATATACTATGTATATTAATACATAGATAAAACTGTGTGCATCTATCAGGTAGAAAATAATTGCGTTTTTCTTAATGATTTTCAATTACAAAATTTTTTATTAAACAACAATCAAATTAATCAAAATAATAAGTTAAAATCAATACACTTTTGCCAATCAATACATCATTACACGAGTTGCCAAAGAGTTTTTCGATCCCTGCGGCAAAAATCGATCTGCCTAGAGGCGATGAAGTCTTCGATAGCAACTTTCACCTCTGTTTCGTTCTTGAAAATTTTGCCTACGATGTAAAGATCGAGATGCTTGAAAAAGTGATAATCTATTGGAGAAAGATCAGATGAATACCGGTGGATGAGGAAGAACTTCGATCTTCAAACTTTACAAGCAATTGAGGGTCTTCAAAAACACGTATGGGCGAGCATTGTTCTGCAACAATGGCCCTTTCGCAAAATGGGGCCCTTTCGATTAACCAAAGACGGGCTCAAGTTCCTCAATTTTGAATGCACTTCCTCAATTTGTTTAATATAAATGTTTGAATTCATCTTTTCTCCTGTTTTGAGCAAAGTATAATGAATGACGCCCTTTTTATATCACCAAACAGCGAGCATCATCTTCTTTGGATGAAGATCGGGCTTCGGGGGCAACGAGGTGCTTCTCCTTTGTCTAGCCACTCCGAATTTTGTTTTCGATTATCATATAGCATCCACTTTTCATTGTACGTGATCAGTCGGTCCAAAAATAAATCTCTATTGTTCCGAGATTTCAACGAAGAAGCAGCAAGACGGCCGCAAACCCTCCTTGTTATCAAGCAAGATCCTCGTCTCCTACCCGGAAACGTTTGAACCAAACTTAAGCGGCCCTTTAATATTTAATCTACATAGTACATGATCTACATAGTACATGATCTGCATATAGCTAATATATTATATCAATAGATAGGTAAAACTGTGTGCATTTAGAACGTATGCAGTACAATCAAGCCAAAATTTTAGGCACTCATTGGAATGGACTCATCTCCGGGTGACGGTTTTGCCAAGCTTCAATATTTATTGAGCCAGGTTTTCCATTGAAAACTTTTAAAGTATTATCTTTTCAGAATCCATTTCCACCGGAAACATTCGCAAATCTTTTATTGCTGTATTGCAAGTATGAGGTAAATCTTTGTCCTTTACTAAAAACAGATAACTTTCAGTACATCGATCTGGCGGCGGATGTTTTGGCGGAGAACGCTCATCTCACCTATAAACATTTAACACAAGTTGGTTATTTTGAAAAAAGCCCTGGTTAGGTTGACTATAAAGTAGTTATCTTTCGGATTTCCTTATTACCAAGCTGCTTCACTGATTCTCTTATTTAATTACCCTATGTACACTTCTTCAGTACTTGTATGATTATCTCGATGCTGTGATCAACATGCAAACATCACCCCAAGATGCCTATCATAAATTCGATGCAATGACGCAAGATATTACGAATGAATTAAGAAAATTGACAAAAAGAGTACAGGTGAGTTGAGTACAGATTAGAGATTTGAACTAGGAGAACAACTAGGAGAACTTTTTTAGGAGATTCGTCAATCCGCTGATGAGGATCAAATCCGAAAGGCCGTTGATGGATATGATGAAGCATTGGAGAGGTATTTAAGATAAAAAGAAACAACTTAAAGATACTATTGGGTTGGTGGATATGATATGGGATGGAAGACAATATGATATGGGATTCGAAGACAAAGTGAGGGGTCATCCAGCAGTCCAGCTGGATAATGCCAAGTTGCTCGAAATTTTTCAAACCAACAAAAGGCTTTCTTTTCGCGAAATAGCAGAAAAGTTATCAGCTGATTATACAATAATACTCAAAATAACAACAATAATACTGAATACACTTGGGTTTAAACCGTAGTAGGAACTTGGATTCCACATGATTTAACGGACACCCAGAAATGGCAACGTGTCAGAAATCAGTGCCGCTCATCTTTCTTGATACGAGCGCAAAGCTTTTTTACCCCGTATTGTGACGGGGGATGAAAATGGATTCTAACTGTCAACTTTCGGAGAAGGTGCCAATGGGTTGCTGAGAGGGAAAAGCCTAAACCCGACGTCAAGCCAAATGTGCATGAGAAGAAGTTTATGCTCTCGGTGTTCTAGGTTTTGGAAGAGCCTATCTACTGGGAACTTTTGGATAGCAAGACAACCCTCAACTTAATCAAATGCTCGAAGCAACTTGACAAGTCAGCCAAATCTTTGCTAGAGAAAAGAACTCAAAGAGAAAAATCATTCTTTAACATAATGCTAGACCGCATGTTTCGAAGATGACTCATTCTACACTAAACTCACTTGGATGGGAGGTGATTGCCCATCCGGCGTACAGCCCTGATCTTGTACCTTCTGAATACTACTTATTCCGGGTGATGAGCAATGATTTGGCAAACAAACACTTTGATTCCGAAGTAGAGGTCAGAAAATGGCTGACAGATTGGTTTGCGTCAAAAACGAAGATTTTCTACGAGGGAGGCATTCGACTTCTACCAGTAAAATAGGCACAAATCGTACAAAATAATGGCAAATATCTCTCATGATTTGAAGTTTTTTCCTAACAATTTTTAACCTAACAAACAATTTCTAGATATCTACCCGTTCTGATGTCACAAGCAAAAATCTACTGGGATCAACAAGATTACAGTCAAGTTGAGAAGATTTTTAGGTACAGAAAAGAGCTTTAAACACTTATTGTTAAAAATGAATCTTTGAAACTTGAAAGAATTAATTGAAAATTAAAAGAAAATGATTTTCCTCAGGAAATCAGTGGAGTTCGCTAGTGAGCACGATGTGTGGAAGTTGAATGTTGCCCATACTCTCTTCATGCAGGTGCACCAATGATCTCAACAAATTAGATAATAAAATTTAAAGGAGCAAAAATTCAAAGATGCAGCTGGATTCTATGAGCCAATCGTCAATAAACACTACGAAAATGTGAATACAAATTTCAATGCAAAGTTGACGATAGAGTTTAGATTCTCGAAATCTCGGCAATCGTTCTCGCAAATCTTTGCGTTTGCTATATTATGACGAACCAGAATGAAGAAGTATGCACTTTTTGGGAAATTATCTAAAAATTCCGATTTAGGCCGAAGAACTGATGCGGAAAGTGGAACGAGAAGAGGAAACAATTGGAGATACAAAGAAAACCTTTCATTTATGCATCATCAATCTTGTCATTGGGACTTTATACTGTAGTAAGGTTGTTCAAGCACAGAAGGTTGTTGAAATTATTTCAAAACCAGCAGAATCACAGCAAAAAAGTTTTGGTGCAAAAAGCAAAAGAATTGGCGGCAAGAGGAATCAAAACAGCGACGTCTCTCTTTCGTTCGTTTGGAAAACGCGCGTGCTAGCCAGTAGATAGCGCATTGCGAGCACACTTGTCTCTAGCCCACCCGACCCGGGTTCGACTTCGACTTGTCGGCACTTTTGGTTTTTTAAAATTTTGAAAACATGTTGCACAATTAGATGGAATTTTAAGCCAAGCTAACTATGTTATTTGATAAAACAAGCCATAGATCGATTGGTTCATTATTCATTTCCACCTACGGAATAGTAGTGCGCATAGACAGACAGACAGACAGACACAGCTCTTTTATATATCGTAGATTTCAGGGTAATTTTGAATTCGGTGTCTCTCGTGTAATCAAAGCAATGGAACCCTTTGAGAGAAAACTTGGCACCGATACTTGGTTTTACGCTAAAAGATGTCTTGTTGCGATGATTGAGACAATGGCTAAACAGGTAAAGTGATATGACGCTGTTTATGATAGTAGTGAAGCTAGGAAAGCAGAAATTCATGTATCAAATTGCTCAAATACACAATTTTGATACTTTCAGATGGTCGTAATGAGAGACGCAGTCGTTCATGAGGTTCTTCAATTTTTGGACAAAGCCGAAGGTAGAGATCGATTTTGATGCAAAGAAATTAGTCGTTTAGCTCATGGAAGAGATATTGTAACGTCACTGGATGGTCCTTTGATGGAAATTGCTCAGGTAAGGGGGAAAAAAGAATTTTAGACATTAGAGCTAAAGTCGAATAGCTAAAGCTTTTCAGGTCGATTCAGCGAAAAAAACGGTAACCTATGAAGCAAGACAAATCAAAGCTCTTCTAATGAAAGTGATCAATTATTGAAAGTAAAGTGAATAAAGTTCTGTTCTTTTTGAATAAACCCAACAATCCGAATTGAGAAAGAATTGAGATTGAAACAAAGAATCTGAATTGTATTTCCCGTTTCGCCAAACACTTTTTCTTGCTTGATCTCTTTTCTGATTCTTTTCGAACTCTTTTCTTTTTCTTGCTATTGATAAGTGTCTCCTAAAAAGAACTTAAACCTTTCCTTTCTCCCAATTTCCCCAATCGAAATCAAAAGACAAGCATAAATGAGAGAGAAGAGAGGTCAAATTTTGAGAAACAGTCGAAACGTTTTGTTCGAATGGCATCATATTTCTCTCTTTCAACTATCACACAATCGGAACAATCTATCGATCAGCCATTCTTTGCATATAACTGTTTTTAAATTGTTAGAAAAATCTAGCGGAAATTTTAAAGCTAATATCTATTGAATTCTATTTTTGTCCTTCTTAAATTTGCATATTCCAATAGCAGAGCTATTCGTTTTTCAGATCAATCCACCCAAGCGCACTCCAAAATCTACTACCTAGTTTTAAAGCAGGAATATTTTTAATGAAAGATATTTTGGATTGGTGTTGGCGTCATTATTTGATTGGATGTCATATATTCTGGATTGTTGCTGCTTGTTCTGTTTATTTTATGATTCTTGATATCAAAGGAGAAATCGATATATATCATACAGAAGTGAGTTGAAGAGTTACACTACTGGACAATGAAATATCATATTTGAAAAAGCACTTTCGCACTTTCGCGCGTCTGTAACTCCCTTGTCTTTACCGTATTTCTAAATATTAATATTACCATTATGTAGCCCTTGAAAAGAGCTTTCAGAAAATGTATAACACTAATAGTTTAAACTCAAATACAAGGGGGTTACAGACGCGCGAAAGTCATGATCGTTTTTCAAATATGATATTTCATTGTCCAGTACTGTAGACTTAAAAAGCTGATAAATCGAGATTTTAAGTAATAAATCGAAATTTTAAGTAATAAATCTAGGTTTTATACGAAATGGAACGATTTGAGTCGTATGAGAGAGAATTGAGAGGATTTGTTGAAAGAAATGCCACAGGTTGAGTGTTTGTTGTGTAATTAAATGGTAATTTGATCAGAATTGCTTCCACTGGAAGGGCTTTCAGTTGACATTCTCTATAGTAAGCCAAAATATATGCGAATTTTTTTCAGTTAAATCCGAGTCTTTGTCACGATTCGAAGCGATTCTTCGGATACGACAATATTTACCCCAAGTGAGTACTCAATTTGACGCGCAAGTGAAATTTTGATAATAGATAGTTACAGGGTGCGTGATAATTATAATTATAATATACCGTAAATACTGTAATCCCCACCCCCCTCGTACAGTCGCGTAGTCGCAAAAGTTTTTTAGTATTTCATTTTTTCAAAGCACCCGTACTTTTAAAAAATGCGTCCTTGGGATCAAAAAATGCGTCCTTGGTATCAAAAAATAGCCCTGAATTTCAGCTATTTTTTGATACCTAAGTGCGCATTGTAGCATAAACCAGTGTCGAGAAAAACGCGTCCAATGCTAGACTACGCAACGCTCCGCACCGTCATTATGGGGGTGGGGTACTATTACAGTATTTACGGTAGTTATATATTATAATTAATAATTATTAAATTATAATGCGTGATAATTGACCGCCTTTGAAAGCTTACTTGTGAAATAACCTAATTTTGAAAACAAATTTTATTTAGAAACATTTAAAACAAACAGTCAAACAAAAAAAAATCAATCAAACTCAATTCGACCTCCTTTTGCTTGAATGCACTTACGGAGACGACCAGGAAAAACATCAACCGTTCGCCGCAGGTAGCCGTCATCAAGATCATCTTCAACTTTGAGAAGAGCTGCCTTCAGGTGTTGATTGAGCTGTGAGATGAAGCACAAGCCTTGCTCTCCAAAATGGTCGACACTGAGTAATCCAGCGGATTGATTGAGTGTAATGTAAATGTAAATTGAGTCACAGAAGAACTTCTTTGATTAAAATATCATTCAAATAAAGATTTGAATTGGTTTTCACTCCAGCATCAACAAAAACAAGTGGCATCTTCCCATTGCTGGTGATGCATCCAAACAACATCTGGCCGGGTGAGTTTCTGGAAACGATTCCTCCTCCCTGAAGATTTCAACGCTTTTTTTGAAACACAACCGTTGGTTTTGGCCCTCGTCCAGCTCAATCAATTATTTTTCCAGTTGTCTTGAACAAGTTAACAGCTCCGAACAGTTCTTGACAAAACATTGAGCTTCGTTGAAATCTCTTTTGTGGTCATTTCGGCACGATGAAGATTGACGTTGATCCGCACTTCAAATGGGGAGCAACCATTCTCAAAATACAAGATTGAATAGTCTTTTCATAGAGAAGAACATCAATAACATAGAGAATAACAAAATCAAACAAAAAAGTGCAACGTAATAGGGCCATTAAATGTATTTCGGACAGTGAGCGGTCAATAATTATCACGCACCCTGTAGATATAGATAATAGATAATAGGTAGTTTGAAAGATGACAAAACTTGATATTTTTAGAAATCTTTCAACTACACTTATCGTCGATTTCGTTTTGGATGGCCGTTATTGAATTGAAGCTTTTTAGTCCAGGACATAAACACTTTATTCATCAAAATTGTAATCAAATTAATTTCTTCAGCGATTACAAATCCCATATTACTACAAAAAGGCACATCAGTTATTACTTTGGATTTAAAAATACTGATAAAATTATGATGGATGAGGGGACTAGGAAGAGAGGGTACTTCAAGAAAAACCTAATAAAAAACTTTCTAGACTTTGGTTACCCGTTATTCACAAAAAGATTTTGACAGCTGGAAATCGATACAAAAAAGAGAATAAACGGTGCTTAATATAGCTTTTCTAAAAGATGTGCTCAAAAAAAGCTGCCTAAAAAAGCTGCCGTAATCTCTGCTGAAAATATAAAAGTCAAACTATCATACCCTTTGACCCCAGAGACGGGAGACGAACGGGAGATAGCCTCAAGATGTGGTTCAATTTTTGAAAAGATTTAAAAATAGTCTACTTCTTTTAAAAAGACACCTAGAATAGAGTATCTTTTTCTAAACGCACCTTTTAGAAAACGTTTTTTCGAGAGGAACACAACCTAATAAATAAAACGGAAAATTGGGCTGCGGAGTAATAAATTTCAAATCCGAGTTAGAGATGAGTTTTACGGGGTTCGAGAAAAAGAAAAAAGAGGGCATTTAACAATTACATAATTGGACAGCGGATCTTATAACTTATTCATGTCAACAATTGTATCCTCATCATCTTCATCATTCATGTAAAGGGGAATCCTTTCGAAGCCATCTCGACCCCTGAATGGATTCACTTTTCTTTTTAATTTCTCTTTAACTTTTCTCTCATCTCTTTCTTAACTTTTTAATTCTAATTTAATATACCTTCCACCTCCCGGAAAGAGTCCCTTCCGGTTGAAGAATCCGACAAAACGACCCCGGACGATGAAACACTGAAATTTAAGTTTTCCACCAAATTAGATGTGTTATTTTAACAGCTATTTGGTTGTCCAGTTATGAATGCGCGTTTTTTACTATTTTGTAAATTTCTCAAGATACCGAAATCAAGAAAAAGATATTATTCGAAAGCTGAAGATCTCCTCTACATTTTGATATAAAAAGTTTTTGAATTTGTTCAGCTTTTGGGCAAATTGACTGCACAGAAGAAGAGGTGGCCAAAAAAAATGGAAGGGTGCCTTTGGATCAAGTTTTGGCTCCGCTCAAATTGAGTTAACCGTTTGATGTTTGGCCAATAGATATATCAATATAACTTTTTTAAAATATAACAATTTCAGAGCATCTTTACTTTTCTGGGCGGTTATTTTACACCATAAAACTTGAGGAATAGCTAAGCTGGAATGGGTTTTTTTTTCGAAAACGATCTCTCCCTTTGTGCAGTCAATTTCCCAAAAAGTTGAATGAATTCAAAAGCTTTTTATTCCAAAATGTAGAGGAGATCTTCAGCTTTCGAATGATATATAACACTCATCTACATCTGTTCGATATCTTGAGAAATTTACAAAATAGTAAAAACGCGCATTCATAACTGGACAACCCAATATTATGTTAATAAAGCTATTATGTTAGTTATTTAATAGCTATTATAGCCTGTAAAAGTCACTCAAAATTTTAGACAACAATAAAGTGAAAAAATGTGAGTTAATTCGACCAGTTACCAATTGAATCTACCGCGAAATTTGAGAAATAGTAAAAAAGCCTAGAAAATGTTCGACTGGGTTGTATTTGATTGTACTTACACAGACGAGTAAGAATGCCAGTGAGAACATCGAGATGAGAATCACATTCATCGAACCACGAGAACCGATCTCACGAATATGGAATGGTATACGAGAAGAAATCTGAAAGGAAAATTTGAGGATCGGTTTTGAAGGCTTTAGAGTTAGCGTTGTAACGAAAAGCTACATAGATTGGATATAAAATTATGTTTTTGATCCACGAATTATAAATATATACAAATTACAAATGTACGGCCAGAATTTGTGGTCACTATTCAGCTTAAGCTCATAAAGAATGGTCGTGAAAATGAGTGAAATGAGAGAAAAGAAGGGTTGATAAGAATTCATGACTTCGTTGAGCACAAAAGCACAAAATTTTATCGTTATAGTGCCAACTTTGCAGATATTTTTATTCAGAAAATGATTCAACCAAACCTCAACAGAAACATCAGCCCAGAATTCTCCATTTTTCCTCACTCTGAACACATGATGTCCGTCTTCTAATGGAAGAAAGATTGAACCTGAAATCTTGCTTTTTCTTGCTGCTTTTCTTTTTCAGGTAAATTAGATCTTTTTCGTAGAACAAACCATTAGCCATTTTTCTTTCAATTCCACTCGAATCAACAGTTGACACAATATCCCTTGATGCGGCATCTGTATGAATGAGAAGTCCCTTTGTTCTTAAGAGAAGACTTTCAACAATCGCTTCCTCATTTTCCGGCCACAGCTTTCCATCACCTCCATTCTCATAGCAACATCTGTAACGAATTTCGTTGAATTCAATAATTGATAGAATTCAATAGCTAGGTTTACAGTTATCTGTATCAATCACTTACCCAGTTTGTACAAGCATTGCATCAATCTTTTCCCATGGGAGATCATCCCATGCAAACTTTTTGATTGTTTCTCGTTCACCAGGAATTCCTGAAATTCTTTTCGTAGCAAAATTTCAAGTGTTTAGTATCGGGAGAGAGGGGAAAGCGTCAATTTTGATATTTAAACATCGTTTTTTCAGTCTTTTTTAAAAAATAGTCTTCAAACAGCCTTTATTTCTAAAAACAACGACTAAATCATAGAAAAAGAACAAATTAAATGATGTTTATATAGCAAAATTTCAAAATTTACGATTTCCCCCTCCCCGATACTAAACATAGTACCATTTCAAGTCTTACTGACCTCTCTTTCAAATCTTTCAAGTCTTACAAGTTGAATTAAGAGTAAAATTGAAGATACCTGTGCAAATATCGGTTATCCCATTCATATTTGAATGGATTGATCGATACTTTTCCGCCAAACGATACGAAATTCCCGAAGTTTCATTGATGTATCGAACCTGAATCAGCTTTGAAAGATCTTCCAAATTTCACATTTCTATAAGTAAGTAAAGTTCTTACCTTCAATCCTCCACTTCCAAACATCATCACGAAATCGACTTGCGGGACAAAATGAACGAGATTCGAGAAGAGCTTCTCAAATGGAACAAGCGTTCCGTAATCATGACAATTCAGCTGAGTGTGTGGGATTGAGGGTAGGAAAACGAGAGTGGATCTAAAAAAATTTCATTGATTCAAACTAAACTATTACCGTGCAAGAATATTTCGGATTTTCTCAGAACTCGAATCACAAAATGATGAGGCCATCTCGTAGAGGAGAGTCTCTGTTTTCTAAAGGATATACTGTTGAATAGAAGTTAGAAGTTCCGATACTTTTTCTGATATAAGTTCTGATTCTTTGGATTTCTTAACTCTAAATTACCTTTTCCAAAGACATGACAAGAGTATACGGTGGAAGTCCAGTTCCCATTTGTGTCATTCGAAGTTCGGGATGGAAAACTTTTCTTGCACAACCTTTTTCTTCTTCCAATACTGGCATTGCTGCTGAGGTGGCTTGCAACTAAACATTGGATTGGGTAGAAAGAATAGTCTAGTTCTCGGAAAGAACTTTGAATCATTTAAAATATTTATAGAAAGCTATTTCCAACTAACCACATCAGATGGAGCGAAATGATCACTTGGATTGGCTGACGGTTTCACGCTGAATTCATCAACAGCGTCTCTTGTAAGGATTTTCTCCAACATCTAAACTTGCAAAGTTTTCATTTTTAAAAGTTTGCATAAATATCTTGCAGTTTTTGTACAGACTTTGAGTATCCCGGCCACAGCAGCACCTTGTTTTGAGAGAGAATTTCGATCACAGCCAAGTCCGACTCCAACCTGAAAGCTCAATGAAGATGGAAAGTGAATATGCAGTAAGTAACTATGTAGATTAGGGATCTCTTGTGTAATATTCAATATCTACTTCTTGAAAAGCCCAATCAAACCTGAAAAGCTCCGGGAACAGCGAGATCATCGAGTAATTGAGCCACCTCGCTTGCGTGAAGTGGATGATCGGAACTAGAAAGTGTTCCATAAAAAGGATAGGTTCAGAAAATTTACTATCAATCTCTTGTGTAAATGTTTGAACTTTATTTTTTCTTAACTTACTCATCACATTTATTTCCACCAAGTTGGCTGTTCAATGAGCGCTCAAGTGCTTCTTTGTGGAAGATTTTTGGGACCTAAAAGTTTTAATATTTTTAATATTTGTATGACAATATTCGCAATACAGTAGTGATATCAGCTAGTTATTAGATTCGAGATTTAATCGTTGATATCAATTTCAAAATAAAAAAACTCACATTGTCCCCTGCACTGAAAACGACACTTTCGAGATTTCCATCAGCAACAGCAAGTACTGCAGCTGGGAACTCGTCGTGGACTAGCTGAAAAAACATTTATTTGCTTCACTATTAACATTTAACATTAGCATTAACTGGTTTAAACTTACCCTTGATTTCTCAGCTTTCAGCGCCATTCCATCGGGTACAATAATCAATGAAAGTCGTTCGTTTACATACGTTTCATCTGTACACGAATCCATCGCCATTTGTCTCAAGATCTGAAGGTCAAGTTATTTGGATACAAGATTGAGTAGCTCTCACTTTTGTAGCATATGGATTCACTCCAACAACAGCAATCCGAACATCTCCTCTACCGCGGCGGATCACTTTTTTCGAGTCTGAAATTGATTGTGCTACTATTATAACTGAAATTGATTTAGTTACTATTATAACTATTACTAAGTTCTACTTATTATTATAAAAGGAACATTGTAGCTTATGCCGGATTAGTTAAATCTAGTTCAATAATTAAAAGGAATCATTAAAAGGAATCATTAAAAGAAAACCTTCATTCGTTCCACATGTTGGCAAAGTGATATTCTTTATAATAAGTGTTCCATTGATCACAAGTCTCACTTGTTCCGTTTCCAGGCCGTACGCGGAGAAAGTGAGCTGAAGATGGAATCATTGTCAACATTATTTAAAATTTCCATACTTCATGATCTCCTGGTGCCAACACTCTCCAATATTCCCCATCTTTTGTCGTCACTATCGCTTTTCCATTCTCGACACCGACTGTCGCATTCGCAACAGGTTTTCCGTTTTCATCCTATAACAATTTGAGTTGAAAATGATAAGTTTTACTATTTAACCATTAGTTTCAAAGAAATTTTACCTGAACAATTCCTTTCACACCAATATGGGTCATTTCGAGGAATGAGAGTATCGAAAATTCGTGATCTGACCATAACCTGAAAGAAAATAGTTTTTTATTGCTCAAAATATTTATCTACTAATACTTCTTGCATAAATAAACTCATGCAGATAAATAAATTCATAAATAAGCTCACTGTGGTAACATGTCATTTGTGGGAAATTTGAAGCATCCCATTTCAATAGTGATCTCCAAAACATTTGAATGAATGTACTGCCAATCTTGCATTCCACCAGCCAAATGATACCTGAATATGTATAAAGAGTAAAGATTTCTGACATTTTCTGAAATCATAATAAAATCATAAGATAGATACGATAAGGATTGAAATTGAAACGATGAAAAAAATACGATAAGGATTGAAATTGACAGTCGATTGGTGATAATCATAAAGAAATCAATTTATGTTCTTTCAATCTTACCATTTCACTCCGTTCGTTATTCCGTTAAAGAAAACATCCCTAGGAAGCCTAGAAATAAGAACATGCAATGATTGCAATGAACAATGCAATGATTGCAATGAACAATGCAATGATTGCAATGAACAATGCAATGATTGCAATGAACAATGCAATGATTGCAATGAACAATGCAATGATTGCAATGAACAATGCAATAATTGCAATAAACAATGCAACCATTGCAATGAATGATTGCTTATTTTACGAAAGTTTAAGAAACCTTTAAGAAGAACAACCACTTTTAAGAAATCGACCGTAAATGCACTTTATTCTTCCTCATTAGAAAGGTTTCAAAGAAATCTAACCGACCATCCAGCTCCATTTGTGACTCCATTCAAGAATGTATCCCCATCAACTTGTAATCCACATCTTCTTCCCGTTTTCCACATATTCCGATGAGCTCTCGCGTAACGATAGGCTAATCCAACAAAGAGGACATCATCCTGAACAAAGTTTCTTTCTAAATACACTCTGAAGAAAATCAACCAAATCTAAAGACACTCTGAAGACAATCATCGTTTTTTTGTGACATGTAATTTCATTCAAAGTTTACACCAGGAAAGAGTGTGTTTAGATTTAGTTTAGATAAACGCTTGCTTACCTTAGTCGGAGTATATTCCCCATCTCTTCCTGTGACCGAATCATCCCACGGATAATTTGCCACCAGCGATCCTCCATGAAGATTCATCGATAAAATGAACGGATATTCCAACAGCCATTTCATCATCACTTCCGTCTCAGGTTCGGGAGATTTCCCGCCAGACTGTTCCTGGAATCATTACAATAAAACTTCAACGTACAAAATAGACAAAATAGACACTATAAACTACAAAAATGACGAACTGTCACACTACAAGCGCTTCTACTGTTGTACAAACTGTTGAAATGCTTCTAACTTGCTTCAAATCTGTCGGATTGACATGAGCCAGAGCTTAAAAAATAGAGAATCTCAAGAGCTTTCGAATGGAGCAAAGCACACCCAAAAATATTAATGTAAAGAAAGTTACAATAATTTGTAGAAGCGCTTGTAGTTTATCTTTCTAGTTTACGTTTCTAGTTTACGTTTCTAGTTTACGTTTCTAGTTTACGTTTGTAGTTTACGTTTGTAGTTTACGTTTGTAGTTTGTAGTGCTCATGTCTAGTACAAAATTCCCAATTTTCGAATATAACCAAACCCACGATGTGTTCCGGGTATTGGGCGGGGAAATTTCGATTCAGATCGATACCGCGAGCGTTTTCACGTCCCTAAATTATGAAAATTGAACGGAATAGAGAGGTATTATTATTGAAATTTTGATACACTAACAAATTGATATAGTAATTTAAAAATTTGATTCAGTAAACAGTAATTTAGCGCAATGACTAACAGTATATCCCATTCGATCCCCGGGAAATCCCCTTTCATATCCATCCGGGTTCATCGAGGGCATCAAATGAAGTCTGAATGAAGTTTTTCTTTACAACCTTTCAATATTTACCTTGTGTCATTGACATATCTCGTGATCCAATCATTCTTTCCGTAGTTTTTCGTCAAAACATCGATCAAGTAAAGACAGGCCTCTCGTCCGACCACCTGTAGTGCGTTGAATGAGATTCAATCGGAATTTCAATTTTGAAATTTTTAATCCTTGTACGATAGTTTAAAGTTTTCCTGAATCTAACCTCATTTCCATGCATATTTGCCACAATTTTCACTTCCGGCTCAAGCAATTCGTGTTCTCGCGGGTTATCCGAAATAATCATCACCCATCTGAAAGTGGAAATTCAACTGATTCAAATTTAACTCTTGAAAACATTTGTCACGGGTTGAATTTCTGAACTTGATGCCTGGCTTGCAAAACATTATCATTATCATTATGCTAGGCTTCAATTAACATTAATGAAACTTACAAATCTCGTTCCTCAACACTTTTCCCGGCCGAGTACAAATGGGTGATTTGTGGGTACTCGAGAGCGATTTTCTTCAAGAAAAGCGTCATATCGTTGTAATTGTGATTGATTAGAAGGGTTGAATTCACTTCCTCAAAGTTACCGACTCTAAAATTAGAACGGTCGAGTACAAATGGCTTCACAAGCTTCTTATAGAAGCTTTACGAATTCACTTTGCAAGGTGAGCCATAATTATCGCAACAAGGTATCACGCACGTTCAAGGACAATCATTCGTTGATTTAAGCTTTGTTTCTGTTTTTTTTTGTGTTTTTATTATATTTGCAATATAATTGAAACTTTTTTCATATAAAATGTGTTGTTTTTAGCATGGCTGGAAAATCCCCACGGACAATCGATCATCGAATTAAACAAGCGAGGAGTCTCGGCGCCGGAGATTCATCAAGCGTCTTAAAGTCGACAGAAGTGCCATTTTCCGCACGATTCAACGCTACAAGGCTACGGGAACAATTGCTGATGCACCAGGAGCTACGGAAACAATTGCTGATGCATCAAGAGCTACGGAAACAATTGCTGATGCACCAAGAGCTACAGGAACATTGCTGATGCACCAAGACGGTAGACGCCCAACTGTCGTCACAAAGACAAAGACCAAGCGAGTGAGGGACCGAATTCGGAAGAAGCCAAACCAGTCGGCATGGCAAATGGGAAGGAAGATGGCGATTCCAAGCACCTCATTGCCTCGGATCTCACAAATAAACTCAAACTTACTGCTTACAAGAAAAACAAGGCTCAACTTCTTTCGAATGCCGCTAAAAATAAGCGATAATTGAAAGTAGATCAGTTATTGATGCGCTTGAATTGAGTCGACCATCACAATCGCTTGTTCACAGATGAAAATATATTTACCGTTGAAGGCCTTCTTCACAAGCAAAATGATCGAGTATGCGCCAAATCTCAACCGAGTGCTACGGTTTCTCGAAGTGCGCATCCAGCTTATGTGATGGTTTTAAAATCAGAACTTTATCTTGTTGCGACAATTATGACGCTCCCCGTATTTTCCTTACCTTTCTTTCATCGAATCCAAGCTTGGAAACATTTCCCGATCATCGACGAATTTCCCGTAATATTGATGAAGAGCATCCTAAAGTTATTTTAAATGTTGATACGATTAGGTATTTATTATTAGATAGCTTAGGAAAGTTCAAATTTTTCAAACCTGTTCTCCAAGTCTTTTCAGCTCATCGGTTGTCACAATGTCTGAATTCCAATCGAGTGCAGAAGTCAGGAACTAAAGTAAGCTGTAATTAAAGGTATTAAAGAATGAAAAATGGATCTATTTTTAGGTATTAGCTCGTCAAAACCATTTTTTAAGTATTAACTCGTCAAAACTCGAACCGGAAATAGAGCGAAAAGGAGAAGAAAATGGCCGATCGAGTGTTGGCCCATTGTAGAGCTGTAGTTGGCTGAAATTTTTTTTGAAACCTTGTTAGATGGAGTTTAAATTAAAACTTGAAGCAAATCGAAAAAGAACTTTTCATAAAATTGAATTGACGTCATTGAAAATGAAAAAAGCCGCTATCCAAACTTTCTTATCTTTTTTGTGGGTGTTGGGGAGGAATTCGTTTATGACTATGAAATTTTTGAGAGAAAAATTGAGAAATTAGGGATTAAAAACCCTAATTTTTTAAGAATATGTAGAACTATAGAAAAGCTGTAGCTGTAGAACAAAAAAAAACAAAAACAATGAAAGAACTAATGAGCAAAAAAACAGATCCACGTGTATTTTTGTTTAATCCATTTTGGGGGAATGTGAGCGGGAAAGAGGAGATCCAAAAAGAGAACAATGTTTGCACATTTTCGGGCAAAATTTATGGACAAAATGGATGGATGAACATATTTCATCTATGAAATTAACTAGTAGCTGAAATTTATTTTAAATATTCAAATATTACTATGCAGGTATATCTCTAAATCAATGTCCCATCTATTTAAGTTCTTTATAATAAGCTTCAGCCACTTCAGTTTGTCAACCTCATTCTAAACTTATAATCTGAGTACGGTTTACCCGTACAACGCAAGCATATGATCCAAAGATGTCACTATTGATGATACGGAGAGAAAAATGAAACGATCTTGTTCGTCAAATGGATCCCTTGATTACTCATTAGTTGACTTTCTAAAACGAAAAAAGCTATTTCTTTTCTTGCTATTAAAAAAAGCAATTCCTGTTATGAAGGTTTCTTGAAAACTTTGGCATTTCAAGAATCATTTTTACAGGACAGAAAGAATATGTTTACATCATTAAGCACAAAGGTTATTCAAAGCAAAAAACCTCAACTTCAAGTTCAGCTTCAATCATAAATTGCATATAATTAAGCGGAAAACTCAATGAAAAATAAAAACATGATAAAACAGCTGGCTCGTCTATCTTTCCATACCGTATTTATTTTAATAAAAGCGCATCCGCTTCTATTTTTCAAGCATTCCACAAAATTGCTTATATTGGAGGCTGCGATTCTATTAGAGGCTGCGATTCTATTTTTCAATGACTAAAAAGTTGATGAGTAGTTCGTAGAAAGAAAATCTTTAGATAACAACCAATTAAGAACAATTCAATTGTCAAAAAAGCATCATTCTCGATTTCATTACCGTTAGACGCCGTTTTGACAAACTACGAACTGCTCATCAACTTCATTACCGTTAGATTCGCCGACTCTAACCTCTCTCGATTGACGACTCCGACTCTCGATTGAACTTCAATCAAGATGTCACTATCAATCAAGAAAATGCAAGAAAAGCTACTGATTAAGCAACAATGAACTTTAGCCATGATTTTTAAGCAGTTCATGCAAGAATCTAAGAAAGAACTAAGCAAGAAAGGTTCTTTGTTTTGGAAAAAGGCTTGGATGCTAAAATATAAAACGCCAAAATGTTTAAAGTTGTGAGGATTTTATGGCATAAATTATCTTAAGTTTGATTAATACCTAGTCTAAGTTATAAATTTGATTCAAATAAGCTGACTTGCTGAATAGATTTGATCCAAACTACCTAATGCAAGAAAAACTTAAGAAAATTGCCACTACTTATGCAAAAACAAATGATAAAGTATGCTTTTTTTTCTCAAGGAAATGTGTATATAGCCTTATCTCTCCTTAAAGGCTCAAAACTCGGGGTATTCGGTCTACTAAGCTGAATATCCATAGTTCTATTAGAGGCTGTGTTTCTATTAGAATAAATACGGTATCTATAAAATATGAGAAAAAGTCTATAAAAAGAAATCGATTCGATTGAACGGAGAACAAAGAGTGAAAAGGAGATAGATTTGCTTTTTTTGGAATGAAATGAGAATCTCTTATGGAAAAGGGGGTAAAGGAATTTAGTTGGAGAAGAGGGTGAAGGGGGAATTGGAGATGGACTGAGATGGCTGAGACATCCGGGGGGTGAACGAGAAGGGGCATCCCCATCCCGAGACTTCCCTCTTTTCGGAGAGACGCGCGAATAGATTGACAACCACGTCAAATCTCTTTGGGAAATATATCCATTTGGGACTTTTCCTAGTTTTTGAGTCCTTTAGTTTTACAATGTTAACCCTGAAAGGCGGCTATTGAAGCATTCTGGGGCTAAGGTTTCGCCAATGATTAAGAAAAGTCGAACTACTACTTCTACTGAACTACTTCATTCTACTGAACTACTTCATTCTACTGAAACTAAGCCAAATTATTCTTTTCATTTAAACAACTCTCAATATATCAATATCAATATTTTCTCTTGTTTTTCTTTGTTTACTTTGTTTACTTTACTTTTTTTTAGCAATATATAAACATATTGAACTAGAAATTTATCAAAACTTTCAATAAAAGCAAAGCAAAGTTGAGAGTAACTTTACAAATAGAAAAAAGAAAGTAGAAATGGGTTGTGTTTGAAGAAAAATGACGAGGAAGAGAAGGAAAATGAAAGAAAAGAAAAGAACTGTATCGATCGATTGACTGTCTCTCATATTGCCTTTTCCCGTTCAGGAAAAGAGAAAAGAGACTGAATGGAGAAAAGAAAAGAGAAAATGGGATAGCCTTAGGTGCGGAAAGAGGCTGAAAAGGAACACAAATAATTGCTAGTGAAACTAAAGAATAAAGAGTGCGAAGGCCCAAATATTAGCGCATTTAGTTCTAGTACCGCTGACACGATTGCCTGCTCGTACCAGATTCACCCAAAGTATTGACTTTTAATACTACAGGGTGGCGCACAATTGTAGAAACTCGGTTTTTTGACTGTAACTCGACGCCCAATCATTCAATACCCCTAATTTCATATTTAAATGAAATCTCAAGTTAATTTCTGCGCTCAATTTCAATTTTTAGTGCACAGTGTTACACTTTTTATAGTACTTCGAAGTTCAAAGGTGCCAACATCTCGGCAGAATCGTCGTTTTCGTTTTCAACTCTCTAGAATTGCCTACAAATCAATTCTTTTAGTTTTTTTTTCACTCTTTAGTTAAATTTAGACAAATATCACAAAATAAATGCATTAGCTTTGCAAGACAGCAAATCGGGAATGATTTGGAGAGTTACCAGTGGTAACTTGCCACACAGATCACTGTTCTGCTCAGCTTTCAGGGACTATTGGCTCTCAAAATTTTGATATTATTGAAAATCTTCTGAAAATGCTCTAGATAATTCTATTTCTTAATAGAAAGCAAAAATGATTAAATACGAAGCAAGAAATTCTTGAAAATATGTTCAAATCCTGGCAAGCAATGATTCCTGAACTTCGAAGTACTATAAAAAGTGTAACACTATGTTTCTGAACTAAAAATTGGAATTGACGACAGAAATTAATTTGAAATTTCATGTAAATATGAAATTAGGGGAATTGAATAATTGGGCGTCGAGTTACAGTCAAAAAACCGAGTTTACATAATTGGGCGCCACCGTGTAGTAAAAAAAAAATCTGCTATGAACAATCTGCTATGAACAAACTGATAAACCGTTTAACTGACAGTAATTTTACAATTTGCACACTTTTTCTCATTGCTTGGCTTTCAAGCATATTAATCTGTTTGTTGATTTCAATTCAAACCTACAAACTTGGTAAACCAGCAGAATGATTTTATAATAACCCTGTCAATGAATTTATTGAGCTCTTTTGCAATTTACTTAATAAATCAATTTATTGCCAAATAGAAAAAAAATAGATATTTGAGCCAGATTTGAAATGACAACAAGTAAAAAAGAAAAAAAACGTGAAGATCTTTTTGTTTTCACTAAAAGCTTTTGAATCACCGGAATCGGAATGCACAATCGATAGAAATTTGTCAGAAAAAGGATTGCTGTAGATTTAAATGTATGTAAAGATAAGATAAGATATAAAGTATGTAATGTATACCGTAAATACTGTAATAGTACCCCACCCCCCCGTACAGTCGCGTAGTCGCAAAAGTTTTTTAGCATTTCATTTTTTTCAAAGCGCCCGTACTTTCAAAAAATGCGTCTTTAGTATCAAAAAATAGCCCTGAATTTCAGCTATTTTTTGATACCTAAGCGCGCATTGTAGCATAAACCAGTGTCGAGAAAAACGCGTCCAATGCTAGACTACTCAACACTCCGCACCGTCATTATGGGGGTGGGGTACTATTACAGTATTTACGGTAAGCACAAATAATAGCTAGTTTTTAAAAGAAAACTCTAAATATGGGACTTAGGAATTGCACCTGAAAAGAAAAAGAGGCAATGATTAAAATGTCGTCTTTGACTGCTTAAATAATAGCTGAGACTTTAGATATAAGCATTTTTGACTTTGCTTGAACGCTTGAACTTCAACTTTGACTGAAAAAGCATTTTGGAATGTGAAAAGATTAAACTATTTTGTTTTTAATAGACTCTATTTGTCGTAGAATTTTTTATTAAGGAGAACGATGAGTGGAGAAGTTTTGAAGACAACAACATCAACAAAACGATAGTCATGCTCTTCCGAATATTCGGCTTGAAGGAGATCCTAGAACTGATTTATACAGACTTATTGAATAAGTCATCATTGTTGATTTATACAGACTTATTGAATAAGCCATCTTCATAACTATTTAACTAACTGTTTATAACTTATTCAATAAGCCATTGAATATTCTTGAATTATTGACTTATTGAATCAGCCATTTACTCTTTATCAAGAGCAGATTGTTCACAAAGTCTCTCCAAGCCTTTGTTCTCCAAGCTTTTGTCTCTCCAAGCCCAAGGTAAGTGTGACTCGTGATCTAACCCCTAAAAATAATTCCTGAAAGAACCTGTAGATCCAAATCCCCTTGTAGATTGAGCTCTTTCCCATCGGTAATCGAAATTTTGAAGATTCCTTTATTTTCTGTGCCTTGAATAATGAAGGAAAGTTTAGAGAACCTAAATCAAGAGAGAATCAAATGCTATTCAAGTATTCATTGCTTACTTGTGCTCATATCTATCAACTGTCCAAAGGATTCCCTTTTTGTGTAGCTTGTCTCCCGAGGCTTTGTAACTGAAATGCTTTGATGTCATTGATGACATGATATTGATGATGAATTAATGGCAACGTCCTAATCACCTCATTTCTTTTGTGTCTGTCGACATTCTCACTTTGTGAATCTTCTCCGCTTTGCCTGATGTTGGTCGAAAAGAGAGACGCCTGAAAAAAGATTTGTAAATGCTATTAGCAAATATTTTGATAGTTGATGTTTAAGTTTAAAGAGATACTGGCGTTTACCTGGTTTACTGTAGTGAAATAGAGTCTAGACTTTAGTAATAGTATATAGGATGCGCCATAATTATCGCAACAAGGTATCACGCACGTCCAAGGACAATAACTCGTTGATTTAAGCTTTGTTTCTGTTTTTTGTGTGTTTTATTATATTTGAAATATAATTGAAACTTTTTTCATATAAAATGTGTTGTTTTTTAGCATGGCTGGAAAATCCCCACGGACAATCGATCATCGAATTGCACAAGCTAGGCGCCGGAGATTCATCAAGCGTCTTAAAGTCGACAGAAGTGCCATTTTTCGCACTATTCAACGCTACAAGGCTACGGGAACAATTGCTGATGCACCAGGAGCTACGGAAACAATTGTTGATGCACCAAGAGCTACGGAAACAATTGCTGATGCACCAAGAAGCTCTTCTCATATTTGTTCCCCAAGGCGTAAAAGTCAATTCTGACAACTAACTGGCTCTTCTCCTGGATGAGCTCTTGCTCCGGGCTCGTAAAAATTTTGAAAATCGCATTTGGACTTATCAACAAGATGGCGCATCTTCCCAAGAAAGTCTAGCCAAGAAAGCCAAAACAACTTCCCGGATTTCATTTCTTTTTCTGAGTGGCGACCTAGCTCTCCAGATCTCAACCCAATGGTTTTTTTCCGTGTGGCTGATTCTAGAAGCTAAAGCTTGTTCAAAACCCCACAAAAACATTGAAAGCTTGAAGAAATCACTGTTGAAAGCGTGGAAAGAGCTCGATTCAGCCTAGTTGGTCGCCACCACCGGCCGCCTTCCCGAAACGCCTACGAACCTGCTCAAATGCTAATGGTGGCTGATTCGAATTTGATAGTTGTTTATAATTGTCAATGGCTCTCAATGGCTGTCAATGTCAATGTCAATGGCTCTCAATGGCTGTTAATGTCAATGTCAATGGCTGTCAATGTCATTGTCAATGTACAATAAATGTTATTCAGTTAAAAATTTGTCTTTTTTGCATTTATCTGCCTTAAAATCAGAACTTTATCTTGTTGGCACACCCTGCAGTAACAAACTGACTTTGAATTGCGAGAGAGATTCTCCAAACAGGTATCCAGATATTCCTCGTAATGAGATAAACGTTCCTGAATTTAATTGATCAAATCTTTATCTATATCTATCTTTATTTTCATTTTTGTTTATTCAATCGATTTACCTTCAATTCTCCCCTTTGTGTCTCCAATCTTTTCCTCGTTTCATCGAGACTTTGTTGTTGTTCGGCTCTCTCCTTTCGCCGCCTTGTCGCCAATCGAATATCCTATAATTAAATCGTATAGTTATACTTGTTTTATCAAATCTTACATTAGCAATATCGGTGACCAGTGTTTGATAATCATCTTCTTTGTTGCTTCGCCCCTCTTTCGCCAATTTCTCGAGATTCTCCTTTGCACTAGCTTGAACTTCTTTAAGTGAAGCGCTAAATAACAGCTTTACTTTCAACAATAAGTGCTTTTTTGCCTCTAAACTTTATGACAAGAAGTCAAGAAGACAATGACAAGTTTCATTTAAAGCCTTACCCTTCCGCAAAAATGGCCAAATGAAGGTGTTCGTTTTCTTCGCTAATCGATGCATTGATTAATTCAGAAACGGTTCCCCCTTGAACACCTGATAGAAGAAGCTCGACAAGTTGCCGCTTTGTTCTAAAATTGCAAGCAATTTATAATTTTGTGATAGGATTGGAATGTTGTTGATTGTCTATCTCACCTAACAAACAGTTCATGAGATTCCGTTGCCTCATTGGCCCAAGACGGTGGGTGAAGATGAAGAATGAGAATGCGATCAGCCTCGGAATCATGCGGAGATTTACATGCTTTCGATAATTTTGTGAACACCTCATCCGTTGACATCTAAAAGAGATAAAAGAGATCTGCAAATGAAACTTATATTCCTTTTACCTCTTTGTGATGTTTGTGCACATATTCAATCACTCTCTTTAATTCAGAACCAAGAATTGAAAGTGATGGTTTATGAGCAGGATCAAAATGAGTGAAGCGATTCAATCCGAATAATCTCTCGGCACTCTCTTCACCCAATTGTTTTGAAATTGAACCTCTGAAATTGAATGCGATCAGATATTTGACATCTACAGGGTACAAAAGATACAAAAGACATCATCTGATACAAAAGTTCGGAGCCATCTTGTTTTTTCGGTCGTCAAATTTAGCTTTTTAAGATAACTCCCGATTCCAATTGACGTCGCATTCCAATTGACGTCGCATTCCAATTGACGTCGCATTCCAATTGACGTCGCATTCCAATTGACGTCGCATTCCAATTGACGTCGCATTCCAATTGACGTCGCATTCCAATTGACGTCGCATTCCAATTGACGTCGCATTCCAATTGACGTCGCATTCCAATTGACGTCGCATTCCAATTGACGTCGCATTCCAATTGACGTCGCATTCCAATTGACGTCGCATTCCAATTGACGTCGCATTCCAATTGACGTCGCATTCCAATTGACGTCGCATTCCAATTGACGTCGCATTCCAATTGACGTCGCATTCCAATTGACGTCGCATTCCAATTGACGTCGCATTCCAATTGACGTCGCATTCCAATTGACGTCGCATTCCAATTGACGTCGCATTCCAATTGACGTCGCATTCCAATTGACGTCGCATTCCAATTGACGTCGCATTCCAATTGACGTCGCATTCCAATTGACGTCGCATTCCAATTGACGTCGCATTCCAATTGACGTCGCATTCCAATTGACGTCGCATTCCAATTGACGTCGCATTCCAATTGACGTCGCATTCCAATTGACGTCGCATTCCAATTGACGTCGCATTCCAATTGACGTCGCATTCCAATTGACGTCGCATTCCAATTGACGCCGCTGCTTGGAGGTAGTCGATGGGAGCGCGGCGTCGTCGTTTCTTTTTCGTTTTCAAATGATTTGTTTTGTCAGATTAGTTGAAAGTATTGTTTTACGCGATATATTTGGTGTTGTTTTCTATTTCCAATCTATTTCTATCTATCTAGAAAGCAATCTATTTCCATTTGGGACCCGAGTGGAGAATCTGGAGCTTTTCGTAGCCAAAACATCACAATGAAGGCCAAAACTAACTGTAAGATGATTTGGGGGAGTTGAATGGAAACAACGAAAGCAAAGCTCGTTTCCTGGACCGTTAAAAAACTTAAACTTAAAGTGTTCTGTTTTTGCGTTCTATTTTTGCGAAAAAAATTTTCTAGACCGAAGTTTCATCTAGATTTCGAATTTCTAAACCGTTTTTCAAAAAAATTTTTATCGCCCGTAAGTTTTTAAGGCTTAGGTAGCTTCGAACTTTTGTGTCACCCTGTTTATTGAACGTGATTTGACAGCCATTACCTGAATCCTTCGTGAATCGTGTGAATTTGTCGATTTAACGAGGTGAGGTACCATTTTACCGATCCATACTGAACATAAATATTGTTGCTCATCCTATAGGGTGTCCCAAAATTATGGAGCGGATTCTGTTTTGACAGATTTATTGCTTTATCTCGTTCTTTTTCTTACTTATGACTAAAATTCTTTCTATTGGCTTTTTTCAGGATGAAATCACAATTGGATTTGCGGCTAGCCATGGTTCGTCTTTCACAGGATGCAAATCGGTGAGATTTTACGGCTTTTGCACGTGCCTCACCAGTTTCAAAAGCAATCAAGCGCCACAAAGAGACTGGGAAATTGGAAGATCGATCGGGAGGCCGAAAGAAGATTTGCCAACAATCCAATCAATCGTCGAAAGATCTTTCAACGAATCTAAAGGAACCTGAGATCACAGAAAAACTTCACCCGAACGATGGCTGCTGCAATTGAAATCTCAAAGACCACAGTGCACCGAATTCTCAAAAAACACGAATTTTGCCTTGTAGTCAGCAGCATTTCGGAAATAAGCCCTGGGTATTTTAGCAGGATGGAGCTCTATTGCATAAAGCTCGAGAAACGCAAGATTGGATCCCAAAGAATTTTCCTGATTTGAATTTGAATTTTCCTGATCACAGTTGACATAAGCGCGCAAAATCCAGATGAATGGCCATCCAACTCGCGGGTTTCGAATGTTGATTACAGCATTTGATCGAACTTGCAATCCAAGGCTTGTTGCAATTTTTTTTTTTTTTTTTTTTTTTTTTTTTTTTTTTTTTTTTTTTTTTTTTTTTTTTTTTTTTTTTTTTTTTTTTTTTTTTTTTTTTTTTTTTTTTTTTTTTTTTTTTTTTTTTGCCTCACACATCAATCCAGTCTTTGAAGAAGGATTTGTAGAAAGCTTGGGACGACATTGGTATGGAGGTCATCAAAAAAGCCATGGATGACTTTCCGAAACGATTACGAAAATGTATTCAAGCTAAAGGAGCTCACTTTAAAGAATAATGTTATATTTTTGTTATGTTCAATGATTGTTAAATGATTGTTAAACGATTTTTAAGGTATTTATAAAAATTTCTTGAAAATTAACAAAAGCTTTTTCGAATTTTCTCTCCATAATTTTGGCACCCTATATATCCTCATTTTCACAAACCCCTTTATTTGCAACAGCAAAACCGATGAACGTCAAAAGGGCCTCCAGTTTTCGTTGTGCATCTTCTGGTACATCCTGCAATTCCGGAGCTTTAAAACTGCATTTTTTATTGTTCTACCTTTCCAATGATTCCTTTCAACGCTTCCAACGAGTGCAGTTGAGCTCGAATTACACTCTGAAATGGATTTGGTTGAGGTTAGAAATCTAAAGTGTTAGAAAACATGAAACACATGAAATGTTAGAAACCTCATAGACAAATTGTGCAATGATCTTGTCGATGAGAACGGCGGAAGTGGCTGGGAACTTGGCACGAAGACTCGATTGAAATGAGAGGCAAACGAAACGGAGTCCTTTTCTGAAATGACAGAAAATTTGAACTCAGATTTAGCTGGTTTCAAAATTCTGACTGACTATGAGTTAAAACTTGCGTTAATTTGTGACCCTTTGTGATCGATTCGCTCAACCTTTCACTCCAGTGTGCAAGGAAGGATTTTGATGACTCAAGGACCTAAAGTTTGGCTCAGGTTTATCATAGTTTGGCTTATCATAGTAGCACACTGTACACACTACAAAACTTGTGATACAGTGTTTTTATTTGTAAAATAAGGACCTGTTCAACGTGTGGACACTGTACAGCCGCGTTTGTATCGGTCGGCTTTTGGCCATAAATCGACAAGTAGATTTCATCCGGATTCAAGTTGAAAGCCTGAAATGGATCGACAGATAGAACTATTTAAGTCAAGTGGATCATTGCCTCAATTTTTCCTTGTTCTTGTAGGAATTCTCTTAGATCATCGACAACGTGTCCTTGTGTAATTTGACTGACAAGTGGAGAGAAGAGTCTAAAAATTTGAATCAAAATGTTTTCAAGAGTACGTTGAAACTTGAAACTTTAAACTGAAGCTTTAAAATACTAACTCATTCCCAAGAGCCAATGAAACGATTTGCAGGGGTTTAGATGAAATGACATCCTCTGGAGAAAGAGATGATTCGACCCCTTTCAATAAAAGTTCACATAGAAGTCCAACCTGAAAAGATCGAGTTTTGAAATGTTTTAAAGATTTGCCAAACTCACCGCCAAATATTGTTCTCGATTTTCGGAGAGATGACCGAAAACTGGAGCGATGATCTTTGTGATTACACCCTCGCGCTTCTCCGGATTAGCTGCTGAAAATGTTAACGTTAAATCTTTGGCATTTCGGAACACGTACCCAATAACAAGTTGGCGAGAAGATGAGGTTCGGCTTGAAGAGCAAAGAAAAGTTGGCCGAGACGATCCGTGAGTTCTTTCTCCTGAAAAGGCATTGTATCTCAACTTTACCTTTCGTGGTTTGAGTTAGACTTGTAACGAAAATATCTGTCGTTCTTTTCCTTTTTCACGCACGCAATCACTAGGAATCTGACATAGAAAATTCCCTTAAATTTCGGAGGTTTCCTGGGGCCGCCACAAAGAAAATTTTCAACGGCTTTGTGAGTCTAGCGGATAGTGTGCCAGCCTACGGAACTCATGAAATTTTTTGGCTTGGGTTCGAATCCTCTCAATTCTGGCACACTATCCGCTAGACGCACAAAGCCATTGAAAAGTTTCTTTGTGGCGGCCCCAGGAAACGTCCGAAATTTAAGGGAATTTTCTATGCCAGATTCCTTGTGATTGCGTGGGTGTTTGTAGATAATTTTTACAGATTCAGAATCAGCATAGCCGATTCTATAAGATACACTCGGTCACAAAGCGATTCTGAACTTCGAGCTGGTGTCATTTTCTTGTGAGAAAAACCTTAAGTTGCCAATAGCAAAAAAGGACCGACATACATGTATGTTTTTGTTACAAGTCTAGTTTAAGTATATGCCGAGCTTGCCGAGCTTGCTGAGCAAACCACAATCCATCTCTAGACATACCTTTTTCTTTAACGTGAACTGTCTGAGTTGGAATTTGTCGGCCGAATCGTGAATCTTTTGTTTATGAGCGACCACTTCCTAAAATCGTTTGAAGTTTTTCAAGCCACCCACAAAAACCTGTAGATTGATTCGATTTTTGATTAGAAGACCGATTTTCTCATCAAGTTCCTGAAAGAAAGTTTTCTTTTCACAATGGGAATCTTTTCACAAACCTGTAGATGCCCATCAAGTTGATGATTTGCGGCCAATAGTTGTGTCACTTCCGATTTTTGTTCTTCGATCGCTGAAATTAATATTCTTACGATTTTCTATGTACTTTATATGTATTTTATTTTATGTATTTTATTTTATGTATGTTATTTTATGTATTTTATTTTATGTATGTTATTTATGTTATTTATTTTATGTTTTTAGCTTACAACTCACCAATTTGCTCATCAATTTGAGCTGTTTGTTCCGTTTGCGAGGGTAAAAATTTGCGAACGAGTGAGAGCGATGGAGCTTCGGAGGACCCTGAATGGAGAGTTTTTTGAGAGATGATTTGGTGGAGATCAAGAACAGAATCAAGAACAGAATCAAGAACAGAATCAAGAACAGAATCAAGAACAGAACAGGTTCTTTCTTTTCTTATTCATGTATTAAACGTACACAATAAATCGTGATCTTTCTTGTGTTTCCAACTTTTGTATCCATGTTGAATCGTTGCCGCTGCTTCATTTCTCCGTCCTTCACTTTGATTCTCCTCGATTTCTCTGAAAGAAGAATATAATAAATGAGCCTTTTCTGTCGCTTCTCCAAAAATACCTTTTCTGTCGCTCCTCTTCGGCCAAATTTTGCTCGAAGAATACTTTCTGTAAATTCGGATTTTTCTTTTTTCTTTTCGCATCTTTTCACTTACATTCAATTCATTTCCATCAATATATCCATTCTTTTTTGGTTCACGTTTTCCCACAGCGAATTTCTTCTCATTTATCTCAACAGAGATGGTTCCCAACGAGAAATCATGCCAAAACCATTCTTCCTAAATTTCGCATTCTGTCAAATTTGTCAAATTTGTTGATTTCTTTCAATCATTCTTTCAATTCTTTCAAAACATTGGGGCTTATGTTTAGAATGTTTCTTTAAAAAGATATCTATGTAATCTACAATCTGCAATCTACAATCTGCAAGTTCTTGTTTTTGCAAACTTTCAAACCTGTTCTGGTTGTGCTCCTTCACCAATCTTCAGTGTTTTCTTCGGTGTTCTCGTTGTAATTTCTTCAATCAAATATTCCACATACAACTTGATAAAATCCTGGCGGAAACTTGTGAACTCATCTGAAATGATGATTTTTACGTTTGTTCTGTAAACTCACCTGGCTCTCTTGTTGAAAGGACTTGCAGTGTGGCTCCAGCCTTCTCTCCATCTCCTCTAATCAAACTATCGTTCATGATCACCACTGAAAGTAATCTTTGCATATTTTGATATAAAGCAATTTAGATAAAGCTAACAGCTCGATAAAGCTAACAGCTCGATAAAGCTAATAGCTAGATAAAGCTAATAGCTTTGAATTTCATTTAAACTAACAAAGTTCAGCCGTTTCGTACGCGTTTGAGACCGATTGATTGGTTTCTTCCATGATTATTCTAGAGCTCTTTATTAGACGAAGAACGGCCTAGCAAAACCTCAATTCATTTCCACTTATTTGATCCTCTTTCCCATGAAGTTTCTTGAGATAAAAATCTGAAATTGCTTTGTAGTGATAAATTGACAGCTTATTGTATTTAAAAACAGCTTATTGTATTTATAAATTAACAAATCAAATGATCAAATAATTAACAGACTATTCATTCAAAAGATCAAATGATTCGCAGATTATTCATTCAAATGTACAGATTGATTCAAATGTACAGATTGATTCAAATGTATAGATTCATTTAAATGTACAGATTCATTCAAATGTACCCAAATGATCGTGAATGAAGAAATCGGGGTAAAGTTGAGTGAGAAGCGATGAAAGAATCTCTCGATCACCGTCTCGGAGAGCTCCGCGTACCTCCAGTACTGAATATTGAAGGTTTTCAAAGTAATTCATGATTAATTACTGGCAATCTGGTAATAATATGATAACATGGTAATAGTATTGGTAATAATCGACGTTAAAACTTACTCTTTCGCTGCTCTGGTGACATATCATTCAGATCAAAGACAAGATTCTCAAGATCGGTTCTCATCAAGAAGAAATCATCGGCTCTTTTCCCATAATTATAGACCAATCTGAATAAAATGTAACTTTAAATGATCTATTGAATACCTATTATGATATAAAGCCGCATTTTCTTCGTTTGTTTCAAGTGATAGAACGGGGTTCTTCAATGCAATCAATGAATCATGAGAATTTCCGTGAAGAGCCGCCAATTTCACTTCAAGCAGAGCATTTCCTTCTGAAAAAATAGCGAACTATTCGTTAAAGAATCGAAAATTTACCTTTAATTGCTTTATCAACGAGCTCTCGATCGAGATTTTTGTGCTTGTCGAGGCTTTTCTTGAGGAGCGAAATGTAAAGGGGCACAGCACTTTCCCTGAATATTATACATGTAACTTTGAACATAAATATTGCAATATCTCAGTCTCTTGCTTCACTACAGTATAGAATATGTAAATTGGACAACTCAACACCAAAGTATTTGAGCTCGATTGGCAAAAGGGCGTGGCAAAAGGGCAAAAGGGCATTTTATACGTGCCCCACCCCTTTGCCATTGGCAATCCAACTTTGAGCTCAGATATCTTGGTGTTGAGCTGTCCAATTTAAATATTTTTTGTATCATTAGATGCGCCAAGTCTTTCTCTATCGAGTTAGATTACCAATGGCAAAGGGGCGGGGCGCGTATATAAGCCCCGCCATTGGCAACTTTGAGCTCAAATATCTTGGTGTTGAGCTGTCCAATTTAAATAGTTTTTGTACCAATCGACAGAGAAAGAATTGGCGCATCTAATGATACGAAGAATATGTCAATTGAACAGCCCAACACAAAGATATTTGAGCTCGAAGTTGGATCGCTAATGGCAAAAGGGGTGGGGTGCGTATCAAATGTCTGATAACCCTTTCCCTCACCTCGAATCCTCAAATTGCAGCCACATCAACGCGTCCAGAACTCGAGATGTTGATGTTTCTGAAAGAAAGTGATAATTTCAATGTTTATTACACTTTTCCTTACCTCCACCCTTCAAAATTTCTTCCAATTGTTGTAAGCCGCAGTTAACTAAAGTAGTTTTCAATGAAACGCATCCAGAACTTGTTTACTATTTGTGTTTGTGATGATTTCTTGTACAGATTTCCTTGAAAGATTTCCATTTTTTGTGAGCGATTCCACCAATTCAGGCTCATATCGATCGATCAACTCAACCTCGACAAATAACAATTGAGCATTTACATTTTGAAGACCCGACAAGAGAGCGTCTTTGTCCTGAAATTGAGCAAAGTGTCAACTTAAACCAGTAAAGTAAATGTATAATTTATTCTCACCTTATTCCTGACAGCTTCCTCAATTCGATTCATTGCTTCTCTCACGATCTCGTCATCTTCTTGTTTTCTATAAAATATAATACTTTTTTCCAATAACAGTAAGATATTCTCTTTATTTCCCTTACCTTGATCCACCTCCCAAATATGAGCCAACATCGGAAAACTCTGGTAGTTCTTTCACTCGATCCATCACTTCGTCAAGTTCGTCGTCTGAAAGTTAGATTCCTATTGACGTGCGATCTTAAAGGGACTGGCGCGAAAGCAGTGCTACGTGCTTTCTAAAGCGTGGATGCCCTACCGTACCCCGCACAAAATTCCCCTTTTGCCACTTTTTTTATTTTCCCAAATCAGCGCCGCATTTTTCGCATATTTTTTATGCTTTAGCTCTTGTTTTTGCTTTTGTTTTATTTTTTACGCATAGAGCAGGTCTAGAAGCAGCTATTACGCAAAAAAAGCACAAAGATTGGCCATAATTTAGCGCTTTTTTGGTGGAAATTACTAACTTTTTCAGTTTTTCTCGCTCAAATTATTGTTTTCTTATGCTTTTACTCCTGTTTTTACTCCTGTTTTACTTTTTACACATAAAGCGGGTCTAGAAGTAGCTATTGGGAAATTCCCCTTTTTTTTTTTTTTTCCCCGCCCCCCCCCCCGCCCCTTTTCCGCCCTCCCTTTTTGCTTTTTTGCTTTGCTCTTGTTTTTGCTTCTGTTTTATTTTTTACGCTTAGAGCAGGTCTAGAAGTAGCTATTACGCAAAAAAGCACAAAGATTGGCCATAGTTTAGCGCTTTTTGATGGAAGTTATTAACCTTTTCACAGTTTTTCTCACTCAAATCATTGTTTTTTTTCTCCTTTATTCCATGATGAAATCGGAAACTTTGTTCAGCTTTTATGCCAAGTCCCGCGAAGTTTTCTTCCCCCATCGTAAGTTTAGTTTTCTTCCCCCAATCTATTGTTTTTTTAAAGTACTCTCTCTCCCCTTTCTCCTCCTTTTTATATTGTTTGCCCATAGTTTTTTGTTTAAAATTTTAATACGATTTTATTTCGTTTTCTTTTTGGCTCATTCGACTCCATTGTTTCGAATTCGTTCACAAATGCTGTATAAACTCAACTTAACCAACCAACTTAACCAACCAACTTAACCAACCAACTTAACCAACCAACTTAACCTTCCAATACGAATACGAATACGAATACAAATACCAATACCAATACCAATAATCAAACCAACTTAACCAACTAAAACGCAAATCTAAATAATCGGCCACGGCGTGATCTTCTTGTTACTTCGTCTTGGGTTTCGTGTCAAATCATTTTAGAAAAGGGTTGGTAAGTCTAAAGGCGTTAGGCAAGGGAGTTCGTTACTAACTTAAGTGTCCAAAAGTATATCGAAAAGAAGTTCAGCAGTATCTCACTTGTGAATATCGCTTTTCCGGCCACATTCCTAATTGGCGGAGCCCTTCTCATTCGATGGAGTTGACGAGCGAGAGCGTACAAGCAAAAAACTGTCTTAGCGTTTCTTCCCTCATACACATCAGCTGTTTCGGGAATGAGAATCTAAAGGAATTTTTTGAAAATGTAATATTTTCCCAATTACTTCAGGTAGTCGAATACTTTCGAGTCCTTTCCTCCAAAGAACAATGTTATCGGTGTGTCTGTAGACAAGAGCGTTTTCCGGGTTCTCCGGATCGGCCGCCAAACGAGTCTCGTATTTGTTCTGGAGTTGATTGTTATCTAATAAAAGTAAAAGAAATTAACTACCTGATCAAGATCGTAAATAGCTGTTGTGGGGACAACATCGGGTGCAAAGAAATTCGCAATCCTTGCCAAAAGGACACCATTTTGAAGAGCTCTTTCAAGAGTTGTTGCAGGAGAAATCGAATCATCACGAAGACATTCAACTAGCCAACTAAATACTTGAATTACCCTATGATTTACCTTTTAAATGATTACTTTCGAACTTCCGATAATCGACACAGATAATCATAAGCTTTTCGATTCAGTCTCTTCTCGTCGATATCCTCCACTTTCTCTCCATTTTGTTGCTCGCTTTGTTGACGTTCAGGCTTTACAGGCGACACTGGGGCATCGTTGCTTGGTCTCTGAAAGTTTGTTGAAGTTTAACTTTCTTCATTTCGACTTTATGCGATTATCACTCACTGGTGAGATGTGAGCTGGTTTTGGTGCAACTGGCGGTGGAGGTGAACGAATTGCCCCACTCATTCCATTCATTGATGTTCTCGGTGATGGAGAATCAATTGGAGATTCGGTTTTTTGAGTCATCTCATTTGGAAATGTGAATGTGAAGATTTGAGACGAGGAATCAATGGATGTCTTTTTTTCGGTCGAATCGCTTAATTATGGGAATCGGAATGAGAGAAATGGCAACAGAAAGAGAAAGAAGTTTAGCAAAGAAAGCTTTGAACAGGAAAAAGTTGTTTTTGCTGTTGTTGTTGTTGTTGTTGAAAGTTGTTCAAGTTGCTTTGAAAATAAAATGAAAGAAAATATGTTTTGAATTTGCAAACGAAACCCTAAAAAGTTCTCTATAAACTTTCTGGGTCAACCCATTTTCTCTTTTGGCTGGTATGGAAAATTGTTGAACCGTGAAGGGTAGAATGACAAGGATATCAAAGAACAACCAAGAATGGAGGATCAAAATTATAAAACTGTTCTGCATAATGAGAGTCTTATTGTTAGACTCAATTTCAGCTTATCGTTAGACTCAATCAACCTTAAGCTCCTGTTGAACTTACAAAAACTGGATACTGATATCAATAGAAGCAGAGAACAACGAGAATCAAAAAAAGTACTCCATAAAAATATACTGATGCTCTAATAAAGGCTAACATTACATTCCCAAAACGGATTATCAATGAATCAAGACGTTTAAACTGACCAAAGTGAAAGAAAAGAAAGGTCGAGAAGAAGAAGAAGACAGGAAATCGAATGGAAAATGTTTGTGCTTGTTTAGCTTTGAATTTTAGAGCCCTACACAAATCGTTGGCCGACTGATCGAGCTGAGTCAGCCCTTTTTCCTTCTTCGTTTCTTTTCTCTATCCATTCAACCCCTTAAAATCTCTAGTGAAGCTGTGGAGAAGAAGAGAAAAAGTTTGCGTTGATAACACCAAGAAAGGAAATAGGGAAAATGGGTGGGAGAAGAGGAGAAAATATAAGAGAAGCAACAGATAAAGGGACTTATTGTTGATCATCTCACATTAACAGATGCTTCTGATTGATTAGGGAAATGTTATAAGGCCAAAAGGGAAAGCATTGAAATATCATATTGATATTTTAGGAACAGAATTTAAATTCGAAAATCGTAAAGGCACAATTTTCTTGATTTTCTTGATCTCGGGATAAAGGTGTTTATTTTAAAAGCGGAAGGAATGAAAAAAGAGAAAAGAACAAAAAAACGTTTTTCGATTCTCACCCAATAATGCATTTCGATATGAGCGGGGGTGAAGGGGTGAGTGTGGAAAAAAGGATAGAGAAAGGGCACGGCACAGATTAGACAAAGGCAAAATATGTTTCAATGTTATAGTTGTTATTCAATGTTATGGTTCGATAGTTAAGGAAAGATCCGGGTTTTGACTCTATAATGGGTTTTTAAGGTGACTCATTTGATTTAATTTAGCCTTACCGTAAATACTGTAATAGTACCCCATCCCCATAATGACGGTGCGGAGTGTTGCGTGGTCTAGCTTAAAGTTGTTTCTTGTTTCGAGTATTTCTCGATACTGGTTTATGCTACAATGCGCGCTTTGGTATCAAAAAATAGCTGAAATTCAGGGCTATTTTTTGATACCAAAGACGCATTTTTCGAAAGTACGGGCGCTTTGCAAAAAATGAAATACTAAAAAGCGACTATGCGACTTTGCGACTACGCGAATGGGTTTTTAAGGTGACTCATTTGATTTAAGGTCGCCGGGGGATTTAAGGTTAATTTAAACTACATTATTGCATTACTGTAGTTTAAATTAACCTGTAGTTTAAACGTTTTTGATCATAAAATGATCGGTCGTCAATCGTCGATCGGATCGGTCAAATGGAATGGACCACGATTGAAAGATCAATTCAAATTAACTAACCTTGTAAAATTAACTAACCTTCTAAAATTAACTAAACATTCTAAAACACAAGTTTCTGTATTGAGTTTAGTATTTTGATATAAGTTGTGAATGAAATCAAAAAGAAGAAGAAGATCGGGGGAAAAGAAAAGAGAACAAGTGGGGCAGAGATTGAATCAAAGAGAAAAAAGTGGAATGGGAGTGAAAAGCTGTGTCAATATCAAATCGACATCGCTATTCATTCAGTTTTCGGCTTTTTTTTTGTGTAGTTGAACGGCCGAAAAGAGTTGCCTCAAAACAAAACAACGAATGAGCTTTTGCAGAAAATCGATGTCATTGATAAAACCGTAAACAAATGATCGCCGATTTGCTTAAACAAGTCAGAGTTGTTGATCACAAATCTTCAAATGTTTCTAAACAGTGTAAAAGTATAAGCAACTGTATAAGCAACTTGTAGCTGTCTAAATAACTCTCTTTCAAACGTTCTCAAAGTAAAAAGAAAATCATTTAATCTTCTTAAATAGTTGGGTGTTTTTCTTTGGGGAAAACTTTCGTTCGATGTTTCGTTTGCACAAAAGACTATGAGAATTCTCTCGAAAAGTGCCCGTTGCTTTGAAAAGTGCCCGCTCATCAAAAAATGGCATCAAATGACTAGGTTGATGCAAAAGAAATTTCGATTTTTCACAATCATTAAATTTAATCTTCCTTTAGGTAGCAATTTATTCTAAACAAAAACACCATCGTTATTTATAAAATCCCTCCGACGTTGTTTCAGATTGGATCCCAATCTGATCCCAATCAATCCCTTATCGAAGAACTCTTGATTCTGTGATTGAAAGTAGTCGGTCACCCAAATCTCGACTTCTTGCGCATTCTTAAACTGGCAAGGGATTTGCATTGATTGCATCGATATTGCATGGATATTGCATCGATATTGCATCGATTTGAAGAGGTGAAAACCAAATGGTGATAAGTCTGGACTATATGGCGCATGCGGTAAGATCTTAATTCCTTCCATCTTAATTCCTCTAACTCCATACAAGAAGCTTTCGCTGTGCTGTGCTTCGCTGTGCGAGTTGGCGCGTTGTCACGGAGAAAATTGACAGGGATTTAAACCCTTTTGACGCAAAATTTGGTCAACCTTCTTGAGTTGTTGAATAAAACAGGGTAAATCTGTTGTCTATTAAAACAAATCAACTGTTATTCCGGCCTCTAATAATTCGAAATAAACAAGCCCGCTGATATTCCACCAGCAAGACAACATCATTTTATGCCCATGGTAATCTGGCTTTGGAGTTGAAATTGGCATTGCTAAGCCATTGTCTTTTTCGAGAAGTGTTATCGAAGTGGTTTCACTTTTCGTCCATCATCCAAATATTCTCAAAAAATGGCTTCTTTTCGACTTAAGATGTGGCTGATCGAAACGCGCGCTCCCAGATTCTCGGTGCTCAATTCATGTGGAACCCATCGTCCATTACGATTGGTCTTTCCGATTATTTCCAAATGGCGGACAATTGTTGATTGATCACATCGAAGTTGTCTGGCTCGTGTTGGCTCGTTGGAGGGCTTGCAAGCTCTCGTGTTGTCGGCATTGGATCAGCTTCAATAAGTTGTTCCAATTCATTATTATCGATCGCTGCCGAGCGATGCTCATGTGGTTCATCTTCAAGAGATTCAATACCTTCTCGGAATTGGGTAAACCAGAAACTGGCAGGATCTTTCGGGCATAACTTCTTCTCCAAAAGCGGAACAGAGATCACGATGTGATTCGGCAGCGTTTTGATTTGATGTTTTGATGTGCCCATTTTGAAAACGCACTCACGCACGAAAACACTTGCGCACAACATATTTTTGATCCACCATGATCTAAAGCAAATATCAATTCAAAAATGAAAGCTCTGACTTAGAAAAAGCTTAAAAATAAAGTAAATATCCAAGAGACAGAAAGAAAGAGACAGAAAGAAAGAGTACAAAAGAAAATCAAATAAGATTTTCAGACGAAAAAATAGAAAATTTTATACCAACCGAAATTTCTTTTGCATCGACCTAATAAAATGTTACAATTTTGATACTAATAAATTTGTAACTATATTGTTTAAGCAAAGAGTTATGAAAGCGTATTTGATACTAACATAAAACCTTTGAATCTAGCCACCAGTTGACATTCAGCTCAATTATCTCGTCATAGATTGTCATTGTACTTTTTTTATTTAGTCTACTTTGTGCTTTTTGGTTAAACTATTTTTTTCAATGAGTAACATAAAGAGTGCACCAGAAAGGAGAAAGACAGAAAGAAAGAGAAAGAAAGAAAGAAAGGAAGAAAGAAAGAAAGAAAGAAAGAAAGAGATAGAAAGAAAGAGTGAAAGCATTTCTAAGGGAAAAGAAAAAAAATGGTTAAGCAATTGGACTTTAAAATTCAATTTAACCAGAGATTGATAGTATGCAAAGATATAGGTGCAAAGGTGCAAAGATTAAGTTGGCAAGTTATAAACGATCGTTTTTTGGTAATGTGTTTTCTGAAAAAACGGCTTATCCAATCAAAAAATGGTTTGCTTCATTCAAAAGCCCTATCCTTAATCTACCAAATGGCTTTTTTGAACTTTTGAAAAATGTTTTATTTTAGAACTTTTTCAGGCATTTTAATGTAAGAGTTCAAAATCCTGATTTCTATTAGGTTGGTAAAAAAGAAATGAGTGTCGTGTTTGTTGATTTGTATTTTATTCACAGTAACAGATTTTTTTAAATAGTTTATTCTATTGGAAAGAGCGTGTTCTTGCGCATCGTTTGATATATAATTTGTCTATGTTTATTTTGTTTTTGTACAAGAAAGAGTGTTTAGAAAATGTCGGACCAAAAATTGCGCTTGCGGGCCTGCTTGTGGTATGAATTTAAGCAAGGCAAATCGGCTGCTGAAGCTCATCGCGCTCTATCTCAAGTGTTTGACGAAAATGCTCTATCCGAAAGTCAGTGTAAACGATGGTTCCAGCGCTTCCGAGACGGCGACGAAAGCTTGGAAGACCAAAAACACCTAATAAGAGTTCAAAATCCTGATTTCTAGCATTCATGAGCTAATAGCTTTCTAGCAATATTTTTGAGTGATTGCATACTTTTTAAAATAAAACGCTTCATCGATTACATAGTTTCCCAACATTTCAGAACAAACCAATCGATCGAAACGTTCTTTTTCTTTCTCAATCTTTTTTTTTATTCTTTTAAATTCAAATGAATAATGGATTAAAATCGCACACAAAGTGCATTTTGAGCCTAATTTGAAAATCAACCTTCCGAAGATTGGATTGTTCTGAAATGTTGGGAAACTATGTAATCGATGAAGCGTTTTATTAGGTTGATGCATAAGTCTTTTCGTTCCTTTTCGTCTGCCGTTTCAAGCCAACAAATGCACCAATTAAACTACGGTTGATTTCATTAGAAAAACCAATTATTTTTCTGCAAAATAACATTAAAACGGGTTTAAAAATTTTTTTTGCCTGGATTTTCTTGAGAGTATGAAGTCGGGTAGTCCTAATGGGCTAACTGGATCATACGGTTTAGACACCTTAGCTAAAGAAAACCTATCTTCGTGTCAATAGATAAAAGATAGAGAAAAAAAACGTTTGATATTTCGCCAAAATTTCAGAGAAATTCATTCAGCCAATTTTTCCGTAGAGTTTTTTATAGATTTTTACGAAAAAGGCGTTTTTCACTCTCGAATTTGCTTGAAAGTGAACCGAAATTGATTTAAAAAGATGGAAATTGAACAAAAAAACACTTTTTTTATAGAGCAAACTATAGATTAATTGGTGAATTTGTTACTTTTTAACAGAAGTACGAAAAAAACGAAAAGACTTATGCATCAACCTAATAAATTAGCACAAAAGTGCATTTTGAGTCTAATTTGAAAATCAACCTTCCGAAGATTGGATTGTTCTGAAATTTTGGGAAACTATGTAATCGATGAAGCGTTTTATTTTAAAAAGTATGCAATCACTCAAAAATAGCTCAAAAATATAATAGCTCATGAATGCTAGAAATCAGGATTTTGAACTCTTACATTAAAATGCCTGAAAAAGTTCTAAAATAAAACATTTTTCAAAAGTTCAAAAAAAACCATTTGGTAGATTAAGGATAGGGCTTTTGAATGAAGCAAACCATTTTTTGATTGGATAAGCCGTTTTTTCAGAAAACATATTACCAATCGATCGATTGGAAAAACGATCGTTTATAACTTGCCAACCTAATACTTTGCATACTATCAATCTCTTGTCAAAACGAAACAGTACAATAAAGCAGTATGAATACAGAAAATCTTCTAGAGTAGTAGTGAAAAGTAGTGAATTCGTTTTCGTTTTCGTTTTCGTTTTGCCATTTTGCCGTTTTGCCTATTTGCCGTGAAAATCAAGAGGTAAATTTGAAGTCAGTTCTGAGGGAAAAGAAAAAAAAAGGAGAGAAAAAGGAGAGAAAAAGGAAAGACTGACTCGAATTTCACATAACCACACAAAGAATTCACGAATTTCATTTGCAATCAAAAGAGTTTCATTTTAAGAAAAAGATCAGAGAAAGAAAAGATCCATAAAGGCCATATTTTTAAAAAATTTCATAGAAATTTGTGCAAAAAATCTTTGCACATTCAAAAACGCTTTAAAACATTCGAGGGGAAAAGTTTAGCCGCCAAATTTTGAACGACTTGATAGAAAAGAGAAAAAATGGCAGTGAAAAGAAAGGCGAAGGTTTTGTTTTTTTGGGAAAACAGGTTAAGAGGTGAGTTGAGAATTGATTGAGGTATAAATGAATGACTTTTTTCCAAAAACTTTTCTTACCATTCGATAGACATACATTTTTCTCGAAAACAAGCCATAAACGAACTTTATATCTCAAAAAGGAAAGATTTCAAGATTTTCAAGCTGATTTAGAGGGCACACAAATCTTAAAAGCAAAAAAGCGCTGTGATGACCTTTAAACATTCTCATCAAAAAATTGGGGAGTGGGACAAATGCGACCCTTTTTTTTTGCGCACCTGGACATTTGCGCACCTTTTTTCCGCACCTTGCCCATTAGCGCACCTTTTTCGCGTTTTAAAAAAAGCTCTAAAAAGCTAATATTAACCAATTTCTATTCCAAAAGCTGTTTTTCTAGGTAATTTTAGGGCGTAGAACCGGAATTTTGACATAACAGAGCGTGTGGAACCAATTTGAAAGACAAAACGGCTAGATCAAATTACAGAAAATTGTCGATTTTTCTCTTTGTATAACTCCGTCCGTTTGTTTCCACAAGCTCTGTTATGTCAAAATTTTGATTCTACGCCCTAAAATTACCTAAGAAAAACAACTTTTGGACTAGAAATTGGTTAGTATTAGCTTTTTAGAGCTTTTTTAAACGCGAAAAAGGTGAATGGGCAAGATGCGAAAAAAGGTCGCATTTGTCCCACTCCCAAAAATTGTTTAGAGTTGCAACTAAAAAAAGTACATAGTAGTGTAAAAAAAAGTAGTATAAAAAAGTGTATAATAAAGGTAAAAATACCTGAATTTTCATAATCCGGTGTTAGTTTTTCAAAAATAGCGCTTTTTCCGAGTCAAACTGTCCGTTTACAAAAAGTATAAGAATTTTCTTATAAGTATAAGAATACAAAAAGTATAGGAAGTACTCCTGTTTTTACTCTGTTTTACTTTTTACAGATAAAGCAGGGTCTAGAAGTAGCTATTATGCGAAAAAATTGCCCTTTTGCCATTTTTTTCATTTTCCCAAATCAGCGCCACCCATTTCAGCGCCGCATTTTTCGCACTACCGTCATAATTTTGCACTATTTTTTATGCTTTTCCTCCTTGTTTTCGCTTCTGTTTTATTTTTTATACGTAAAACAGATCTAGAAGTAGCTATTACGCAAAAAAGCACAAAGATTGACCATAATTTAGCGCTTTTTGATGGAAATTATTAACTTTTTTTACAGCTTTTCTCATTCAAATTTTTTTGTTTTTTTCTTCTTTATTCCATGATGAAATCGGAAACTTTGTCCAGCTTTTATGCCAAGTCCCGCGAAGTTTTCTTCCCCCATCGTAAAATCTATTGTTTTTTTAAAGTACTCTCTCTCCCCTCTCTCCTCCTTTTTATATTGTTTGCCCATAGTTTTTTGTTTAAAATTTTAATACGATTTTATTTCGTTTTCTTTTCGGCTCCTTCGACTCCATTATTTCGAATTCGTTCACACATGCTGTATAAACTCAACTTAACCAACCAACTTAACCAATTCCAATATGAATACGAATACAAATACCAATACCAATAATCAAACCAACTTAACAAAACCAACTTAACCAAACCGACTTAATCAAACTTAACCAACTAAAACGCAAATCTAAATAATCAGCCACGGCGTGGTCTTCTTTTTACTTCGTCTTGGGTTTCGTGTCAAATCATTTTAGAAAAGGGTTGGTAAGTCTAAAGGTGTTAGACAAGGGAGTTCGTTACTAACTTAAGTGTCTCAAAGTATATCAAAAAGAAGTTCAGCAGTATCTCACTTGTGAATATCGCTTTTCCGGCCACATTCCTAATTGGTGGAGCCCTTCTCATTCGATGGAGTTGACGAGCGAGAGCGTACAAGCAAAAAACTGTCTTCGCGTTTCTTCCCTCATACACATCAGCTGTTTCGGGAATGAGAATCTAAAGGAATTTTTTGAAAATGTAATATTTTCCCAATTACTTCAGGTAGTCGAATACTTTCGAGTCCTTTCCTCCAAAGAACAATGTTATCGGTGTGTCTGTAGACAAGAGCGTTTTCCGGGTTCTCCGGATCGGCCGCCAAACGAGTCTCGTATTTGTTCTGGAGTTGATTGTTATAGAATCAATGATTGTTATTTAATAAAAGTAATACCTGATCAAGATCGTAAATAGCTGTTGTGGGGACAACATCGGGTGCAAAGAAATTCGCAATCCTTGCCAAAAGGACACCATTTTGAAGAGCACTTTCAAGAGTTGTTGCAGGAGAAATCGAATCATCACGAAGACATTCAACTAGCCAACTAAATACTTGAATTACCCTATGATTTACCTTTTAAATGATTACTTTCGAACTTCCGATAATCGACACAGATAATCATAAGCTTTTCGATTCAGTCTCTTCTCGTCGATATCCTCCACTTTCTCTCCATTTTGTTGCTCGCTTTGTTGACGTTCAGGCTTTACAGGCGACACTGGGGCATCGTTGCTTGGTCTCTGAAAGTTTTTTGAAGTTTAACTTTCTTCATTTCGACTTTATGCGATTATCACTCACTGGTGAGATGTGAGCTGGTTTTGGTGCAACTGGCGGTGGAGGTGAACGAATTGCCCCACTCATTCCATTCATTGATGTTCTCGGTGATGGAGAATCAATTGGAGATTCGGTTTTTGAGTCATCTCATTTGGAAATGTGAATGTGAAGATTTGAGACGAGGAATCAATGGATGTCTTTTTTCGGTCGAATCGCTTAATTATGGGAATCGGAATGAGAGAAATGGCAACAGAAAGAGAAAGAAGTTTAGCAAAGAAAGCTTTGAACAGGAAAAAGTTGTTTTTGCTGTTGTTGTTGTTGTTGTTGAAAGTTGTTCAAGTTGCTTTGAAAATAAAATGAAAGAAAATATGTTTTGAATTTGCAAACGAAACCCTAAAAAGTTCTCTATAAACTTTCTGGGTCAACCCATTTTCTCTTTTGGCTGGTATGGAAAATTGTTGAACCGTGAAGGGTAGAATGACAAGGATATCAAAGAACAACCAAGAATGGAGGATCAAAATTATAAAACTGTTCTGCATAATGAGAGTCTTATTGTTAGACTCAATTTCAGCTTATTGTTAGACTCAATCAACCTTAAGCTCCTGTTGAACTTACAAAAACTGGATACTGATATCAATAGAAGCAATAATATCAATAGAAGCAGAGAACAACGAGAATCAAAAAAAGTACTCCATAAAAATATACTGATGCTCTAATAAAGGCTAACATTACATTCCCAAAACGGATTATCAATGAATCAAGACGTTTAAACTGACCAAAGTGAAAGAAAAGAAAGGTCGAGAAGAAGAAGAAGACAGGAAATCGAATGGAAAATGTTTGTGCTTGTTTAGCTTTGAATTTTAGAGCCCTACACAAATCGTTGGCCGACTGATCGAGCTGAGTCAGCCCTTTTCCTTCTTCGTTTCTTTTCTCTATCCATTCAACCCCTTAAAATCTCTAGTGAAGCTGTGGAGAAGAAGAGAAAAAGTTTGCGTTGATAACACCAAGAAAGGAAATAGGGAAAATGGGTGGGAGAAGAGGAGAAAATATAAGAGAAGCAACAGATAAAGGGACTTATTGTTGATCATCTCACATTAACAGATGCTTCTGATTGATTAGGGAAATGTTATAAGGCCAAAAGGGAAAGCATTGAAATATCATATTGATATTTTAGGAACAGAATTTAAATTCGAAAATCGTAAAGGCACAATTTTCTTGATTTTCTTGATCTCGGGATAAAGGTGTTTATTTTAAAAGCGGAAGGAATGAAAAAGAGAAAAGAACAAAAAACGTTTTTCGATTCTCACCCAATAATGCATTTCGATATGAGCGGGGGTGAAGGGGTGAGTGTGGAAAAAAGGATAGAGAAAGGGCACGGCACAGATTAGACAAAGGCAAAATATGTTTCAATGTTATAGTTGTTATTCAATGTTATGGTTCGATAGTTAAGGAAAGATCCGGGTTTTGACTCTATAATGGGTTTTTAAGGTGACTCATTTGATTTAATTTAGCCTTACTGTAAATACTGTAATAGTACCCCATCCCCATAATGACGGTGCGGAGTGTTGCGTGGTCTAGCTTAAAGTTGTTTCTTGTTTCGAGTATTTCTCGATACTGGTTTATGCTACAATGCGCGTTTGGTATCAAAAAATAGCTGAAATTCAGGGCTATTTTTTGATACCAAAGACGCATTTTTCGAAAGTACGGGCGCTTTGCAAAAAATGAAATACTAAAAAGCGACTATGCGACTTTGCGACTACGCGAATGGGTTTTTAAGGTGACTCATTTGATTTAAGGTCGCCGGGGGATTTAAGGTTAATTTAAACTACATTATTGCATTACTGTAGTTTAAATTAACCTGTAGTTTAAACGTTTTTGATCATAAAATGATCGGTCGTCAATCGTCGATCGGATCGGTCAAATGGAATGGACCACGATTGAAAGATCAATTCAAATTAACTAACCTTGTAAAATTAACTAACCTTCTAAAATTAACTAAACATTCTAAAACACAAGTTTCTGTATTGAGTTTAGTATTTTGATATAAGTTGTGAATGAAATCAAAAAGAAGAAGAAGATCGGGGGAAAAGAAAAGAGAACAAGTGGGGCAGAGATTGAATCAAAGAGAAAAAAGTGGAATGGGAGTGAAAAGCTGTGTCAATATCAAATCGACATCGCTATTCATTCAGTTTTCGGCTTTTTTTTTGTGTAGTTGAACGGCCGAAAAGAGTTGCCTCAAAACAAAACAACGAATGAGCTTTTGCAGAAAATCGATGTCATTGATAAAACTGTAAACAAATGATCGCCGATTTGCTTAAACAAGTCAGAGTTGTTGATCACAAATCTTCAAATGTTTCTAAACAGTGTAAAAGTATAAGCAACTGTATAAGCAACTTGTAGCTGTCTAAACAACTCTCTTTCAAACGTTCTCAAAGTAAAAAGAAAATCATTTAATCTTCTTAAATAGTTGGGTGTTTTTCTTTGGGGAAAACTTTCGTTCGATGTTTCGTTTGCACAAAAGACTATGAGAATTCTCTCGAAAAGTGCCCGTTGCTTTGAAAAGTGCCCGCTCATCAAAAAATGGCATCAAATGACTAGGTTGATGCAAAAGAAATTTCGATTTTTCACAATCATTAAATTTAATCTTCCTTTAGGTAGCAATTTATTCTAAACAAAAACACCATCGTTATTTATAAAATCCCTCCGACGTTGTTTCAGATTGGATCCCATTCTGATCCCAATCAATCCCTTATCGAAGAACTCTTGATTCTGTGATTGAAAGTAGTCGGTCACCCAAATCTCGACTTCTTGCGCATTCTTAAACTGGCAAGGGATTTGCATTGATTGCATCGATATTGCATGGATATTGCATCGATATTGCATCGATTTGAAGAGGTGAAAACCAAATGGTGATAAGTCTGGACTATATGGCGCATGCGGTAAGATCTTAATTCCTTCCATCTTAATTCCTCTAACTCCATACAAGAAGCTTTCGCTGTGCTGTGCTTCGCTGTGCGAGTTGGCGCGTTGTCACGGAGAAAATTGACAGGGATTTAAACCCTTTTGACGCAAAATTTGGTCAACCTTCTTGAGTTGTTGAATAAAACAGGGTAAATCTGTTGTCTATTAAAACAAATCAACTGTTATTCCGGCCTCTAATAATTCGAAATAAACAAGCCCGCTGATATTCCACCAGCAAGACAACATCATTTTATGCCCATGGTAATCTGGCTTTGGAGTTGAAATTGGCATTGCTAAGCCATTGTCTTTTTCGAGAAGTGTTATCGAAGTGGTTTCACTTTTCGTCCATCATCCAAATATTCTCAAAAAATGGCTTCTTTTCGACTTAAGATGTGGCTGATCGAAACGCGCGCTCCCAGATTCTCGGTGCTCAATTCATGTGGAACCCATCGTCCATTACGATTGGTCTTTCCGATTATTTCCAAATGGCGGACAATTGTTGATTGATCACATTGAAGTTGTCTGGCTCGTGTTGGCTCGTTGGAGGGCTTGCAAGCTCTCGTGTTGTCGGCATTGGATCAGCTTCAATAAGTTGTTCCAATTCATTATTATCGATCGCTGCCGAGCGATGCTCATGTGGTTCATCTTCAAGAGATTCAATACCTTCTCGGAATTGGGTAAACCAGAAACTGGCAGGATCTTTCGGGCATAACTTCTTCTCCAAAAGCGGAACAGAGATCACGATGTGATTCGGCAGCGTTTTGATTTGATGTTTTGATGTGCCCATTTTGAAAACGCACTCACGCACGAAAACACTTGCGCACAACATATTTTTGATCCACCATGATCTAAAGCAAATATCAATTCAAAAATGAAAGCTCTGACTTAGAAAAAGCTTAAAAATAAAGTAAATATCCAAGAGTACAAAAGAAAATCAAATAAGATTTTCAGACGAAAAAATAGAAAATTTTATACCAACCGAAATTTCTTTTGCATCGACCTAATAAAATGTTACAATTTTGATACTAATAAATTTGTAACTATATTGTTTAAGCAAAGAGTTATGAAAGCGTATTTGATACTAACATAAAACCTTTGAATCTAGCCACCAGTTGACATTCAGCTCAATTATCTCGTCATAGATTGTCATTGTACTTTTTTTATTTAGTCTACTTTGTGCTTTTTGGTTAAACTATTTTTTTCAATGAGTAACATAAAGAGTGCACCAGAAAGGAGAAAGACAGAAAGAAAGAGAAAGAAAGAAAGAAAGGAAGAAAGAAAGAAAGAAAGAAAGAGATAGAAAGAAAGAGTGAAAGCATTTCTAAGGGAAAAGAAAAAAAAATGGTTAAGCAATTGGGCTTTAAAATTCAATTTAACAAGAGATTGATAGTATGCAAAGATATAGGTGCAAAGGTGCAAAGATTAAGTTGGCAAGTTATAAACGATCGTTTTTTGGTAATGTGTTTTCTGAAAAAACGGCTTATCCAATCAAAAAATGGTTTGCTTCATTCAAAAGCCCTATCCTTAATCTACCAAATGGCTTTTTTTGAACTTTTGAAAAATGTTTTATTTTAGAACTTTTTCAGGCATTTTAATGTAAGAGTTCAAAATCCTGATTTCTATTAGGTTGGTAAAAAAGAAATGAGTGTCGTGTTTGTTGATTTGTATTTTATTCACAGTAACAGATTTTTTTAAATAGTTTATTCTATTGGAAAGAGCGTGTTCTTGCGCATCGTTTGATATATAATTTGTCTATGTTTATTTTGTTTTTGTACAAGAAAGAGTGTTTAGAAAATGTCGGACCAAAAATTGCGCTTGCGGGCCTGCTTGTGGTATGAATTTAAGCAAGGCAAATCGGCTGCTGAAGCTCATCGCGCTCTATCTCAAGTGTTTGACGAAGATGCTCTATCCGAAAGTCAGTGTAAACGATGGTTCCAGCGCTTCCGAGACGGCGACGAAAGCTTGGAAGACCAAAAACACCTAATAAGAGTTCAAAATCCTGATTTCTAGCATTCATGAGCTAATAGCTTTCTAGCAATATTTTTGAGTGATTGCATACTTTTTAAAATAAAACGCTTCATCGATTACATAGTTTCCCAACATTTCAGAACAAACCAATCGATCGAACCGTTCTCTTTCTTTTAATCTTTTTTTATTCTTGCTTAAATTCAAATGAAAATGGATTAAAATCGCACAAAAGTGCATTTTGAGCCTAATTTGAAAATCAACCTTCCGAAGATTGGATTGTTCTGAAATGTTGGGAAACTATGTATTCGATGAAGCGTTTTATTAGGTTGATGCATAAGTCTTTTCGTTCCTTTTCGTCTGCCGTTTCAAGCCAACAAATGCACGAATTAAACTACGGTTGATTTCATTAGAAAAAGCAATTATTTTTCTGCAAAATAACATTAAAACGGGTTTAAAAATATTTAATGCCTGGATTTTCTTGAGAGTATGAAGTCGGGTAGTCAAAAAGGGCTAACTCGATGATGCGGTTTAGACACCTTAGCTAAAGAAAACCTATCTTCGTGTCAATAGATAAAAGATAGAGAAAAAAAAAAAGTTTGATATTTCGCCAAAATTTCAGAGAAATTCATTCAGCCAATTTTTCCGTAGAGTTTTTTATAGATTTTTACGAAAAAGGCGTTTTTCACTCTCGAATTTGCTTGAAAGTGAACCGAAATTCATTTAAAAAGATGGAAATTGAACAAAAAAACACTTTTTTTATAGAGCAAACTATAGATTAATTGGTGAATTTGTTACTTTTTAACAGAAGTACGAAAAAAACGAAAAGACTTATGCATCAACCTAATAAATTAGCACAAAAGTGCATTTTGAGTCTAATTTGAAAATCAACCTTCCGAAGATTGGATTGTTCTGAAATTTTGGGAAACTATGTAATCGATGAAGCGTTTTATTTTAAAAAGTATGCAATCACTCAAAAATATTGCTAGAAAGCTATTAGCTCATGAATGCTAGAAATCAGGATTTTGAACTCTTACATTAAAATGCCTGAAAAAGTTCTAAAATAAAACACTTTTCAAAAATTCAAAAAGCCATTTTGTAGATTAAGGATAGGGCTTTTGAACCAAGCAAACCGTTTTTTGATTGGATAAGCCGTTTTTTCAGAAAACATATTACCAATCGATCGATTGGAAAAACGATCGTTTATAACTTGCCAACCTAATACTTTGCATACTATCAATCTCTTGTCAAAACGAAACAGTACAATAAAGCAGTATGAATACAGAAAATCTTCTAGAGTAGTAGTGAAAAGTAGTGAATTCGTTTTCGTTTTCGTTTTGGTTTTGCCATTTTGCCGTTTTGCCTATTTGCCGTGAAAATCAAGAGGTAAATTTGAAGTCAGTTCTGAGGGAAAAGAAAAAAAAGGAGAGAAAAAGGAAAGACTGACTCGAATTTCACATAACCACACAAAGAATTCACGAATTTCATTTGCAATCAAAAGAGTTTCATTTTAAGAAAAAGATCAGAGAAAGAAAAGATCCATAAAGGCCATATTTTTTAAAAATTTCATAGAAATTTGTGCAAAAAATCTTTGCACATTCAAAAAACGCTTTAAAACATTCGAGGGGAAAAGTTTAGCCGCCAAATTTTGAACGACTTGATAGAAAAGAGAAAAAATGGCAGTGAAAAGAAAGGCGAAGGTTTTGTTTTTTTGGGAAAACAGGTTAAGAGGTGAGTTGAGAATTGATTGAGGTATAAATGAATGACTTTTTTCCAAAAACTTTTCTTACCATTCGATAGACATACATTTTTCTCGAAAACAAGCCATAAACGAACTTTATATCTCAAAAAGGAAAGATTTCAAGATTTTCAAGCGATTTAGAGGGCACACAAATCTTAAAAGCAAAAAAAGCGCTGTGATGACCTTTAAACATTCTCATCAAAAAATTGGGGAGTGGGACAAATGCGACCTTTTTTTTGCGCACCCGGACATTTGTGCACCTTTTTTTCCGCACCTTGCCCATTAGCGCACCTTTTTTCGCGTTTTAAAAAAGCTCTAAAAAGCTAATATTAACCAATTTCTATTCCAAAAGCTGTTTTTCTAGGTAATTTTAGGGCGTAGAACCGAAATTTTGACATAACAGAGCGTGTGGAACCAATTTGAAAGACAAAACGGCTAGATCAAATTACAGAAAATTGTCGATTTTTCTCTTTGTATAACTCCGTCCGTTTGTTTCCACAAGCTCTGTTATGTCAAAATCTTGATTCTACGCCCTAAAATTACCTAGAAAAACAGCTTTTGGAATAGAAATTGGTTAGTATTAGCTTTTTAGAGCTTTTTTAAAACGCGAAAAAAGGTGCGCCAATGGGCAAGATACGCAAAAAAAAGGTCGCATTTGTCCCACTCCCAAAAATTGTTTAGAGTTGCAACTAAAAAAAGTACATAGTAGTGTAAAAAAAGTAGTATAAAAAGTGTATAATAAAGGTAAAAATACCTGAATTTTCATAATCCGGTGTTAGTTTTTCAAAAATAGCGCTTTTTCCGAGTCAAACTGTCCGTTTACAAAAAGTATAAGAATTTTCTTATAAGTATAAGAATACAAAAAGTATAGGAAGCCTGTATACTGGGTATCTTGTAGTAATTTACTACAAGATACCGATATGCTTTACTACAAGATACCAATATGTATTTACTACAAGATGGTCATCATCATCTTGTAGTAAATCATGACCATAATTTATTTCGAACGCAGCTTGACCAGTTCTAAAATTAAATCAAAGTCAAAATTACTACAATTTATGGACTTGATGGACTAAAGTTCAGCCCATTCAGGATTCCACGAGGATAAAAGTGGAGAGCTTGGTTGGAAACAAATGGTTTAAAAGAAGAGAATGAAGGGGTGAATTCGGGAAAACGGAGGAAAACGAAGAAGAGGAGAAGAAGAGGAGGAAGAGGAGGAAGAGAAGAGAAGGAAGAGAAGAGGAGGAAGAGAAGAGGAGGAGGAGTGGCACTTTTGAGGGGAAACGAGGAGTGCCCATCAGAGAAGGGTAAGGACGGAGTGTTGTGGTCAGTGCACGAGTATCCCCTCAGGCCCCCTCCCGGTCACACAAGTGTCCCTCACCCATTGCATTCCCTCATCCATTCCCGAATCTCTTTCTCTTCTCCGTTTCACTCCCTCCTCAATCTCTCCGTCTTTGTCGACTTCTTTATCATAGCACTTTTTCTTTAGCACTTCTCTGCCAAATTTCTCTCACCCCAATTTCTTTTCTTTTCGATGTGACCAATGTCACTTTAATGGCTTTTGAGATTTGAATTTATAAACGAATACGCTTCGTTTCTTAGCTGAGAAGCTTTTATTTAACAAGGCTTAAAAGCTTGTTGCTTGAGATTCTTGAATTGAACCGAAATTGAGTCGAATCGTTGGATTCTTGAACCGAAATTGAGTCGAATCATTGGATTCCTGAACCGAAATTAAGTTCAAAAGCTTTTTCAAGCTTAGGCTATTAGACTATTTGCGGAATTTCAAAAATCGGGTGAATTTAGAATAAATTTGATGAATAAATGTGGGTGAAAAACAGCTGAAGTGAATGAAAAACAGCTAAAAAGAGCTGAACGAGAGATCCATTTCTCTGAAGAGACACGAGACAACGCGAGAGTGTGTACCTTTCGTGTGTCTCGCAAGAAAAAGCGGCATCTGGCACACGGCTCGTCTAGATACGGCGACAGAGACTCCATTCGTTGGTTTAATTACCCAAGTTTGAGGTTAGCATTAACCCCGAGACCTTTACAAAAGTGTCTTGAAGAAATTTTGGAACGCGTCCCGATCGGGATGCACAAATGAATGCATCTCTAGGAAACGCAAATGAATTGGTTGTATTTATTTGTCGACTGTCGGCTGTCTTTATTTATAGATTTACAGATAAACAAGCTCTTTATTGTACAGAAAAATCATGGAATTGACTAGTTTGACTTCAAATTTGAGAGATCTATTTTCCGGGCATACCGAAACCGCTGAAGAGTGACAGTTTTGCGTTGTCATCACCTGCAATTGAGCTTTGAGTAAAAAGTGAAGTAATTTTTTGAATCATCAATGCTATAGTACTTAATTATCAATATTATCTCATCAAGGATCAATACTACCTTCTTGTTTTCACTATTTTTCACTATTTTTCACTATTTTAGCCCACCAATCCACATATTTCCTTTTCCATCCGATTCCCACTTCCATTGTCGTTTTGCTCGAAGAGCTGGAGCTGGAGATTTTATTTGTTTATTGTACACTTATCAATTGATTACCTGTCAAATCAGATGTCATAGGAGCTGCTTGAGTGAGACACAAAACGAAGACTGAAAGAAGAAATATCCGAATAAAGAAAGTGTTCATTCTGCGGATGTTTTCGAATCAAAAGAAATGAAGAACAGAAAGCGGGAAATCCTTTGAAATCAGATGCGAAGTTGACCCCTTTATATAGTTTTCTCGAATCTGCTCATCACATCACATTGAACTCAGTGGAATGAACTCTCCACCCCAATCTCTTTCCAGACTCTTTGCCTCTTTTTGGATCCAAGATCTTTTCTTTCTCCCAATTCCCACGAAATTTATGATGGAACGTTTGATCAAGACCATCAATGATTTTCGACCATTTTCTATTTTTGCGACGAATTGGGAGCGAAAAGTATCCCCGATTTGAACCGAGATCAGTCTTGTTTTGGCAAATAGACTAAAGAAAAGAAGGGATGGTGTTATCTTTCATCTATCAATAACTACATTGGACTGATAGCTGATTGTAAAATGATTGGTGGCAGCTCATTGTACTATGTAAGGCTTTTTTTTATGTAATCTTACAGTTTGTCTCACAAATGAAATGGTGAATGAAAAGGGAATGATTACGTGGATCGGATAAAAGATAAAAGGGAATGATTACGTGGAGAGTACTATGTAATCTTTTCTAAAAACTTCACGCACTAGGATTTTGTTTAGGCAATGGAGGACTGTTTTCACTTCAAACACAAATGAAATGGTGAATGAAAAGGGGATGATTGTGAGGAGAGTGAGAACTGAGACAAACATGGTTTTTGGTTTTGTTTTGATCATGATTTGTTTTAGGTACAAGTGAACTTGTGACCTCCGAGAGATTTTATAGGTCTTTTGAAAGTTTTCAACGAAAAATTGGCTCTTTTTTGGGTGAAGAACTTGTCGGATTCTTTGCTATGTCACATATATTTGATCAGTTATCGAAAATAGATTTCATAGTTGCGTTTGAGTAAGTAATTGCTCTGATTTTCCAAAACCGTACTCAAAAAGTCTTCCAAAAGCTGGAGCTATGAAAAAAAGCTCCTAGCTCTGGCTTGAGTTGCTAGCTGAGTTGCTAGCTGAGTTGCTAGCTGAGTTGCTAGCTGAGTTGCTAGCTGAGTTCCTAGCTGAGTTCCTAGCTCGAGCTTGAGTTCCTAGCTTGAGCTCCTAAAATCAAAGCATCAACCCTCTCAATGACAATGTTGAGATCAAGATGTTCTCCTTTTGATTGAATGACATCACACCGATCACATCATTCAAAAGATCTCTCTTTCCATCAACGATCGAGACAAATCCAATCACATCATATTACGTGGAAAGATGGAGAGATGATCAAATATTTGGTGATGATTGTGAAATGATTCGTGAACATTTCTCATTTTCTCTCATCAGTCCAAAGCTCAAACCTGCACACCAAGTTCTCTTTTCTCTCATCATTATCATCAAAATTGATAAAGATACTGTGCCTGTATCTGTTTTCTTTGATTCTTTGAGGTGATACAGTTTTGGATTTTGCTGTAAAGTAAGCTTGTAACAAAAACATCTGTCGGTCCTTTTTGCTGTTGGTAGTTTAAGGTTTTTCGTGTTTTTCCCAGCACCAACCCTTCTATTTTGACTATTTAAACTATCATTCAATGCAGAATAAAATTGCGCGTCGAATGATACCAAAAATAACTCAAAATATAATATCCATGCAAAGTTATGAGGCAAAATGGCCAGCCCCGTCGATAATTGGCGGGATTTAGGTTTTTAGCCAACAACTTTGCGTAGATATTAGATTTTAAGTTGGTTTTGGTATCATTCGATTCGTAATTTCATTCTGCATCTAATGATAGTCAAAATCGAAGGGTTGATGCTGAGAAAAGCACAAAAAAACCTTAAATTGCCAACGGCAAAAAAGGATTGACAGATTTTTCGACAGATTTACAAATTTACAGCAAAGTAGCAAAGCAAGTTTACAGCAACTTTTCACTGTTGTTCTTTCCCATCACAAATCATCTAAGAAAAGTTCCAATAAAACTAAGGAAATCAGAATGAATACCCAAAACAAGTTCAATTCAGTGCAACACAAAGAATGGAAATCTCAGTCTAGCTTTTTGCAAGCCAACATGCAAATTGAATGGGTTTTCTCTGGGAATGGAGGAATAACGGGCAATCGCTTATGCAAATTTACAGCCCATCTAGGTATTTAAGAGTCAGGCTGTATGTCAAAAGTTGGGTCTTTTTTTTTACTTGAACTTACTAGGGAACAGTTTCAACTTTCCACCGACTTTCAGAACCGAACCTAGCTACAAAACGCCTACGGGGAATTCTAAGAAACACGTATTTTTATTTTTTCCTGGCGGACTTTAGATTTCGAGAAAAACGCGTCCAAAGTTTCGGCAATTTTTGATGACCTCGCCAATAAAGGGGTGCCACGTCGAAGGGAAGAATGTTTGTCTTAATGTTAAAGATAAAATAAGTATAGAGAAAACATTAACAGAAGATTTGTTAATGTTTTTTCTATACTTATTTTATCTTTAAAACACTTTAGAATCTCTAAAAAATGTTTTCTGAAAGTTTTGAAAAAAAGCAAAAAATTTTGGCGGCAAGAGGAATCGAACTCGAGCGCAGAAATCGAACAGGCTTTGTAGACGAACGCACTATCCCTATGCTACTCCTGCTTTTCCTCCTCTTCGACATGCTCCCCCTTATTGCCGAGTCGCCTAAAATTCCCGAAACTTTGGACGCGCTTCTCGAAATCTAATGTCCGCCAGGAAAATATAAAAATACGTTTTTCTTAGAATTCCCCGTAGGCGTTTTGTAGCTAGGTTCGGTTTCGAAAATCGGTGATAAGTTGAAACAGTTTCCTAGTTAGTTTTCAGACAAGATGGGTTTTCGTCAACCTTTGTTAGCCGTATCATTAACTACGATTATTCTTACATTTGGCGCCTCGCTCGTTTTCATTGGAAACATCCTCGTCGAAGTGAATGAGTTCAAGGAAAATGTGAGCAAATTGTATAGTTATAGTTATAGCAGTAGTTAGCAGTAGTTATAGTTATAGTTATAGTTACAGAAATCCATCAATTATCCTGTAGTTATAGCAATTTTTCTTATAGTTATTGTTATTAATAGACTTTGGTACAGTAGATCCAGCGCTACTTTAGTTGACAGCAGTTCAAAGGGTCTAGTAGTTATAAAAAGTTTTATTATAGTTTTATCTAGTAGTTGTATTGTAATTTTATCTAGTAGTTTTATTGTAGTTTTATCTAGTAGTTTTATTGTATCAATTGCTAGGGTCATATTCGACTATTATATTGGATTAGCCCATAAGTAATGACGCAATTTCAAACAGAAATATCTATTCAATAAAGCCATCGAAATCAATCACTATAGTTTCCATCTTTTTCGATAAATTTTACCCATTTTACAGGTAAAAGGCCAATTCCGCTCTCTTTGGTTTTGAGCCAAAGTAGCTCTGTACCCATTTTTAGCATCTTTTTGATCTTCAAAGTGGCTTTCTAAGACAATACATTAAGCTAAGCGATTAATCGAAAGCGAAAAACAACGATTAATCATAAGATCTACACGTAATTTTACATAGAATAGAACATTTTTTAATGTTTAATGAGACTTTGACGACCCTAGCTGAGCAGTACAAAAATGCTAAGCGACACGATGCTGAAAAACAGTTAAATTCGATAGATTCTATAAGTTCAATAGGTTTTGATAAACCCGGCATCATCTACAAGTCAAAAACCTCTCGCCAAATTTCGTCGGTCACCCAGTATACATTGACAAGCTATTAAATGTTTAACAAGACAATAGATAGAGCCATTTTAGTCAGCTTAGCATTGGGTTAGCACTGTAGAGCGAGCCAGTTTAGCATTGGGTAGGCGGGCATTTTCATGCTGCAATAGGACCATTTTCTTTTTGAAAATTGGATTTGGTCTTTTTGTCTCGAGGCCTTTGGCCAGATTCCGCAGTTGATAGTTGAGAGTTAAGCCTTTGCTTGCTATTCTGTAACTCTCAGTACTCCCAGTATCCAATAACTCCCAATAACAACCTCAGCCAGTCTTCAACCAATCTTCGATCAAAGATTTTTCCTAATTTCTAAACTTGTGAAACCATTGATCACAGAGGTGAGGGAGCCAGCCTTATACTTTTGTTATGGCTTGAACTAGGGCATTTATCAAACTCAAGTAGCTCATTTAGATATGCTCATTTGCATATGCTCATCTGGCAAATTTACACTGATCGGCAAAAGAAAAGGAAATAAATAAAGATAAAGAAATAAAGTAAAAGAATAAAGAAATAAGAAAGCATGTCCAATCACTGAAAGTATTTTAAAAGAAGGGAATTCTGTTGTCTCTTTTAGTGGTAAACACTGAAGGCCAACTAAAGCTTAACGCCAAAATTTCTTTTCTTTGCCGTGACTCATTACTAGCCAGTTTAGTAGTCTACATCAAATTCTTAGCATACTCAATAGTATGCTAAGAATCTGATGGTAAAATTGTTGTCATTTCACTAGTACTGTGTTGGCATAACGGCACTTTAACAATTGTTAATTGTTAAAGTGTTAATTGTTAAGGCATAACGACAATTATCAGATTTTTATTTCATATTTCATTTCATATTTCAGGCGTATTTGGATCTTGAGCAATTTCACAATCATTACGACGAGGCGTTGGCAACAATGAGACCAAAGAGAGAAACTTATGAACAGACATATGTGAGTGGATCTGTGGATCTTACGATGTCTCATCATAAGTTCATAAGTTCATGGAGTCTTTCATAGGCTTACCGCTACGCGAGAGGCGAAATTCATGGACCGTAGCGTGACAAACTAAAGCGAAAGCATTTGCCAAGAATGTCTTCATTAATCAAGAACGAAAGTCAGAGGTTCGAAGGCGATTAGATAAGGCGTAGTTCTGACCGTAACCGTTCGAAGGCGTAGTTCTGACCGTAAACGATACCATCTAGCGATCCGGTGGTGGTTTTACCGGGGAGCTTCCCGGAAACGAAAGACTTCCGGTTCCGGACGTAGCCTAAGCACCTAAGCATCCAAAATACTTAAAGCCAGGAGAACTTTTCAGGAAAACACTCCCTCAATTGCCATTGAGGCATTCGAACCACCAAGTTGCCCTGTGGGTCCACCTGGTCCTCCCGGCTTGCCTGGTCATGTAAGTCTATAAAATATACTATAAAATCTATGAAATATTGTGTAATGACAATGATCTCTTTCAGGATGGTCCGGAAGGCCCTTCAGGTCCTCATGGCCATGATGGAGTTAGCCAATATCTTCAATCAAATCAAGACAAGAAAACTTGTACCAAATGTGAAGCCGGCCCTCCTGGACCACCAGGAAATCCCGGACAGCAAGGAGTGCAAGGGCCAAAGGGAATCGATGGAGTACCAGGTTCGAGAAATGCACTTACATCACAAGTACATGAGTCTTTTTAGGAAGTATTGGTGCTTTCGGACAGCCAGGCTCTCGAGGACCAATTGGTGATGAGGGATTGAGAGGAGAAAATGGAGAAGATGGAAAGGATGGTTTGCCAGGAACGAATGCAGAAAAAGTCGTCAATATAAAAGGAGCAAAAGGACCTCCAGGTCCACCCGGATCTATTGGATTTCCTGGACAAAGGGGGATCACTCTTGGACCAGGAAAACCAGGTAAGCGGCTTTTGTGCAGCATTGGTTAGTCGTCAACTTCTTGTAAGTCCCTTTTAGTAAACTCTAAATGCACCAGCAGTAAACTCTAAATGCACCAGCGATCCCAGCGATCCAAACGATCAAAACTCTTTAACAAATCAACTTCAATTCTTTATCAGTTTAAAAGCAAATGCTTATAATGCTTATACTTATAATACTTTCCCTAAAGTTTATATTTTAGGTCATATTGGAGCTCGTGGAAATGCGGGTCGAGATGGCCGAATGGGTGCTGAAGGAAAACGAGGAAAAAAGGGGATCAACGGAGCTCCAGGGATTGATGCTGCTTACTGTGCTTGTCCACCAAGGTATCAGACGGATTAGAAGTGTTTAATAGGCTTTATGACACGTAAACTTTCGAGTACTGATACGCGAAGTTCGTTGATTTCATTCTTCAACTGAAAACATTTCAGAACTGTTGCAGCGGCTGTTGAAGAGATCCCAATTGAGTCACAGAGCTACAATCGAATGAGGAGATTCTAGCGAATGAGGAGATTCTAACCATTCTAATCAAATTCTAACCATTCTAATCAAATTCTAACCATTTTAATCAAATTCTAACCATTCTAATCATTTGTAATTCCTTAAATATTATGAGATTGCTTCTGATTACATAAACTACAAGTTTATCTCCAGAAAATGAAAACTTTTTCTTTCTTTCTATAATTCTTTGAAAGCTTTCTATAATCATCCACCCGATTTTATCTTCTTATCCTCCCAAGATCCATCAGTGGACCGTGATTTCTCTTAATCGCCTGATTTAACCGTGAAATTCCTAGAAAATTCGCTAAATATCAGCTTTTTTTTGTCATCTTGAGTATGTAGACATTGAGATTAGAATTAAAAATGAGAAAATGTAATGGGAAAGTTTGATTTGAGAGATGGGCACGAGGTTTGATTTGGTTTGGTTTTGGTTTGGCTTGGTCTAAAAGAAAAAATGTAGTTTGAACCGCTAGATGTTTTTTAGACGGATATAAAGGTACAAAAAGCACAAAAAGAACAATCTTTCGTGTTCTGATCTTGATCTAATCCTTTCTTATATAAAATGGCTTTAGAACAATGCCTTTAGAGTTGCCCTAAACATATGTTAAAAATATATTAATAGTCGATTTTCTCTATAACAGAATGGAAGGGATCAAAAAATTTTTCCGTTATATAGAGTGCCATTATATATAGCTTAGCGTCGGCCGGGATCAAAATTCCATTCCGTTATATAAAGTTTTCCGCTGTATAGAGTTCCGTTATATAGAGCTTTCCGTTATATAGAGCTTTCCGTTATAGAGAGAGTCGACTGTATTAAACATACCGTATTTTCTCTAATAGTAGTGCACCCCGGCGAGCCGATTTGGTGACGATTTTACGGTTTCCAAGCTTTTGCAGAAGCTCAACACTCAAATCCCCCACTAGATCTCATCGTCAGCTACATTTTCCGACCCCACATCGATAGGTTCTGATAAGTGGTTCTAGAGATTTTGAGCAATCTGGCAACGCTCACGGTGCACTACTATTAGAGAAAACACGGTATTAAACATACACATTAGTTCCATATGAAGCACCACAAGGTTAACAAAATTGTCAATCACACTAGGCGAGCGGTGAATCTTTTTTGCGATTTCTCGATTACTCAATACGTCTTCATGATAAGCCTCAATTTTTTTTCTGTTTTGAAATCGGTAAATGCAGCACGACGTTGCAAACTAAATATGAAAAATAAGTTGAGAAAACAAGGAAACAAAAATAAATGAAGTAAATCACATTCTTTTGTTAATCACAGTAGGTGAGCGATCCATCTTTTTGCGATTTCTTGATTACTCAGTTATTTCGGTGCCTTTATCATTTTGAAACAGTCGACTTTTGAAAATTATTCAATTTTCGCATACTTTTTCGTTAGTTTTAGATAGATGTTAAATTTGAAGTTATTCAAGATGAAGAAAACGATGGTAAGCCAATAGAAGTTTAGAAGCCAATAGAAGCTTAGAAGCCAATAGAAGTTTAGAAGCCAATAGAAGCTTAGAAGCCAATAGAGGTTTGGAAGCGAATAGAAGTTTAGAAGCCAATAGAAGTTTAGAAGTCAATAGAAGTTTAGAAGCCAATAGAAGTTTAGAAGCCAATAGAAGTTTTCAGAACTTACAAAAAACCCAATTTTTGAAGCTGCCTTTAAACGCACTGTATCTTAAACATATTAAACAGCAAATTGTGCGGTTTACATTCGAGTTTTATCGTTTCAAAAAGCTCAATTGTTTCAAGTCGAAAAACTCGACAAACACACAGTTCGACTACACTATTTCCACAGCTCGACAGACCTATTTACGTGGTTTTTATTGGTTTATGAATTTTCCAATTTCCAACTAACATTCAGATTCTTTGTTAAATGTTTTCCATTGACAGCACTTTTTTTGGAGAAGATCGTTCGGCAAAAAATTGTTGGCATCGTTTTCGATCCAAAAAATTTCCCCTCTCCATTTCGAAATTCAAATAAAACACGTGGACTTGATCTGGGAAGAGAAAAGTCATCAAAAAAAATGGAATGTTTTTTGTTTTCTTTGGAAATGGTTAGTCATCTTGAAACAAATAATTGAGAAATTTTGAAAAATTGGAGAATTTACAGGAATTGGTAAGAAATATCGTCCATAGGAGAACTTGATTTAGATTATAGGACAACTTGCTCTAGTTTATTGGACAACTTGATCTGTTTTGTCATCGGTTTCAAATAGTTAGACAGAAATTCCTATTCTTCTCAAAGCTATTCAATTATTCAATAAAATGTCTTCCATTTTGTTCTCCAAATGTCGTCTTTTGTTTTTCCAACTCAAATTTGTTTCTCGTACAAGAATTCTTTTGGTTTTCAACTCCCAATTTGAGTAAAGACGATTAAATTAGAGAATCCGCTCAAAAAATTGACTCAGCCAGTAGAAAAAAATGAGTTTTGGTTTCTCACGAGAGTTTAATAAGGTTTTAGAGAAGAAAAAAATGGAATTATGGGAAATGAAACACTTATTTTCTGGCATTTCACGAGAAAGGTGTGACTAATCTTCTGGAATAGAAGTTCTGGAATAGAATTTCTATAGAACAATTGGAAATGGGATTACTGTATATGGAAAACAGTGTGTTTTCCATATACAGAAACGCTAATCCACTCGAAAATTAGCTTACAGTTTAGAAAATTTCAATTTGAGAGTTCAATTTGAGAGCAATTGTTGCAAGCCATGGAAAAGTATTATTCAAAAATGCTAGCAAACCTCAGTTAGATTTCCAGAATATAAACTCTCAGATATCACTTTAAATGGTCAACAGAACGAGTTCAACAAAATTCTATTCTAAGGTTTTGATTCTTAGAATTCTGCCAAATTTCAACTTCCGGTTCAACGGGTTTCGAGATTTTCGGCAAAATGAAACGTCAATGAAATCCTAGAGGAAATCGTGAATAAAGAACGGAGAATATTGACTAAAAATGAATACTTAGATATGTTTTCTATGTGTAATTTGATGAATTACGGTGTTAGACATAGACATTACTGGACAAAAGACTCGAGAAATCATCTCGCGAGAGAATCACCTCGCGAACTTTTCTCCATCTTTGTCTCCATCTCCATCTCCATCTCCATCTCCATGCGCGCCAATTTGTGGGCACTTCTGAATGGTTTTTTGGGTTTTAAAGCGATTCAAAAAGCTTTTAAAGCGATTTTGCAATGACCGATTTCGAGACACCAAATTGAAATGCTAACTCTGCGCGAGTTCTTCCTTGATTACGTCCATTAATGATTGCTTGATGATTGCCTTCTGATCCAAATCCTTCTTTCCTTTTGTTAATCTAAGGTTTCTAGGGGTAATTTTGCACGTTCTTTCCAAAAAACACGGTTCCAAGATGGTTTGAACACGGCATCAATAAGAAAAACACGCCATCAATAAGAAAAACAGCGCTGAAAATATTGTTTTTTCAAATCCTATTTTGCGCACCCCGAAATGTGTCAAAAATTAAAATAATTTTAAAAAGCGAATACACCATCTTATAGAGCTCGTTTTAAGCTTTCAGAATCACTATAACACTTTTAGCCTACAATGGAAAGACTTGGCGTTATAGCTCTTCAAAGATGAAGAAAAATTCGCGGGGTGATAATGACAATAGTTAGACGTATTAGCCTTAGAAATTTATCATCTCTCCCCGCAATTTCTTGTCTAGCGCAATAATTGCTTTTTTGTCGTATTGAAATTCGTATCGTGAAGCTAGTTTATAGTAGTTTGTCATTCCATTCACTTTGTTTTCACTTTGAGCTAAATTTCTTTATTGTCAGTACTATTTTCCCTCTTTTCTATTCTGTATAAATTTTGCTGGTCCACTTTTGCTTTTGCTGAATAAAGTATACACATACTTAATCATACTAGAGCTTTTAGATACTAATTGGTAAAATCTTGGGAAGTTCTGAATTTTGGGAAGCTTTGCTAAGATTAAAGAATAAGATCTCATCTGACAGAAACTTTGACCGATCTTTAAATAGTCGAATACAAAGTCGAATACAAAGTTTTTTGTTTCTAAAACTTTTAATGGCTTATTTAACTTTAATGATGGCTTATTTAGCTTTAATGATGGCTTATTTAACTTTAATAATGGCTTTTTTAACTTTCTATTTAACTAATTAACTATTTAACTTTTGATAATGGCTTACTTAACTTTAGTGATGGCTTATTTAGCTTTAATGATGGCTTATTTAACTTCCATTTAACATAAAAATTTTGTTTCCAAGTGTTTAGGACTTTTTCCGACTCCGAAAACGTTTACCTAATTTTGTTGAGCAAGACAATTTTTCTTTCAATTTCATTTGATCAAAATCGTTTGATTTGATTTCGAAATAGGCAATATTTGCTATAAAATGGATAATATTAAAAATGGATAATATTAATTAAACAAATAAATGGGTAATATTAAATTACTGTTTTACTAAATTCGTTTCCAAATAAATCTTTTCTCCGTAAAGCTCATTCGCATAAGAGTTCGGCGAAAATTTCCATTTCCGGGTTCAGTAGATCAAAATAAGGCCAATTTATGAATAGATGCGTTTTCTTTAGTTCACCCAAGCCATCATATAATTGCGACCTCTTTTCCGAGAAAATTCTGGGTTGGCGCTTTAAAGCGTGGTAAAACTACCGTATCCAATTGGCGCGAAATTTCATTTTATTCTTTTTGCGCTTTTTTTAATATTTCAACGTTTTTTTCAACTAAGAAGTCACAAAAAAACAAAAATAGAAAATGATAAAACCACTTAACTTAACATTAGTTGGCATCAAGTTCGTGGAGCAGATCTAAAAGGAAGCAAGTGCATTTAAAAAACTCTACAAACAAAGCTTCCGCCATAGAAAATGATAAAACCACTTAACTTAACATTAGTTGGCAGCAAGTTCGTGGAACAGATCTAAAAGGAAGCAAGTGCATTTAAAAAACTCTACAAACAAAGCTTCCGCCATAGAAAATGATAAAACCACGTAACTTAACATTAGTTGGCAGCAAGTTCGTGGAACAGATCTAAAAGGAAGCAAGTGGATCTAAAAAACTCTACAAACAAAGCTTCTGCCACAGAAACTGCTGTTAAAAACATAACTTAGCGTTATATATATACTTTATCCGACAAGGAAAAGTGACAATGCAAACAGATTGAACAGCGTAGACGAAGAAAGATAATTGATATACAAACACAACTACAATTAGACCCGTGTATATATGACATTAAAAACTAATTTAAAATTGACAGAGCTACAAGATCGAGCTTATATATTGAGGTTTTAAAATAGTTATCCTCTTTGTTTCCTGCAAAAACAAAGGCGACAACATAAAAAAAATAAAAGAATAAAATAATAACAACGCAAAAAGAATAAAATGAAATGAACAAGAATGAAAAAATGAAAATTTGCGAAAATTAGGAGGGGTACGGTACTTTTGCCACGCTTTAAAGCGCCAACCCAGGATTTCGCAAGATTTCGCAACGCAAAAAATCGCAAGTTATCAATTTGCGAAAAGTTACCAACTTATTAACACTTATCATATTCTTGTATTTCTTAATGTCCACTCGCTGATGGTCCCTTCAACGAACGGTCGTTTCTCACATTGGCCATCGGCCAGCCTCGCCTTCTTTCCCTGTTGTCCGACCCGTTTCTCTCCATCATCCCCTTTCCCTTTCCCGTCTCCGTCTCTTCCCAAAAGACCCCTTTCCCCATTTCTCTCCATTCTTTCCCTTTTTCCATCTATGTCTCCCCATCTCTTCTATTTCCCATTTCATTCCCTCCATCCTAGTCTCTTTCCATCCCTCCCCTCTCCTCAGCCCTTTCCCCAATCCTCTCTTCCTTCTTCCTTTCCATCTCTCCTCCTCTCCTCCTCTCTTTCTTTTCCTTCTCCTCAATGTGTCATCAAAGCTTTCCTCTCCGAATCCTCTCTTTCCCTTCCCCTTTCCACCCCTCATTCTCTTCCTCTCATCACTCTCATCTCTTTGAAATGCTCTTCTCTAGAATCTTCGGCCGATTCCTTTTCCTATTTTTCTCTGAACCTCTCCCATCTTGTCTCTCTTCCCATTACAATCGCTCTCCATCACCGATTTTCTTTCTCTTTTTCGATCAAATTCTCTTCAAAGAGATCTCTTCGGATCTCTCTTCATTTCTTTTGCTTTATATATCTGGGTCAATTTCTTTTCACTCTCTCATCGGCCTCAACACACGTCGTATTTTTAGTCGAGGAGGGAGAGTTGTGTGGAGAATCCGAGAGAAGGGGTTTTTGGGGGGAATCGACCAAGGGAAGGGAGGGGAATGGATGGGAATCGGGTGAAGGAAAGCCAAGATAGTTGTGTTGTTTGGGGGGTGAGCGAGGGACGAAATGTCTCTCTCAATGTGGCTGCCACAACCAGCTCTCAGCCAATACACATCGTTTCGTAATATGCGCAAAAGGTGTGTATATCACTAGAGAAAAGTATAGAATCGTTTTCGTGGCATGGAAAAGTCTAGAATCGTTTTCGAAATTGAAAACGCTCAATGTTTTGTGTCGCTCAACGTTTCCAGCTCAATTTTCGCTATCTCTCCACACCAATCATGCCCAAATTTTACACCAATCGATAGAGAATGTCAAGGAGAATCTATTCTCAAAGTTTCATCCAACAATTCCATCTACAAGTCGTTAAAAATCTTATATTCTATAGAAAATCGTAGGGTTCACGGTAAGGGTTGGCGGTGTTGGAGGGGAGAATCGATGGGAAAAGACGCAGAGAGTGCCGCACTCTGCCCATCTCTTTCTAACCTGCGGATGGAGAGAGAAGAGACAGAGACAGACGAGAGATCTCAGATATGAGAGAAATTTGGAGGTGTCGGGTGGTTAGCGTATTGGATGGGGGCCCTGCCTCGATCCCCTCCATTCCCAGTCGACGACGAGGGGTGGTTGGTTGGGTGCGGCTCCCCATCCTTCCCCCATTCCCCATTCGTGTGTCAGTCAGTGTGTGTGTGTGTCCTTTTCTTTTCCCTCTTTCCCTTTCTTTTCCCTCTTTTCCCAATCCCCTCCACATACAGTGATGAAATCGTTTCCCGCGCTTCCTCCCCTCATCTCCCCATCCCTCCCCCACCCCCCTTCCATTCTCTTCACCACTCCACCTATCGTTCTGCCATTTTCATGTCGTAAAGCAGATGCTATATGAGAAATGAATTTCATAGAGTAAAGCTCATAGAGTAGCTCAAAGTCTCGAGCAAGACCGGATTTCCCTAAAATTTTCCCTAACAAAGGCCGTTTTTCGTTCACCGCGCCGAGCCGAGTTAATGCCTATTTTACGGTTTCCAAGTTCTTCGCAGAAGCTCACCACTCTAATCCCCCACTAGATCTCATCGTCAGCTACATTTTCCGACCCCACATCAATATGTTCTGATAAGCGCTTTTCGAGATTTCGAGCAATTTAGGCGAAGCTTAGGATGGGAAAAGGGAAAATACGGCAGTCAGTAAACAAGGAATCAAAAAACCGGAAACATTGATCAAGATGAGCTCAAAGTTTTGTAGAGTAAGATCAAAAAGAATAAGAACTAGTAAGCATTCCTAAAGTAAGAATTCTCTAAAGTAAGAATTCTCTAAAGTAAGAATTCTCTAAATTTCGAAGACTTTTCAAATGCTTCTGCTAAGATTTTTATTAATAATGATAAGCTATCTTGAGATTTAAAACATAATCAAAAGATTACTTCTAAAAAACCTTGATGTTTGTTTTTCAAAAACCTTCATGTTTGTTCTTCAAAAAACCTTAAAAAACGTTTTTTTTTATTTAAATTAGTTCAAGCTATGCTAAATTGTGAAAAATTTGTCTAAATTTGTCTAAATTTATCTAAATTGGCAAGCTTGTCAAAAATTCTTTGGAAATATCTCAGATTTCATGCCAGTTTTTGTTTTTATGTCGAAATTTCCCTCGTTTGATTACTCAACGTCTATTTTTTTCTATTTTGCTGAGCTCATTGAGTCTATTTTTGGATTTCGACAAAAAAATGGATCCATTTGATCCACGAAATTTGCTCTGGTCATCAAAAACTTCGTTCTTTCAAGTTTTATGCCTATTTTTCTTTCATATACCTATTTTTATCCCTTTATAAACCTATTTTTATCCTTTCATATACCTATTTTGATCTAATTTTGAATACATAAACCGATTTTGATTCAACTTTTAATGGATAAACCTATTTTTGATCTATTTTTGCTTCAAATTTGATCTTTCTCTTTATCTTCTCTTTTCTAAACATCTTTTAATCTTTTCTAAACAATAAATGAAGTTATCGAAGCTTTAGTAGCAATCATATTGAAGTTTTCTTTTGATTTTGGTTCCTTATCTCTCTAAATTTGGTTCGTTATCTGAAATGTAGCTGAAATTGCAAAATGTACCCATTTTTCCATCAAAATTCATGTTTCCCTTCTCTCTCTTCCAATTCAATCAATTCAGAAACTCAAAATTACCCCTCAAAATGAATGAATCATTCAATTCATCGAATTTTTCTCTAAATCGATCATTCTCCTCACCCAATTTTTGTCTATCATCTCATTTTAGAGAGACAGACAGAAAAGGAGAGGAGAAAATGGACGCATGTGAACAACGACGATCACTCATGCACCACAACACATCATTCAACAATAATAACAATACCATCCTAGCTCCACTACCTGAAGAGGTTCGGATGATTGTATTCTATCCATTTCACTTGAAAATCCTTTCTTATGTCAAACTTTTGCGTGTACTTGCTCTCAAAAGAGGAAAACAATCAGAAATGCTCACTCTTTTTGTTCAGATCGTTGTTCAGATCGTTGTTCAGATCATTCAGATCATTCAGATCATTCAGATCATTCAGACCACATTATGTTGATCGTTTCTGCTAGTTTTCCTATCAAAAATAAGTAGTACGCGTTTCTGATAATGAGCGCAAGTACAAATCTTGAATTTGTCACGGTTGTTTTCAAAATAAGCTAGTTAACCGATGGTTGTTTTCAAAATAAGCTAGTTAACCGATGCTTATTTTGAAAGTCTGCCAAATAGCCGACCAAATTCTTACAATACAGCCAAATAAAATTGTAATAGAATATTTTAATCTTTTAAATCTTCAAATAAAGAAGATTGAAGATTGAAAAGATATCATCAAAGCATCAAAATATAATATAAACAATATAAACAAATGAATATTCTAGGTGTTCTCAAAACTGTGCAATATCGCCCTCGAGAAATGTCACGACAAAGAAGAAAGACGACGAGCCGGTTGTGGAGGACAAGCGATGAGAAAAAGGTTGGTAATCTTGATCGATTTTGATAGATTTTGATAGATCAAATCTTATGCAAATGTAGATTCACTTCTTTTTTATCTAATCTTTTTCAGAGTGTTGATCAAAAACTTTGTGGCCGATCTTTTGAGGGCACAAAATGAAAGACGACGAATGGGATCGATCTCGCCAATCTCGTCGGATGAAGATGAATGGGAAGAGAATGGAGATGAGGAAAATGAAGAAATTGATGAAGTTGAGGAATTAGATCAAGAGACACAAGTCGATGATGAGGATATCGATGTGGAAGAGGTGAGAAAGGAAAAGGTTGGGGGAAATCAGGGAATCGCTTCTTTGAGCCATGTTGATCTAATAAGTGGCAAAGTTTTCGAGAAAACAGGAACAACTGCTGACTTGGTAAATAAATGCTGACAACTGCTGACAACTGCTGACGAATATTTGTAGAATTGGAGATTAGAAATCTAGCAAAGCCTAGCAAAGCAAGCAAAGTACACGTTGTGACTTGTTGTGACTTGTTGCCAGTACATTTACCAAATGAATCAGCTTTTGAATCATGAATCAGCTAAACTCTAATTCTAATCAGTTTCAGGAGGAAGAGGAAGAACAAGAAACAACTCCATTACCCCCATTGGCTCCACCACAAGCACGAACTTTTGTCGATTCGGATCCATCACTTTCTTCACTTTTCCCCGACTATCTCGACTCGACTCCTGACTGTATCTCGGGTGAGTTAAAGCATCTATTATATATAAAAATCTACTATATAATCTACTATATAATCTACTATATAATCTCCTGTATGTACCCAATGAATCACCTTTTATTCTAAACTCTAATTCTGTCTGTTTGTACGGGCATTTTCGGGCCATGGTTTGAACATCATTGATGCAATTTTGCATTTGCAAATTCTTTTTTACGCTAAATTTTCAGTGAACACGGGTCTTTCCGATTGCAAATTGGCATCCGAGGATCGTCTCTGGGTGTACGATATGTACGGAAGTGAAAGTGAGACAGCGTATGCACCACATGGAAATATGGAGGCATCGTGGAGTCCCACTGAAGGATGGACTATCACTTATGATGGGTTAGTTTTAAATTGATTCGACTTGCTTTATAAAGTTAGCATTACCATCAAACTTAGCCTTGCCATCAAACTTCTGACTCAAACAACTTTCAGAAGCGATGACTCATCTCCAACTCCATATGAACAACAACTTTACGTTGATCCCGGCTCGATGTGTTTCTCGGATGACGTTCTTTTTCCGTGCTCTCTTCCAAGTGGTGGTGTGAGATCGGATGGACATGATCATATATTTTTGGCTCTTTCCACCAATCATTTGGCCGAGATGAAGACCTATGTGAGTGTCTGTCATTGAAGAAAAAGACAGGAAAGGGCTTGGGGAGACCTGGGAAGCAGCAGCAGATCTGGGAAGCAGCAGCAGATCTGGGAAGCAGCATAAGTACTGTAGACTTCCCGTAGAAGATAGTAAGCGTACTTTAAGCAAACCGCACTCTGTTTCGCAGCTTATCTAGAGCAGTATCTGTCTGTTTTCTATACGGGCATTTCTCGACCGTATTTTGGACCGTATATAAGCTATAAGCTACCGTATATAAGTTATAAGCTATAAGATTATAGCTATAGTTAAAGCTATAAGCTAAATAAAAACTTCTTTAGAAAACCTTAGAATATATTTTACTGCCAAAATAAGGTCGAGAGATGCCAGTGGCATCAAAAAAAGTTAAAAATCCAGAACTGAATGTCACTGAGGGCGTCGAACCCGGCACGTGCGGGCTGGAGAAAAGCACGCTCCTGACTGCGCCAGGGTGACGGCGTGTCTAGTGAGAAAAACCCGCCCTTACCCGTTCACAGCGGGTTTTTCAAAGCGGGCTTTTCAAAGCGGGGTTTTCACAATAGTGAGTTTTTCTGGCCAGAACCTCTGGCTTTCTAGCCAGAACCTTTGTCACTGTGGCGCAGTCGGGAGCGCGCTTGTCTACAACCCACACGACCCGGGTTCGACCAGCTTATAAAGCAGTTTATAAAATGAGAGATGTCAGAGCGTTACTTCTCTAGGTTTTAAGGTACATTAGACTTTTGGGTAATGTAATAGTAGTAGACTATCTTTCTGTAGTGTACTTTTCAGTACATATAGTTTCAGTACATACAGTACATATATACTGGCCCTTTTTCTGACATTTTCTTTTCATTTTGACATTTTGACATTCCCCAGGCCTTTTTAAATCTCTCTGAAAGACACAAAACATAGTGCAAATCTTCAGGCGGGAGACATGACTCTTCCGGAAGATGTCACTTCATCTGGCACTTCGCCTCAACACTCATCAATAAGTATGACTGAATTGTTGGAACCAAGTCAAGAAGAAAATGCATCAATTGGAATGAAAAGATCAGCAGTGAATGATCAAATTGAGTCATCTCCATCAAAAAGACTTAAACTTTAATGAATGAGTGAGTTCAATCTCTCCTCCAAGTCGTGTCTCTTCTCTCAAATTCTCTCTATCAGAAAAACGTTTGTTTTTTTGTAATATCAAGGCTAAATCTGACATTTTGAGTTGTTCAATTTGCAGTAAAGCCCTTTTTTATCTTTCCCGGTTTTTTTATTTGGGGGATTTTGTTCTAGAAGTTTCTTGCTTTTGTTCTAGAAGATTTTGAGTCTAATTTGTTTTCTGGATTCGATTCAAAAGCTAATTCAAGCTAATTCAAAGATTGAATTCAAAATTGGCTTGTATCTTCTCGAAAATTATCGGAAATTATCGAATCTTATCGAAAATTGACGAAAATTCTCGAAACTTCTCCACAAATCTCCCAAATTCCATCATTTGGCCAATTTTTCATGGCCTTTCCCCCAATTTGTATCATCTAGTCATTTTTACAGTAAGCCCCATTTCTGTAATTTGTAATGTAAAGCCTTGCTACAGTATGTTAATGGATTCAGCTGAACAAACTGATATAGAAGTATAGGCTAAAGGCTTCAAGGAAGGCTAAAGGCTTCAAGGAAGGCTAAAGGCTTCAAGGAAGGCTAAAGGCTTCAAGGCTAAAGGCTCCAAAGCTAAAGGCTCCAAAGCGAAAGACTATTAAAACATACTGTAGTCCAGCTTTTCTTTACAACTTTACAGTACCTTTTAAAGGCCCATTAATAATGTTTTAATAGAAAATAGATCCAGAAAAAAGTAAAAAATCAATAAAAAATGATCTCGTTGCCTCAAAAATTGAAGAAAATTGAAGAAAATTGAAGAAAAAAAAGTTTTAAAACTGAACGCCTACGTAAAAATTTTTGAGGCGAATGGAAAACGAGCTTAAATGATCCGTTTTTGTGTGTAGGCGTCATGTTTTTGTTTGGAGTCTCTTTATCTCAATGAAACGGAAGAAAATATCGAAATTTAATGGGTTTTCGGGATTTTGAGGGTATTTTGGATGTTTTGTGTTCATTTGAACATACCAAATTTGACATTTGACATACCAAATTTGGTTTGTCAGCATTTATTTGGTTACAAATTTGGTTTGTCAGTGATTTCCTCAAATTTTCCCAAGAAAACCCCTCAAATTTCGACTTTCTTTCAATGAAAATACCTCTACATGAAGAAATTTCTTCAAAATCGTTTCAAATTTTTGTGCTTTACGGTTAACGGGCCCTCGATCGGGCCCTCGATCATCGTCGGACGAGGAGGGCAAGGGGCGAGGCCAGGGGCGAGTGTTTGACCAACTTGCAGCTCATTTTTAAGCACCTTAAACTTATCAGATCAGAAAGTTTTAATAATATTTAGATAGCTTAAAACGTTAGCTTTCAGAAACTATTTGTTTCATCAAAAGTTATTGATAAAAATCTATCTAAAATCGAACTGCAAAATGGTCAAAAACTCGAGTGTTCAGAGAATCGCTTGAGCGTTTAGAGAATCGCCTGAGCATTCAGAGAATCGCCCGACCGCTCCCGATAACCGTAAAGATCCCAAATCTGAAATCAAAATGCTAATTTTGAAAGATTTGAAGAGTTTCTTTTGAAAAATTTGCGAATTCTTCACGATTTCCCATTTCTTTTGCTTAATTTATTTATTTTCCCATAAAATTGAGATTTCTCTTTCGATTTGGGCTATCTCTGTAAGCAAATTTTTTTTGTTTTACTTATTTTTTCTTTTTTTTGTATGTAAAGTAGCAGTGATTCTCATCTGTATCTCTCTCAAGTCGTGTCGGGTTTCGATTTCGTTTTTTCTTTACGTAAAATCGTTTTCTTGTTTTTTTTTGTATATAAAAGAGAGTAAATATTTTGAAAATTATTGGCTTTTTGAACAAAATTATTGACTTTGATCGCTGATCACGAAACACATGTTTTTAGCCTAGGTTTCTGCAAGGAAAACTAACGAAACGTGAAAACAGCCATTTTTGGCTCTGCCGCCCTTTACTAAAATAGCTGTAAAAACTTTTAGAAAAGAGATATCTCAAAACGGTTTTTACCAATCGATCCGTCTTGAATTCAGCTTTAGGATGAGCTATAAAACATCAAAATTCGACAAATTTAAGGTACTCTCCCAAAAAATCGGAAAGGACTTTTCCATCAACCCAAATAGTAAAGCTCTTTTCTAAGTTTCTAGGTTAGAAACTAAGGTTTTTGGAAAAGATTTTTGGAAATCAACAGCAATCATGTGATCAGACAAATAAACAAAGTGTTGATGAAAAGAAAAAAAGAAAACAGAGAAAAGAGAAAAGAAAAAAAAGAGAAAAAAGGGGAATCGAAAACAGAAAACATTTTATCACTGAGAGACTTTTAAAATGTGATAAAATGGGGACTGTTTTCGAAAGAGTCTGGCTTTAGAGCTGGCTTTAGAGCTGACTTTAGAAAAAGAGAATTTTGAAGAAAAATTAGCATAAATCTATAGATCAAAGATTTCTACGGTTTACCAGAGATCGTATTTTTGTTGGGCGAACTTTGAGCTCATCAGCTGCCAGCTAAACCCGGTAGCTCTCATTTCCGGTGTAGTCATCCAGAATTGTGGATTTCAAATAGAAATCTTCAACGGGTAAACGTTTTTTCACCAATTTCAGATTGCCTCATCAAAAGCTTTCAAACTTTTCAGATTGCCAACACCAATTTCAGATTGCCTCGTGCTCAAGCTTCAAAAGCTCAAGTCAAGAGCGTCAAAAGCTCTAATTATTACCCTCAATTCCTATAATCAGTTCAAAATTGGAGATTGTTACGACCAATTGATGAGTCAGAAAAGAAAAGTTTATGAAAAAGAAAAGAAACAGCTGAATATTTCAGTCTTTTTCTCTTGTGATTGCCTAAAACATCTTGAAAAGGAGGGGAAATTGAGAAAATTGAGAAAATTTGTATACTTTTTGACTAATTGGTTCGTACTTGGTGTTTTTGGATTATTGAAATGAAAAAGATTCGGTATTAAATTGAAAAATGGGGAACTAAAGCAGTTAGTAAATGTCTTTCATTCAAGTTCTCATATTGGTTGTTAAAAAAGTTCGCGGTCACTTGCAGAAAAACAATTTTTATTCGCAAATAATCAAGAAAAACAAGAAAGTTCACTCTTCGAAGTATAGTCCGTCTTCAGCCATCGATGAGCTCTGTGCCTTCAGCCATCGATGAGCTGCATCGATGAGCGATTTCGGATCTGCTCGAAGTACCAAGCCGGCTCCTTTGAATCAAAGAACTCTTGCTTCTTCAGCTTCTTGTCTTCAAGATCAAAATCACCATCATTGAAGCGTTTGAAGCACTCGATCGCAACAGCTTTGCCAACAGTTCCTTCGCCTTCCACCTCACAAATCATTTTATCAGCAAATCTCGCAGAGATAGGCCTTTTTTCCAATGGTCACCGAGCAAAACACGAAGTTCACTTTTATCCATCTAAAGGTGTGGAACGTGTAAAGTAAGTTATAGCAAAATGCTCGAAAGAAAACAGGCTTAGGCTTAGGCTTTCAAATGAGTCAAAAACCACACCAATCCCTTGTCGAAATAATTAGATAATTTGAACTTTTCTGCAAGTGAGCGCGAACTTTTCTAACAACCTACGTTTTGGCTTTTATGTCTTGTCCCTGTAGCCAAACTATGCTTTTCCCTTTCACGACAATGTTGTTATCAATGTCAAAGCTTTTTTGGATTTCAATGATAGCTGTTTGGGCTTAGTGTGCTTACCGTAAATACTGTAATAGTACCCAACCCCCCTCGTACAGTCGCGTAGTTTAGTATTTCATTTTTTTCAAAGCGCCCGTACTCTCAAAAAATGAGTCTTTGGTATCAAAAAATAGCTGAAATTCAGGGCTATTTTTTGATACCCAAGCGCGCATTGTAGCATAAACCAGTGTCGAGCAAAAACTCGTTCAAAGCTAGACTACGCAACACTCGGCACCTTCATTATAGGGGTCGGGTACTATTACAGTATTTACGGTAGTAATTTCTTCAGCATTGACAAGTTTTAGCGCGTAATTTGTTCGATTTGTTGGCACGTGAGAGTGATAAAACTTTGATGATTCATAGATTTCCCCCTGTCATTCATAGATTTCTCCACCCACACCAAAAAAATGTCAAAATTTTGGATTCTTATCATTTTTAAGAAGCAATAACCGGAAATCAGCCTCGTTTCAATAAATTCTTATTTTGTGTCGCAATAAAACGGAGGTTTTATTGCCAGGAGCGTGTTGTCAAGCATTTGTATTCAGGCATATGCCAGAATTTGTATTCAGCATAAAATGCATCGATTAGCTTATAGTTAGCTGAATAATAATTAAAATATTGCAATAATATTAAATTATTCGTGCCATTCTGTTTTAAATTCTCTCATTTTTTCAATCTTGTCTTCATTTTTGGAGATTTCCTGTGTGATTCTCCAGAACCAGAACCAGAAGACTAAATGGTTCGCAAGGAGATGAAGCTTCCGGTCACTCGCCAAACTGTGCACAACGTTGTCAAACGATCTACAATACTCAAATACAAACTCATGAAGCAAGCTGGGGTATGGGGAGCCTTTGGAGACGGTGAACTGGTCGGCTTAGAGTTTATTTCGACCCGGATGACATCGCTTGACTAGCTCCACGACTTACAAAGGACCATAAAGCCGCCCGTATCAATTTCGCTCAAAAGAACCAGAAGACCAAATGGGAGGGAGTTGGTTTACTAGTATTTCTTATATATTTTATGTTTAGATCATTTGGAGTGACGAAAAGAAGTTCAACCTTGATGGTGCTGATGGTTTTCGAGGATATTGGAAGGATTTACGAAAGCCGGGCATGGTCTTCAGCACGAGGAACTTCGGAGGTGGATCCATGTACGGTGTGGGGAGCCTTTCGAGACGGTGAACTGGTCGGCCTAAAGTTTATTTCGACCCGGATGACATCGCTTGACTATCAACAAGTGTTGGACAAACATCTAACCGTCTATCTGAACAACAATCCGGGAAATAACTTAGTTAGCTGAATAATAATTAAAATATTGTAATAATATTAAAATATTGTAATAATATTAAATTATTGTAATAGTATTAAATTATTATAATAATATTAAATGATTCGTGCCATTCTGTTTTAAATTCTCTCATTTTTTCAATCTTGTCTTCATTTTTGGGGATTTCCCGTGTGATTCTCCACATTTTTCTCGTCTCCAAGGTGAGCCGATTATCGCCAATCACGAAAATTTCCCTGACTTCATCAAAAAGAAAAAAGTTTGAATTATAGCACAATGATTCTTTTCATTCTGTTCATTTTTATATAAAGAATCCCTATATCTTCTTTTTAATCCAAATTTGAGGGATTATTTATGGGATATTCATCGAAAAAAATGTTCCAAAGCAATGTTTTATCGATGAAAATGAAATGAAAATGAAAATGAAAATGATAAGGCGGATTAGTGACGAAAAGAATTGGTAACAATGGATACAAATCAAAGAATTGATTCAACAAGAATATTCAATAAAATTGTATTTAACAAAACTTTTCAACGCAAAAGGAAAACTATCTTTTGAGATTTGTTCACGCTTAACAGGATTTAAAAGAAATGGTTTGAATCATCAAGTTTGGTCAATTCCGAAGCAAATATTGAATAATGAAGATTGAAACTGGTAAAGCCTTAAAAGAGAACCAAAAATCCTTAGTGATCATCGTTGTTTTAGATTGCCATTCGCAAAGGGGGCTTTGCCATTGGCAATCTAACTTTGAGCACGAATATCTTGGTGTTGAGCTCTTCAATTGACATATGCTTGATATCATTAGATGCGCCAATTCTTTCTCTGTCGATTGGTATAAAAACTATTGAAATTAAACAGCCCAACGCCAAGAAATTTGAGCTCAAAGTTAGATTGCCAATGACAAATGCCAATCACAAGGGCGGAGCGTGTATCAAATGTCCGATAACTTTTGTTTTTACTTTGGATACCGTAGTCTTTATGGCGATAAAGCTCTGTGATGATAATTTGATAACAAATCTCCACTGCTTAGGCACAGCACAGCTTAGGCTTAAACAATTGTCGCTCAAATCTTCGATCTCAAATCTTTGCAACATCGTCGTCTTTTTCTAGACTTATCCTTAGCTTATCAGTTTGTAAAGAAATATTGTAGAGGAACAGACAGTTAGGAACCGATTAACGTTGGCGTTCGATTCAGAAATCGTTCTATTGCTCCTATTTGAGTGTCCTTCGCAATTCATTGCCTCTGTAAAGAAATATTGTTCGCGTGCTTGGTACTCTTCACTCAAGACACGTTATTTCTTGTTTCGAGATATCTGATCTCACTTGAACTAAAAACACTTTATTCAATAGCCGACTGACTCGGAATCTTTGGGCTCTCACTTGAGCAATTTTCACACAAGATCGACAATTGAATTAAAAGCGACGATAAAAAAACAGAAACAATTTCGTCCTAATTAGGACATAACTTTCACACAATGAGAGGAAAGCAGAAAAAAATTAAAGAAACCAAATGAACAACAGTTGCCATATGCTTCAACATATAGGCTTCAACCCAAGATACTCAGCTAACAAGCTACAAAATAATAAATGATTTATGAATGAATAAATGATAAACAATAAACAATAAATAAATAGAATGAAGGCGCACCGATTTCCTCAATATTTCTCCAATTTTTAGGCTGCCAGAGTTAGGTAACTTTTTAGTGGCTATTCGCCACACAGTTAATACACTCGCAAGATCAGGGTCTGTCGAATTTACTGAAAGTCGCTCCACGGCGAGGCAAAAATGGGCTTTCTTTGAGATTATCAAAATCCAACTCCTCGTGTAACACTGCCTTACTCAAATCGTGTTTCTAAATTGTGGAATGCTTTTAAACTCCGAAACCATGGCATCCTTCTCTCGTTTTAAGAACGCTGTAAATGAAATTGATTTAGCATTGTGGAATGCTTTACCTTTAAACTCCGAAACCATGGCATCCTTCTCTCGTTTTAAGAATGCTGTAAACGAAATTGATTTAGTGCGATTTAGTGATTTATCTCTTGTCTAAGTGCGCTATTCTTGTACCTTATCGTATTCGCATAAAATTTGAGTTTTTTCTTTTTCTGAAAAAATTTTTTATTTTTGTTTTTATAATTTTTATCCTTTCTTTTTTTTCTTTTGCATGCCTACACTTATTCGAGCTCATCTTGAATAAAATAATTATATAAAAAGAGCAACGCTAGCCCGGAAAATGCTTCGCTTGACAAGCCGTGGTCACTGAAGGCAAATTGTTTTCACAGATGAGAAAATTTTCACTGTTGAACGAGTTCACAATCGCTAAAAGGATCGCCAGTCATTTAAGAAGAGTAGTTAAAGGTTTCTAGCATCAAAAATCCTGCAACGGGCTCATTATCCGGTCAGCATTATGGTTTGGTGAGGCGTCTGCGCTACCGGCAAAACGCCTTTGGTTTTCATCGATAGAAACGTTAAAATCAACGCTCAAATCTACTAAAAAAAAGTTTTAACGGATGTCTTAGCTCCTTGGACACAATCACACTTCAATGGAAGCGACTACCTCTTGCAACAAGACTGCTGATGGAGCAAGAACAACTTTGCAACTTTTTCAACAGTTGGCACACTTCAATGGAAGCGACTACCTCTTGCAACAAGACTGCCGATGGAGCAAGAACAACTTTGCAACTATTTCAACAGTTGGCACCAGGATTTTGGAGCAAAGACGTCTAACTCACCCGATTTAAATCCACTTTTTTCTGTGGGGAATCTTGGAGCAAAGACTTAAGGGCAAACAATTCACTAACATTGGTCAATTGAACAGCCTGGAACAGTATTTTCGAACAGTAGCAAGCCTGGAACAGTATTTTCGTCACCGAATGTGCGACGATCATGAAGTACTTCCGAAAGCGACTTCAGAAATGCATTGAATGCAAGAATCTAAGAAATTACTGATCATTGTTAGATTTAAAAACATTAATTAGTCATCTCAAAATGCCAGCATGCCAGAAAGTGTACGTTTCTGATTTGTGGCAATAATCAATGTGAATGTGGCAATAACCTTCCAAGTTTATTTACAACTTTCATCAAATGATCGAAATCTATAACGAAAAAAAGAGATGATCCCCAAAATGATGATCGTAAATAAAAAGCGAATCATGAGAATGACTGGGATTATTGTTGTTAGAAGAAAGGGTATTTAGGCAAATGTTTTTTTTTGGATTTCAAAAGGCAAATCACACATCTCATAGAATGCACTCGTTATAGACCCGTTGGTAAGCAAATTTGTGTTCACAATCAACACAAGAAAGAAATGCAATCAATAAAGAAATCCTAACTTTGTTCACTTTCATCACAAACTAATCTTTACATAAATCGTCGATTCTATTAAGTGTTTTTTCGAAAGTTTTCTTTTCCTCAGGGGGAAGTTTGTCGGAGAGAAAGGAGCCATTTATTCGAAGTTCCATTAAGGCCTGAAATCAGAATTGATTACTTGATAAAGTTTGAGATTGGATAAGATTTAAGTTAAAGCTTTACCTGTAAACATTTTTGTGCTTGTTGTTGTCTTTCCTCGGCCGCTACATCAACTCCAATTCTAGACGAAGGAGCTCGGGCACATTCCTTCATCCGATCACCCACTTGAGCCACTATCTGACAAGAGTTTCGTTTTGTATCTTTTCTTTATGCTTGATGACAAGTTTTATATCCGAACTCGCTGAAATACTATCCCTATAACAGCCGAAAAACCTATCTAATAGCGGGTTTTTCTGGCTGGTTGTTTTCTGGCGCAGTCGGGAGAGCGCTTGTCTACGACCTACATAATCCGGGTTCGACCCCCGCCCCGTAGTGGCATTGCTTTAAATTTTATAACTTTTTATTTTAACTAGTTTAACTATATTATATTTTCGACTAAAATTTTCAGTTCTTTTGACCCAAAGACGGCTGAGAAAAAGCCCGTACAAACGGACGGGCGGACGACCTGCTTTTTTATATATGTTACGACCGCGTTCGAATCCGCATAATAGCTTATTTTGTAAAGCAGGACATGTAGATTCTTAAAGTGAGGCTATATGTGGAAAAAGTTAATTTAATAGAAAAATATGAAATTAGTTCGGATTCGGATGTGCGAATCCGAACTAATTTCATGTTTTTCACTAAAAATTCACTTTTTTCAATAAATTAACTTTTCCCTTTAATTTCTATAGAATCTATAAGTCTTGCTCTATAAAATGACATCAAAATCATCAAAATCAGCCCGCTAGTTTTGGAGATACAGGCACGCAAAGTGGCGCGGTCAAGGGTTTAGTTCGGATTAGGATATAACATATATAGTAAATTCCACCACTAACCTGTGATAAAGCGATTGCAATAATCGATCGATTAAATTGTGAAGTAGTCGGTGATGCTCCACCAGATGACAGTAATCTCAATCTTGGGAGAACTTTTGAAGCCAAAGAAATTGTCCATTGATTGCCTTCAGAAGACAATGCACTGATCAATAAGGCGAGTTCACGTCTAAAAATTATTGTAATCCGAATAGTATAGGTGAATTGTAAGTCAAACTTTTACCGCCACTTTTTGCCGCCACTTTTCCACTTACTTATTCCCATCCAAAAGTTCAAATGCTTGTATGATTCCCCTTCTTCGAATTAAATCCATTAACGAAGTGATATCCCTTTTATTGTCCTCCAATTTTCTCATCGAATCATTATGTGAGGCTGTGATCGCATTGAAAACATCGGATAAGCTCTATAAATAATAAAATGTAGATAATTTTATAAAAAAGTTAAACCTCTGGTTCTTTGCCGTTATTATTTTTACTCTTCACACTGTTCGTTCGTGTGATCTCTTTTGGTGGAATTGATTGTGTTTTTCGATCCGATACAGAAACACTTCGATCATTTCGGGGAATCGTGTTCATTTTCTTCTAAATTTCAAGATAAAGGTAAGGATAAAGGTAAAGATAAAGGTAAAGATAAAGGTAAGGATAAAGGTAAAGATAAAGATAAAGATATTGATTCAAGATTCTATAATTGGATAGTACCGATACAGTATACGATTTAAAGATGAGAACAAACCTCTGTAAGTTTTCCAGTGGATGCGTTTCTTGGTCTCATATCGGGCAGAGGCAAGCTTTTTCTGAAAATCAAGAACTATGAATGGGTCCAATACAACCGCTGAACTATTACAGATCAACAATCAAATCCAATTCCTTATTATAAACTAAAAAAAAATCACTCAATATCTGAACTTCTCGATTTTCTTACTTCTTTAACTGACCACTCTTTCCCTTTCTTTTCCCTCTCCTTTTTACCCATTTCTTCTCTTGATTTTCCCTTTACAAATTCTCCTCAAATGGTTGTCAATAACAACGCGTGTCCTCTACTAAAAATAAAGCCGCAAAAACTTCTGTTTTCGGCTATATAATTCTGTTTTTAGATCCTCAAAAACCTGTCTGAGAAGTTGTAATCTCAGTGGGATTATTTTGAGTCTCAAAAAAAGTAAAAAACCTAATGGGTATTTACAAATTTGTATCAAAAGGGATTTGCTGTAATGGAGAGTTTTTGAATGAGTTGAGGAAAATAGCTCAGGGATTTTCTTTTAAAGTTTTTTATTCCAAAGTTTTTATTCCAAATTTCCTTATTCCAAAAATTCTATCAAAATTTCTTTATTCCATCAAAACTTACTTGATTGAAGCGGATCGATTTCCCGTTTTCGCAATTGGATGGGGATCATCGGGTGTATCGGCTCGTTGACTTGTCGATGACTTTGCCATTTCCATCGAAATCAACGATGATGTTGATCGAGAGGCTGATCTTTTCACCAAAGTTTCCGCCCTTTTTGATGGCATTGGCTTGGTTGACTAAAATTCGTTGGCTTGAAAGATCTAATGAGGATCTAATGAGGATTATCACACACAAAGAAAACCTCTAACCTGTGGTGTATCTTGTAATCGTGAAGTGGAAACCGCTCGATGAACCGCTTCCAACGTTTCATCTTTGAGTCCGATTGGAATTGGCTGGAAATGATTAACTTGAAATGATTAATTAAGGTTTATTCTAAATAAACCTGAAAACCTAAAGAACTTCATCTCTAGCTCTAACTCTACAAACTGATCATAACTCTATCTACCTGATGTTCTTCTTCAGGTGTACATCCTTCACTAATCGGTGTAATCACTCCCTCAATCCCATCGGATCCATCAGAAAGTGGAGAAGATATTGATGACAATTTCCCTTCACCGAAAATCTCATCAAATGGATCGATGTCCTCAACGGCCAACTCGCTGGTTTCCGAAGCGAGAATTTCCTGAAATGATTTGGGATTTCTTGGAATAGAATGTTAATGCAAAACTCTGTTGTTGACTTTGACTTTGATCCAACTATGACTTTTATTGCTTTGACCGAAAACTCTTGTCTGCCTTTTTGAAATTTTCGTTTTGTTTATAAATAAATACTTAGCCGATCAAGCCGTGGTTTTCTTTAAAAAAAAGATTAACTATTTTATTTAGCTCATTTTTAGGTAAATTTGAATCCACTTTGAAGCAAATCTTGTTTTTCCCAAAAAAATCCTTATAATGGACATAAAATCAAAACGGCTTAGTGAAATTTTATGAAAATTTGTCTATCTGCCTAACTTTTTATTCTCTACCTTTTGTCTTTGACATCAAAATAGATTTATAACAAAAGGTGCTCAAATCAGAACTTTGAGTTTGTGTTTTTGACTGTTCGACTTCACGCTTTTAAAAAAATTAACTAACTTCTCAGAATTTCTTAAAGAACAATTTATAAATAAAAAATAAGACTTTCTGATAAAAAACCATAGATCGATTGGTTCATTATTCATTTCAAAAGATAACCCTTAAAAAGCGGACAAGACTATCCGGCTAATCTGATACTCTATGGAAAAATGCTAATCACCTCATATGTCGTATTGAAAAGTCCAATACTTCGATTTGCGAACGCACACAGAATTTCCAATGAATCTGGAGTTGGCAGGACAGATACAACCTGAATGAAAGATTAGAATTGGCTTCTAAATATGATCTTCTATAAATTTACCTTTGCTTCTGGTGGTAGATCAGAACGGGCGACTTCTGTCACGGGTTCCCAAGTGACCAAATGAAGACTCTCATCTGTACAAGCGATCAAAAGATCGCCTAGAAAATAAAATAAACTATTTTTTTTAAATACAGTCCAGAATCCCATCTCCTTAGAGTATTTCCAAATAGTAATGCAGATTAATTTTATACTTTGCTATAAAGAAACAAATGTTATAAACAAACCATTTGGTGCAAAGGAGACTTTCTTTATCTCATCATCGACCTCATCACTCACTCCGATACATTCAAATGTCTCGAGATCCCAGAAACGGACAACTCGATCACCGCCAAATGTTGAGAGAAGGAATTCTCGTGGATGAAATGATACACCGTGCACCTGAAAGGGTTTACATAGTGTGTAATTTTTATGTTTTGAGGTTTACGTCATATTCTTCTTGAATACTCACCGATATTCCTGGAGCATGCTTGACTTTCGCAGCTCTTTGTCGTAGATCGTATATCTCAAGACTCATATCCGTTCCCACAACACAAAAACGATCATCGGGTGATAAAGCCAAAGCGGTAATTGTTGTTTGAGTTCGAATTCTCATGACATTTGGCGGATGAGCGGCCACATTCCATAGAATACATTGACCATCATCACCACCGGTTGCCTGCAATGGAATGAACTATTAGGCTGTAAACGAAATAACCTGGCTTTTAAAAAATGATGGCTGAACCAAATGAGATCTAGTTTGTATCATTCAAAAGATAAATCGAAAGACTTTTGAGTCTTTGAAAAGCTTTTATTTTTGACTTTGAAAAACTTTGAAAAGCTTTTATTTTTGAGCATTTTCGGAATTTTGTTCAAACTAAAATTCAGAAAAAACGGCTGGACGGATTTGGTTGAAAATTTTACTGAAGAAAAGTTGCCAAAATTGCCAACAAAACGAAAACAGAAAAGCGCCGACTTTACAGCATTTTTTGACAAGTAATAATTTTCATTTTTCGCGTGAAATAAAGCTCTTAGTTTTTCACATTTTCAGCAAAATTATCAGCCAAATCCGTCTAGTTGCTTTGAAATGCTTGCAAATCATGTATCAAACGCAAAAACTTACCCATTTGACAAATCTTACGACAAGAATTGCTTTTACTTTTTTACATAAAATAAGGACATAGATTTCGTATATTTTCAGTAAAATTTACAATCAAATCCGTGCAGCCGTTTTTTCGGAATTTTGGTTTGAACAAAAGTCCTCAAATAAAGGATTTTGATCATATGAGGCGCTCTGAATAACTTGAAATTTGTAGAAAACGACTGGATTGATTTTACTAGAAATTTTATGAAAAATTTAACAGGGATTAATTTTTCTTTGGTATAGAAAGTTAGAGTCAGTTGCCATCAAAAAAGCCGCCAACCGTTGATTCTCGCCAATTTTGTCGACTCACCTTTGCGCTCCCAAAAAACCCGAAAAATAAAAGCTTTTCTAAAATGGTAACAACCATTTTGTGGAGGAAATATAGATCTTTTTAATGGTGCAAACCGTACTTCATTTGGCGCATTTAACATTTGTAAACAGTTGTAAACAGTTGCAAACATTTGTAATAATTTTTAGTTTTAAAGTCCGGTTATTTAATTGACAACCTAGTAAATTTGGGGAAACTTGGCTATTTTAACTTCGATTAGTAGTGAAAACTCTCTAAAATGCTCACCCAACAATAGACGTTTTTGTTGAAAGCCGCGATGGTGTTGATATTTCCGACATGACCGGCAAGTGTTCGGATCTCGGTGGCTAAATGATCATAATAAGAAATATGCTCATAGATCGGATGCATTCTCGGATTCAGGAAATCAAATTGAAATCAATTTTTTTTATCATTCCTTACCTGTATCCACATCGATCACCGATACAGCTGATCCACTTGCAACGGCAATCGTTCGCTCATCCGTTGAGAGACACATACATCGAGTTGGTTTCGGAAAAGAGATTCTCTAAAATAATTCTGGATCATTTTGTAAAAGAAGTCTTGTTTTCTTCATTCTATTCTTTACTTTCTTCATTCTATTCTTTACTTCTATTCTTTATTCTTTACTTTCCTAGCAACCCATTCAAATTTCACACCCCATTTGCAAATGTTTCTCGGAGGAATCCCTCCTTTGTCTGAAATGAGATAGGGATATCTAAGGGTGAGCATCGGCTTCCAAAGTGGAAATGGTAGAGAAGGAAGAAGAATAGATTGGGATCAATCATTCCACGCAAACACTCACTCACATACACCACTTTCTCTTCTTTTATCGAAATGGGGGAACACCCTGTCTCTTCCCCAATTTTCCCTTTCTATTCACAAAGCTTTTCCCATCCAATCTCCCCAGAGACCCTCTCATTCACATTGTGAATTCAATGCTTTGAGGCACAATGTTGCTTTTCTCTTTAGTTTCGTGCTCAAGGAAAAAGTAATGATTTTGGCTGACTATAGCTGTTTAAGCTAAGGAATGAGAACAAGAATCTGCTAGATTTATTTGAAACAGCAAAACAGCAGTTATTTGAAATAAAACAGCAGTTTTGAATGATAATTTCAATTTGAAAACCCTTTGAAAAACTGAAAGCCCAACCCACCGGTACAATCGCTCCCTCAACGAGTGCCCATGCCTGAAGGGGATTTGCCGTGAAAAGAACATTCCTTCGTTGGCTGATACAAGCAACAGAGACAATGTTGAACAAATCGTTTGCTTCAACTAAATACAAAATAACAATAATACATAATTCGTTTCATTTAAACTCACATTTCTGCCGCAACATTTCTCGGTTTCATCCACCCGATTCGGTACCCGTCTTGATGACCGATTTCTGCAAATTTTACTTGATACAAGGCGAGTTAAAGTCAAGATAAAGAAATAAGTCCAATAAGAAAAAAAACTGAAACGGCAAAGTGTCCTTGGGTAATTTAATGTCTGCAAAATTTACATTCAACATAAAAAAAATAAGAGATTGAAGCAATTGAGATGGGACTGGGTAAAAAGGGTATTACGGGTTCCAAAAATCCAAATTCTGGGTCGAAATCTTACTCAAACTGCTAAATCCTTTTAAACCAAAAACACGAATTCTAAATGATTTGCCAAAACGAGAGGAATAACAAGACGATTCGCGGCTGGGTTGAATTGACTGGTGTTTATAGAAAAGATAGAAAAAACCAGTTTTTGCGCTTTTTTAAAACTTTCCTGCTTGAAATGGACCTGTTTTTGGTCCATTTCAAGTCCGATTCGATAAGTCAAACCTAGAAAAAACAAGAAATAAATGGCCCTTACGGTTTTTTTCTTTTTGGCCCGCAAAAGCTTTTCGAATCGCCGTGGCTAATCAGTTCCTGGCAAAGTACTTCTTCGAAAGATGTAAGCAAACTCCTACCATATTTCCAAAGAAAAGTTGGTGCTATACTAGTTTCGGGTCGCAAATGGGCGTATCCAAGGAAATTTGCATTTAACGCGCAATTTTTTTCATTTAGTTTTTCGAATGAAAATATTTCCAAATCAAAAACAAAATTATTTTTATGATTTGAAAGTGATGTTTAGTTGATTTCTGTTTTTTTTTCTTAACCCTGCCTATTAATGGGTCTTTTATTTTAGAATGGCGGCAAAGCTGCTGCTGCTAGGCTAGGTTTGCGTGCGTTCAATCTTTTGACGGAGTGGCTTAAGTTAGCAATAACGACTGATGATGATTTTGACGTTTACTAGGCTTTTTGTTGTTATTTTTTGATCAATGTTACCCATTTTTTGCAATTTTTCACAGCTAAAACCATTTTCATTCGATTCAGCGTGTTTGAAAACCTAGAAAATATAAAAGTTGCGTGTTAAATGGAAATTTCCTTGGTCAAGTCCCCAACTAGTAAAGCACCGGTAAAGTAAAGCAAAGTAAAGCAAAGTAAAGCAAAGTAAAGCAAAGTAAAGCAAAGCAAAGTAAAGCAAAGTAAAGTTAAGCACAAGTTTTTGTCTAAAAACTGATTAATAGAACAAAAAGATCTTTGGTTTTTAATAACTTTATCGGTGATATGAAAGACACCGTTCCGAAGACCAACAAAGTGAAAAGACCGGGAAAAGTACAGAAACTCTAAAACTGTAACAATTTTAAAAGAAACAAGGAAGCAGGGGTGGAAACAACAAAAGGAGGAGGGAAATTTTAACAATAAACAGAATTTTCTAAGAGGATCGAAAAAGGGATACACGCGCAAAAGACACGGCGGAGCGCCGGACCGGAAAACGACTCTTTAAAGAATTGATTCTGAAGGGATGGAGAAAGGGAGACGGTCTCGTCCGTCTTTCGTCCGACTTACGTCTCGAGTACGGTAGCTTAGGTGTATTTTTGAATTTATGGCTGGAAAGTTGCCAACGAACTGCGGGAATTGAAGTTCTACTGGCTAAATTCAAAGGGGAGAAATTGTCAGACCATTATGAGGCATGGGATTGGGAGAAAGGGCATGAAGGGACACCCTTTCTACCCCTTTCCCTTTATGTCTAGGAGGGACTCCTCTGTATATGCCACCCCCATCCCCATCACGGGAGAGCATAATTCGTCCAGTTGGTGGGCAAGAGAGCAGCTGGATTGGTGTGTGTTGAAGAGAGAAAAGAAAAGAAAACCCCATTTCCACCCATAAATACCCCCGTCCTTCAGTTAAAAGCTTTTCAATTCATCCTTTCACTTCTCACCATTTATGAATCATTGCAAACTTTTAAAGGTAGCAATTGGTGTGGAATGGGAGTTGAGGATTCGACGGAGTTCCTTAAGAATTCGACAGGAAGCAGTAAACTAACATTGCAGATCGATTTAGAAGTAGTTTGCTCTGACTTCTTTTTCAAGGACTTTGAAAAATAAGCTCAAGCAAAAACCTTAAAAAAACCGACTCTTCTGGTAAGTGGCGGGTCTTATGAGGGAAAAAGAGGATGAATGTGAAAGACAAGAAGGGAAAGGGTTGTCATTGAAGGAGAAAGAAGGAGAAGAAGATTAGAATGGAATGGAATGAACGGGAAATGGAAGAGGAAGAATCGATGTCAAAGAAGAAGAGAAAGAAGAAGAAGAAGAAGAAGAAGAAAAAGAAAGGTAAAACAAGAGAATCCGATTCACCGAAACATAATTCTAGAGTTTCTAGAGTTGATTCTAAAGTTGGTTAGTCATGGAAACGGTTTGCCACAAAAAAACATTCTCTTGATTTCATTGGATTTATAAAAAAAAACAAGAATATACCATAATAAATTCAAATTTATAAAGCAGAGCAGAATGCATAAAATATCGAGAGTAAGAATCGATGTCAGTGAGAAAAGGAGATGTCTGAAGAGAAAAAGGAAAGAGAAGGCCCAAACAAGCCACAATTGGATTTCACAACGCTGTTCTCTCTTTTCCTTACTCACATCTGATCAAAAAATTTCCGCAAAAAGAAGAACTTCATGCATTTTTAACTTTTCAAAGGAGAAACGTGGATAGTTCTCTGTGGAAAAGTGGAAAAGTGGATAGTTTTCTGATGTTTTGGTGCCCCACAATTATGGTCCTATTGTTAAGTGTTAATTTTTGCGCGACGTCGCACTCCAATTGACGTCACCGCCATTTGGAGGTAGTCAATGGGAGCGCCGCGTCGTCGTTTTTAATCATTTCTTTATTTTGCAAAATCATAAAACCACCACGTTTCTTTTTCATTTTATACCCGTAATAACCATTTTTTTGCTTGTTCTATTTCTTTAATTTTTATTTTTTAGGAAGATGGGGCGTGGAAAATCGCTTTCGCGGATCGAACAGATGAAAATTGTGATTTTGAAAGGAAGAAAGTTGTCGAATCGGGAGATCGCAAAGAAAATGAAGCGCTCGCACCAAGTTGTCGCAAATTTCTTGAAGAATCCTTTCAATTATGGCAGGAAGAAGTCTCCGCTGTTGATACACAAGATTGAATCTCCAACAGCAACAACAACTTCCCAGATTGCATCACCGTGGACATCAGTCAACAACGCCCAGGCGAATGGCCATCAAACTCTCCCGATCTCAATCCCTTAGATTACTCAATCTGGTCGATTCTTGAAAGCAAGGCATGTGGCAACTTCAATATGAGAACTTTAGCAATGGATTAAGCTAAAAAATGTGAGCAGAAGTTAAAAAAATCTCTCTCAAGCAGATGTCGCTTGAATTTACTTCATTACTCAACGAAAAGAAAAATGGCGCTTGAAAGAGTTCTCTTAATCCTGAGAAAAGGAAAAGATTCACATTTAAGATGTGGGAAAATAGGGAAAATGGGGTATTTCGTGAAAGAAATGGATGGAACTGAGTAAAAGACTTAGATAAGGTTTAGATTTAATGGAATGAAATGAAGATTTGAAATATAGGTAAGAAGTATTTCTTTTTTGTTTTCAAAGCAAAATTTTAAGGAGATGGAATGGTTGAGAGGCCGGGGAAGGGGGTCAACTATCAGATTACCCTTTTCAAAAGAAAAATGGATCGCCAATCCTCTTCTCCATCAGCACAACCACTCACGAGCTGTCCCTTCATGTTTTTCATTGAATAAATGGGGAAATACTTCATGTTACACTGAGAAATGAAGTAATGGAGTAGAAATTGAGGATGGAACACTTCTTGTAGCATTAAACGGTTTGCATCTTGTAGTATTAAACAAGCATGCTATACTATGAGAAATAGAGTACTTCATGCAGCACTAAACGGTTTGAAAGCTCTTTCAGAAGAATGATCTTTCAAAAGAACTATAAATTTGAGAGCTCACAAAAAAGAAATAAAACCAAGTTCTTTGATGAGATCATAAAATCTTTTAAAACCTTTAAAAACCTTTTCATTTGTCCATTTTTCCAATCAGACTTCAACGTTAAAAACCAAAATGATTTTTCTTTAGATTTTTAAAGCTTTTCAAAAGAAGCACTTCGAAAAGAAGTACTTCGAAAAGAAGAACTTCAAAAAAAGAACTGTTATCAAGCTTTGATTTTCCACTATCAATTTTCGAAAAAAGCAAGTGAATAGCGAAAATGAGTCAACAAATAAAACCTACGCTTCGCAATTTTTTTGAAGCGCTCAAAAATTGAATTGGATTGAATTGGATTGAATTGGATTGAATTGAAATGAATCTCAGTGGAAATCGATGAGATTTTAAAGTGATTGACAGCAAAATATGGCATTTGCTGAATTTTGAAAAGGGAGAGATAAAAGCAGCGTTTAGAATAGAAAAAAAACATGCACAGAGTTTTAAGTAGGAAGCGACGAATAGTAAAATAGCTTTAAAAGTGTCGTAGTCACGATAAAAGTACAATCGTAAAAGTGTCGCAATCTTTTTGATTGACCAAATCAATATCAGATGATTCTTTGGTAAAAACATTGTGAAATGGGGAAATTTGGGGAGATTCCTGGGGAGATAGGGAGGGGAAATCATCCTGAAAGAGAAAGGAGTCCCTGGAGACACGACGAAGCCTCAAACACATCCAAACTTCTACTACGAACGACTAGGAAAAGAAAACTGTAGGAATTCTAGAATAGAAATAAAATCGAGATGTAAAACGGACGAAATTGGCTTGGAAATGGGGAAATTGGCTCCAATTCTTGATGAGAAATAAGGCAACTGAAAACTGAAGGCAACTGAAGATCAGAGATTGATATGTTACTCACAATATGTCAACTGAATGGCCAAATAATATGATACATAGGCCATTCAACGCAGAATTTCACGCTGGCTCCGAATCTGCTTTCCCTTTTTCATATGGAGCACTCTGTCAAAAGTTATAAGACTGCAAAGTTTTGCATGAGATTTCAAGAGTCAGATTTCCCTAGATTTCCCTAGATTTATAAGCAGTTTATGAGCAATTTATAAACAGATTATAAACAGATTATAAGCAGATTTCTTTCGCCTTTGCAGGGGTGGCCAAGTGGCAGTGGGTTAGAATACAAGGCAAAGCTCGAGTTCGAGTCTCTACTCGAGTTCAGCTCGACTTTTTTCTTCTGTTTTTTTGGATTTGCAAAGTTAATAGTTTTCCGCTTCAAATACAAGTTAAGTTACAAGTTATTAGTTACGTTTCAAATACAAGTCATCTAGTTATCAAGTTACAAGCTATTAGTTACGTTTCAAATCAACTACTTCTCATAAAAAATGTTTTACTTTTAACTAAGCACACTAAGCCCAAACAGCTATCATTGAAATCCAGCACACTAAGCCCAAACAGCTATGGTCGCGTCCGTTTCCTTCCTATTTGCGTTGCTATTTTGCAATTATTCGCGTCGCATTTTTCGTCCTTTTCTCGCTTCCCAAAATTGTTTTTTTTTGGTCTGCGGGCTTTTGCCTTCCCTCTTGGGGGACTTTTGTTGTTTCATTTTTGATGCGCATGCGGTTTTTGTAATGGTTATTGTTGCATTTCGGTTGTGTACTAATAAACAGTAACATTATAAATTCACTTTGCTTTATGCTATCCTTCAGGTTTTAACTGCTAACTGCTTTTAACTTTAACCTGCTTAGATAACTGGTTTTGCTAACATTTGTGTCACCATCGACGTAGTATCAATCCGATCCGTACTCTTCTCAAGAGTATTAGTTTATTGTTGGATACTACGTGTTCTTGTTACGTTGTAACGGATTTAAAGGGGTGCGCTTTTAGGGAAACCCTTTTTAACCTTTCGTGCTATTCGGCCATTCTTAAGCAGAATCATCCTCGTGGATAAGGTTAAAGCGGGTTCGCACCCCAAACTCTATCATTGAAATCCAAAAAAGCTTTGACATTGATAACAACATCGTCGTGAAAGGGAAAAAGCATAGTTTGGCTACAGTTACGACAGGGACTAGACATAAAAGCCAAAAACGTATTCTCACAAGGCAAAAGAATCGTTTATAGTATCGAATGATACTTGTCATTAATCAATCAATCAATTAAATGTTTTTTATTATCAATTAATTAAATGTTTTTGATTATCAATCAATTAAATGTTAACATTACTCAGCCTTTTGATTGATTAAGACTTTGCAAAGATTAGACGAAGAAATGTTTCCACAACTCTTTTCAGGGCTCAAATCGAGGAAGGGTAAATATAGGGGTGTTTGTTCATGTAATGCAACCCGGCAAGGGAAATCGGAAACATTTAGAAAAAGAAACGAGTTGTGAAAGTGAAAGGAAGCACTGGTGAGATAAAAACTTCTAGAACTTCTAGAACTACGTACAAAATACGTAGAACTTCTAGAAGTTCTACGTATTTTGTACTACTTTCTGTCAACCAAAAAGAAAAACCAACGCAAAGAATCTGGAAAAACAAATCTTACATCTTTTAATGTTCTAGAATTGCTAGAACTAGAATACTAGCATTTAAGCTTACAGTTAGCTTAGCTTACAAGCTTACAGTTAGATTAGCTTACAAGCTTACAGTTAGCTTAGCTTACAAGCTTACAGTTAGATTAGCTTACAAGCTTACAAATCTTAAAGCCTCAAAATTTCTTTCAACAAAAGTTTAGAAATAAAGTAACAAGACATAATAGACAAAAGACATAAGACAAACGAGAAAGAGACAATAAAGTAACCAAGTTTCAACTTAAACGACTTGAAAAAGAAGTGTGGACATTATGTATAGTCAGAAAAAAGTGGACGGGATGGAAGTGTAGGCAATGGAATAGAAAAGAGAAAGGAAATGGGGGAAGGGAACAAAAAATGTCGTGTATACATGGGAATCGATGGGGAGACTCTTTACTCTTTCCAGAAATGGGAATAGTGAATAGATGAGGGGAGAAGAGGGAAAAAGATGCGGAGATGGGAAAGATCACAGAGATCAGAGAAGGGAAGTGCAATGTAGAAAGAGATGGATAGGGCAAGAAGAAGGGGCCAATGTACCTGCTTGGAAATAAAAACACTTCGTTTCTGGTGCAGAAGAGATCCTCTATCTCTTACAGTATATACTAAAATAGAAGTGCAGTCGACTCTCTCTATAACGGAAAGCTCTATATAACGGAAAGCTTTATAACGGAACTCTCTATGACGGAAAGCTCGATAACGGAAAGCTTTATAACGGAACTCTCTATGACGGAAAGCTCTATATAACGGAAAGCTCTCGCTCAAAATGAAACATTTACAGCCGAACATTGATGATAAAAAGTGAAATAATTTCTGTCCTTTTTGCATGCTTTTTTTCTGGAAGTTGTGACTGTTTTGTTTGTTATGTCACTTTTTATCATCAATGTTGAGCTGTAAACGTTTCATTTTGTTTATAAACCTCATTGTAAAAAAATTTAGCCTGTTGCCTCGTGAAATATTAAAATAAAACAAATTTAAGTGTTGAAATATCAAAATAAAAAGAAAAACAAAGGATGGCATTGAAACCAAGCAAAAGATGAAGAAATCGTTTCGTATCCCTTTGGCCACTGGCGCAGTGGCTAGTGCAGTGGCCACTGGCGCAGTGCCCAGTCCATATTTTGCCCAGTCTTATGACGGTCAGGGAAATTTGATAACTCTAGGCTTATAACTGTTGATAGAGACCCGTTTTGCAAAGACGGAAAGCAGTTTCATGAGCAAAGGAGCAGGAATTGGAATGAAATTCTGCATCAAATCGCCTGTTCGCCATTCTGCATCAAATGCCTTTCGATCCAAAAGCTCACCTTAAGTTTGTGCACTTCCCTTGTTAGTACTCAATTTAATATTTAGCCCATGAACAATTTGTATAGCCAAGTTTATTAGAGCTAAAAGAAAAATGCAAAAATCGCGAGAGTAGAATGTGTATGGAAATGGATGGGGAATGGACAGGTGAGCAATTCTTCTCGCACTCCCATTCACCCCTTTCGTCTCTCTTTCCTCTTCCACTCTCTTTGCAAGGCCATTTCCCCGCTCATCCTTTTTATTTCATATTCTCCTTCAGAACAAAAGGATTTATGAGAGAAAATGAAGAGACTAGACACTGTAAAAGAATATTCCGATCGCTCGATTCGCTAAAAACGTTCCATACTTGCTGATTGCTGGAACGATTGTTGAAGTTGTTGAAGTTGTTGAAGTTGTTGAAGAAATTGTTGTCAGTAGTCATTAAAAGCTGTCAGATTGATCCAATAGTTGATCCAATAGTTGATCCAATTGTTGATCCAATAGTTGACCGAATTGTTGATCCAATTGTTGATCCAACTTGTCTTCTTCTTAAGCTTCTTTTGTTTCTTTCACAAATATACTTCAAATTTTATCTGTTATCTGTTAGTTTATCAATTTTATCGCAAACATCAAAAATAACTTTTCAAAAAAACGAACTGAAATCATTCTTCGAATCCTCGAATCATTTTTAATAAACAAAAATATTCGAATAGCAGAAAAATAGCATAAAAAGAAAGAAAAGAATTCGGTCACGGGCATCCGAAGAAGTCAAGGCAATTTTTGCACATTTTGAAAGCTAAAACAACACAGAAACTTGAAGATTTAGGAATTGACTGAGCAATGAGAGTAAAGCTGAAGTTTCAAAGTTTGAAATGGCTTATTTTGATCTCATTGATCTAGTAGATGGAAAAACGCGTCCAATTTCAGACGCTTTATCTACTCAAGGATACCATTTGTTTAGAATCACTTCCACTTTTGGCTAAAACTGGAAGTGATTTAGAGAAATCTAGAGAAATCCCATCTACTCTTTAGAAAAGTAGAAAATTTCTCAGGCACTAATATACGAAAAAGTGATCATCTATACAAGAAAAAGCTTTAATACTTTAAGAAAATAAAGAAGATATTGAAGAAAATGAGAGAATGAGATGAAAGTTCAATGAGAGAAAAATATTGTGCACATACACTGGGGTTTACAGTTTAAAAATAATACAGAAAGATTTCATTTAAAGAGTCGAGCAATTCATTTGAGTACCGGCATCTAAGAGAGCGAAAGGGAGAATGGGATAGGACATTTGCGGGGAATTGAATGGGATTGGAGAAATCGTTTGATATTGATGAGATAGAATCAAGCCTGAAATTGATATTGTAAGCACTTTTTAGGTTGTTGTTGTTGTTGTTGTAAGCAACTTGTTACTGTTGTATGCATCTACTAAAGTACGCTCGCCGTTCAAACTGTTCAATTACCCAGCTTCTTTCAAGTTAACGATCAAGATCGATATGGGAAGATAGGATTGCGATTTCCAAGTTATCTTTAACTTTCTCTCAACTCTTAAACCATAATTTTCCCCTCAAAACCCACAATGATGTGATCGTGAACCTGTCCCGGCAGGGCACTATCTGAGATCGATGTGGGAAGATCGGATTGCGATTGGACGACACCAGTAGCTCCCAAATTGCTTCCCGATCCCTCTCGTCGGAGAATCTGCAGATTACATCAAATTTTACAACTCTATTTTCATTACCTGATTAATTCTCGAGCTTCCCGACATAGCGGCCACTTTTTCCAGGGCACTCATTCCCCCAGTTTGTGTGTTATTCACTGTCTGCACAGGACTGTCGCCTCCTCCACTTTCTCCTCCTTGTCCGCCTCTAGTTCTACTCATGATCGCTGCCAAACGGGCTTTCCTCGCTTCTCGTTCTTTCTCTTCCTAAACTTTTACAGTTTACAAGTGATCTTATGTCCAGATACTGATACTGCCAGTACGCACCAGTACTATGTACAATACGTCAGTACGTACCAGTAATATGTACAGTACGTCAGTATGCAGCAGTACTATGTACAGCATGTCAGTACGTACGTCTAGGAGCCACTCAGCTTAACATTTCAGTATCTTCAAACACGAACCTGTTCCAATTTTGCCAACAACTCGGCTTTTCTCTCTTCGGGTGTTGGTGGTCGAAGAGCCGATTGTGGTGGAGGTGATGAAGTGGATGAAGTAGATGGAGGAATTGATGGATTCAATGACACTTCAGCCACTTCTTCATCTCCACTTGTACTCGTATCCGTATGTTCCGAGTTTCCATTCTCTTTTTGGTGTATTTCCACTTCCATTGGTGATTCTTTGCTGGCTTCAATTGTCTGACTCATTTCAGAAATGAGAAGTGGTTCTTCTTTATGTTCAACTTCTTTCACTGGTTCATCTCCGAGATTCAATAGCATTTCAGGTTCGTGATGAGATACCTAAATAGCTTTTGAAGTTATTTATGTTTGCTGTTTTGTTTGTTTGTTATTTGTTTGTTAGTTGATTACCTGTTGATGCTCTGGTTCTTCTTGAACATCAAATGGTGGATGAATCTCATGGTGATGCACGGGTTCATCTGCTGTGTTCACATCGGAAAGGAGTAACTCAGATAGTTCATCATTCAATGATCTCTCCTTCTAAAACGTTAAAGTAATCGGAAACTTCTAAATCGTTAAAGTATTAGACTTCTATCTGGATTCAAAGTCTTCCGTACCGAAGGTGATTGAGCAATAGGCTCATCTGGAACATCGTGAACCATTTGAACATCAGGAACATCTTCGAGTTTCTCCAAGTCTTGATGAAGCTCATTTTTCAAATCCTGTAACTGATTCAATAGTTGTAACTGATTCATTTAATTTCCAAATTTGTTACCTGTTCTTGCAAATCTTTATTCTGTAGCTCAATTGGTTCTTCTGGATGTTCAATGACTGGTTTAGCTTCGACTGCTTCGACCTCAGCTGCTTCAACTTCAACTGATTGATTTTTCTCCTCAACATCCAAAATCTCTTTCTTTTCTTCAATCTTTGGTGGTTCTTCCCATCTTTTTGTGATAATCAAAGGCTCATCCGGAGCCTAAATTTTTTCATTTAAAACTCGTTTGCATTTTATTACTTTTTGTGTCACTGGCGTTTCAGCAGATTTCTTGGTTTGTTGTCTTGGTGTTGGAGCCGGGGGCAAGTTCTTTCGCTGGCTGGGGACTAAATTGTCAAAGTTACAATAGGATTTGTGCTATAGTTTATAGATAATTTATAGATAAGTTCTATATTTAAGCAGCTGCGATAATCCAAATCAACAATCACCTGGTGTATTCTTCGGTTTTGGAGTCGACGTCATCACGGGTTTCGGGGTTGATTTGATTGAGGCTGGAGAATACATTGATTGAGTCATCAAATTCTGTTTGATGACTTTTGGTGGAGAGGTTCGAGCGTTGGAAGTTCTCTAGAAAAAAATACTTTCGTACTTCTACGTAGATAAAGATTAAATTAGCAAATTGTTTAGCTTAATCTTAAAGTTCAGTATGTTTTTGTTCAGTTTTTTTAGTAGATTAGATCCCCGAGTTCAACCCTAATATGTTAAGTGTTATCTAAAATATTGAAGCCCTTAATCTTGGCTACATTTATCTATTAAAAGTTTCCTGATTGGAGATATATAACTCATTTTTACAAGCCTTTGAATGAGTACTAGTTGATCTCCCTCCGGCATTTTTGGCGATTTTCTTCATAAAAAATTCTTCGATCAGAAAGAGTTTCTTTCCAAATTTGTGGCATTTTATCTAAAAATTATTTCCAACAAATTTACAATTAATATAACAAGGAGAATCTATGAGCTGAAAATCGAAGAATAATCAATTTCACTTTTTTCCTTGTTTCACTAAAGGAATTTGACTTCAACTCAAAATTCAGTAAAACACTTGAGCCAAAAACAGTTCTTAACGTTATTAAATGATGTTAAATCATTTAATAACATAAAATAAATATCAAAAAACTTTGTCTGCCAATTTATAGAATGAAAATCGTCAAAAATGACAAAAATGGCAGGATCAACTAGTACTCATTCAAGAGCTTGCAAAATGAGTTGTATATCTCCAATCGGGAAACTTAATAGATAAATGTAGCCAAGATTAAGGGCTTCAATATATAACACTTAACACATTGGGGTTGAGCTTGGGAGCTGATCTACCAAAAAGAAGTCACCGTAAATACTGAACACTCTGTATATGTTACTTCCGATCTAGACTGATTCTAGATCGAACGTAATATATATATAAGCTTTTTTCTAGCAAATTCAAACCGGTGTCCTTGTTGGTGTCCCTGAAGGCACATACATACTGGCTGTCATCGGTGATGGACTTGGTCTTTTTGCCGGTTTTGCAACTGGAGGTGGGGAAGCCTGAAGTAGATTCAATATAATATTACAATATTTTCTCATTATCATACCTTCGGTGATGGAGGAGCTGGTCCAAGCGTTGGCACGAGTTTCTTGTCATACTGTCGTTGCTCCTTTGGTACACTCTGAATTTTGCTTTCAGTTCAACGATACGCATTTTTAGCCATAGTAAACCAGCTATTGGATCCAATCAAGAACCAGTTGAAATTACCCTCAATTTCCGCTCACCAACCTGTAGATATGAGATATCTCTTGGTGTGCTGCTTCCGAAGGCGAATGTTTGTTTTTTGTTCTGCGCTGTGCGCGATGAGGCTGCGTGTGCTTTTGCCAGAATTGCCTAAAGAAAATATTTGATGAATAAATCGATGAATTGATGAATTGATGAATTGATTCATCGATTGTGTCGTAAATTGAAGCTAATATGAAGCCAAAACATTTACCGATTGCTTTATGATATCTAAATCAGTTCTAAATCAATTTTCAAAGTGAAGATGAGATTCAAAGATTTTCAAAGCGGCTGTAGTCTTGTATTTCGACAGCAAATTAGTCAATAATTGATCTTTTCGAGATGGTATTTTGGGAAGAGAGAGGAAAACAATGGTAGCTCAAAAGTGTCCACACTGAAAGATACATACAGAAGGGGAAATGGAAAGGGAATGGGGTAAAAAGGACACGGGAGGAAAAGACTGTGATGAAAAAGAGACAAGCTGAAGAAGAGACAAGTTGCGCAAATACGAGAAGAGACACCTCTCCCCATGACTTCTTCTACTGGATTCCCAGCGGTCAGCTTTAAAACAACAAATAACATTAGTCTATGGGGTGGGACATTGAATCTAATTTTCTGATTTCAAATCTAACAAATATAATCACAAAAGTTATCGCTTAGTGACTTAATCTCAGTTACTATCATCATTCCGGGTAACCCTGGATTTCCATTTAATAGTTTCAAAAGTCTTATCCTTAACCGATAGCTGAAAGTCTACTTACCTCTTTTTTGTTATTCATTGCATCAAGGTAAACTTGGCGTCGATCGAGCGCTTCCTTCTGACGCCGTAGCTCTTTTTCGTGTTGTTGTCGGAATCTAAAATCGCTTTGCACTTTTGAAAATCACGAACTTTTAGAATAAAATTTTCGACTTGATAATTGCCTTAGCGAATAGTTCTTTCGACTTTATTTTCTCATTTAGTTTTTCCCCACCCCACCAACCAACCTATCCTTTCTTTCTCGATCTCTATCAGCTTGGATCTTTCGGAGTTTTTCGTTTTGTTCGGCTATCAGAGCAGCTTTTCGGGCGGCCACAATCTTTTCGGCTTCTGCTTTTCGTCTCAAAACCTGTAAGTTAAGTAAATATAAAAATGGAGATTAGAAAGTAAAGGTATTATTGTTTGAAATTTTCAACCTGTCTTTTTCTCACCTCATCTATGTGATTTTTCTTCTCAGTATTCTGTCCAGCCGATCGTCCATTTTGCATTCCCGATCTTGCTGATCCGATCGTCGAATTCGACGAGGTGGCACCGGGTGGAAATGTGCTCATTTTACCCGATGAGAATCTAGATTTTGTTTGTTTTGGCAAACGAAATAAAGAAACGAACAACGAATCCTGTCAAGTCTCGCTTACTAATTAGTCTCTATGCAGGATTTTCCAATAAAATAGGTGGAAATAAATTAGAAAATTGGGTTCCCATAAAAGCAAACTGGCCAATCTCGGTTAGAGCAATAGCAAAAATGAAGAAATGGATGGATAGAGAGGGCTTTTTGGAATCGATCGTGAGTGAGGAAGCTGAAGAGGGAAAGAACAAAAAAAGGAAAAGAAAGGGATTGGCAGAAAGAAGAGAAAACCTCGTGGGGACCCCAAATATGAGTGGAATAATGGCGGATCGACAAAAAAGGAAATGTAAAGAGAAAGAGAGAAAAAGATCTCGGAAAGACAAACAGCTCCTGCGTGTCGTGAAAAGACAAATGAATGCGAAACGAGCGATGGAGAAATGTTGAAGAAGGAGTAGAATGTAGAAGAGGTCAACCCTAAAATCCACGAAAACCTTTGAAAAGAGACTCCGGAATGCTATCAATTTCAGAAAATAGCCACCCCTAGAGCCCCTATTGCGAAACGGCTTTGGGGTAATTTGAAAGCAATACATATCTTGCTAGAATACCTACAACATAAACAAACACTATCACTGCATGATCTTCCCAGAAATCAATGCTGTTTAGTCACCAATGTAATCAATTCCAAAACGAGTAATGCAGAAAACGCTGATATGAGTCGTAGTCAGAAAAGACTTGCAATGAACGCTAAAAACGCTTCCGGCGCTGATAAAGGTGAATCAATGAAGAAAGGAACGGGTAGAATCAAAGGCAGAAAAGCTCGAGGGAAGGCTCACTATCAAGAGTCCTCTGACACAAAGAAGACACACACTATGAATGTCGGCAAACAGCGGGGCTTAAAATCTTTCCCTCCAACCCATGCAAAGTCAAGGAACGGGAGAAGGGGAGAGTCAACGGAGGGAAAAGGAGACTCAACCCATCAACCGCTATCCAGCCAGAAAGAGAGACCCAGTCGATGAATTGCAAATGTGAAATGGGCACCCAGAGAACACGAAGCCTTTACTCATTTTAAAATGGAATTCGGAAATCGTCGAAATTTTCGAAATGCGGTACGGTAGTTCTTCAGTAAAAGTTGCGGAAATTGGTATTTGAGTCTTTGAAGAGAAAAGTACCGTCATTTCTATTTATGGGGTGCTTAAAGAGTCTGTTGAAGTGGACTTGACAAGGGGTTGCACTGGTAAGTGATCCAAATGACCACTCCTAGACCAGACCTGGTTTGAGAAAAACAGGAATTCAAGAGAATCGTGATAGTTAAAGACCAATCTGATTGCAAGTTTCAATTTTGCAGTTCAAAATTTCAGACTTGTTATCTAGTAACAGAATTCCGAATCAGAATCCCAAGGGGCTAAAAATGGCGAACGAGCCCCATTCGAAAATCAAAAAGAAGATATTCAACCGCAATCGGGAATAAAATAAAAGTTCGAAGATTTTGAAAATTTATTTAATCGAACAACAACAAACTTTTAACAAAAACAAGCCACAGATAAAAAAGATAACAAAAAAAGTGAACTAAACTGATTATCGTTTATTCATCTGTTGCTTTCTTTTCTTGACATGTTTCGGCATCTTGTCCTTCCTTTTCTCTCTTCTTTCATCTTTTATTCCTTTCTTTCGTTCTTTTCTTTCATCGGTCGTTTCTCCTCTTGGTCTTCCTGTTGGCTTTTTTGTTCCTTTCTCTTCATCATTTTCATCTTCAACCTCGTCCGATTCACTCTCGTCTTCCTCTTCAGAAGTATCACTGTTCTTTGCCTCTTTCACGACAGTTGCCTAAATAAAAATTGAGCTATCACAAATTTTAAGAGTTGAGTAATTAAACTATGTCTCATCTTTTAGATTTTTCTCAGGATAAACCGAAACAGTACCTATCATTGTTTTGAAGCCTAATATTTGTTGTTAATTCTCAGAAATCTTTACCTTAGAAACCATATGTTGAAATGGATTATTTGGCGTGACTCCCTTTTGAATGAGAAGCGCATCCCTTTCGAAGTTATCCACATGATCGAGCTTCTGTGGAATGAAGGCATTCAAGAAAACAGCATCTTCGTCGGCTCCTTCGGCACTTCTGAAAACGATGAGAGATAATTTTTATCGTTCAAACCAAACGTGGGCCTTTAAGTATATAAGTAATCTTTACCTTTCATGCTCTAAAGCAGCCTCCAAATCATTTTGTGTCACAGTTGGATCAGCAATCACCTATAATAACAAAAATTACTACATCTTAATTTCCAAATACCTCAAATAAACGTCTCAACGATAAAACGGGCACTCCTCGATCGCGGAAGAATCTAGTCACATTGTTGCAATCATGTCTAAATAAAATATTTAATCAAGCGAAACTTGGGCAAGCTATATGAACCTCAAGAAATTGAGTGCCAATGGATGATCATGCTCAACGGATTGAGAGACATCAATCACATACAGCTTGTCATCCAAAAAGAGAAGATTGTACTCGGAGAGATCCGCGTGAACAAGCTTGCACTCACGATAGATCACCCTCATCGTTCTCACCAATTGCTGATAGATTCGTTCAGCCACCTAAAACGAAAAGTTTCAATCAAACTTTGTGATTATTTCGATGGTTCGCGGAAGAAACTAGGCACATCATTATTACTCCTATTCAACTAATAATCCAAAATCAAAAACTGACCTCAACAGTGAAATCGGCATTTTTCAGAAGTGGTGCCGGCCACCCATCTCTTCCGACGAAATCCATAACCAATACGTGTCCCTTCAAAAGAATCGGTTGCGGCACAGGTACACCAGCTTCGTGCATCCTAAATAGAACAATTTAGAACAGCTTCTTTTAACATTTGAGCAAGCGTTCAACCTTTTTATCTCTTTCAACAAAACAAACAAACCTATTCAAATTGCGCATCTCCTTTTCTGCCCAAACAGCTACCATTTTGCGTGGATTGCTTTTGCAATAACCATGACGATATCTAAAAATTAGAAGTACAGTTAGGTATCAAAAAACAATAAAATACCTGAACTCCCCTTGCACATATCGATCACGATCTTTGAACGTCAAAATGCTCGTCTTGTAGATTTTTACGGCAAGCGATCGATCACCATTCTTCGCATGATAGACATTGGCTTCTTTTCCTGAATAAAACGATAGGGTAGTTCTTAACAACGTAAGCCATTAGATTAATAGATTAATATTCGAGACAAACCTGTGCTAATGCATCCGTCAATCGTAGACAGTGTACCACGTTGCAAAAGACCGAAGAGAACGAGCCGTGTCCTTGGATCGAGTACCTAAACACCAATTAATAATAAGCTATCAATTTTTGAACCAATTTAAATGAAAAGTTATCTGGAACAAGTATACCTACAGTCGAACTTCGATACAAAGAACGTTCAATATAGCGAACACTATTTTTGGTCCCAATGAAGGGCTTTACCTTAAAATGACCTTCGATAAAACGAACTTTTCAGCCGGTCCCTTGAGGTTCGTTATATCGAAATTCAACTGTATAGTATGAATTGATATCAATAATACCTGTTCAACGGTTGCTCGATCTTGTCTGTCCTTCACTCGTTTCTGTTGATCCGTTCTTCTTTTCTCCGCCTGTGCTTCAGCCGATCTCACCGCATCCATTCGTTGCTGACTATTTGGGCCAGCTTGTTGCCCTGATCGAATAGCATTTAGCTTCTTCGTAAAATCTAAAAATAGAAATTTAATCAGCAATTTTGCACCTCTCAGGCTAGTCTTCTACATCCTGTATTAGATTGGCAACTTGAAATTTGGTACACTTTTTCGTATTTCCCATAAAACATTTAATACGTCAATTGAATTATACTTCTCTAAATAAAAGTTATATATTAGCTAATTTAAGACATGTTTAAGCAAATTTGGGTAACTTTTGAAACGAATTTGAGCAGAAATTCAAGTTTTTCTGAAAATCCTTCAAATGGAACTATAACAAAAACGATTGATTATATCTAGCTGAGAATTTGGCTATTTACCTAACTTGTTATGCTCTCTTCTTTTATTGACAATAAAATGGGTTTATGTGGAAGAAAGTACTCAAATCGCTTTGTCGAGCATTCATCATTTTTGGTTCCTCAACTTCTTGCCCCTTATAAACCTACAAAACCGAAGCTTTTCTAAATTTGTCAAAAGCCTGTTTTAGAGAATAAATGGGCCTTTTTATTGGTAAAAACTGTAGATTAATTGATGTACTGGTTATTTCTAAAAAGTGCAATGAATAAGTGTACCAACTTTCAAGCTGTCAATCTAATATTTTGAACGTAAAGATGAAAGGTACCAACCCCCAGTCATATCCTCGAAATCTGCTTCATCTTCATATTCATCGCTTGTCGTCTCATCATCATTTCCTTGTTTAATATTGCGTGGACGTTGAAAGGAAAAGCACGTCATTTTCTCGAGAACTTTCGAAATCTAAAACTAATATATTTGACTAAACATCAGAGAGAAATCTAATATGTGCTGTAAAAATTTTCCACTTTAAAGCAAATGTACTTTAAAACAAAAACCCTCACCCGTTCTTCGTCTTCTTCATCATCACCCGATGAAGATGAGGCGATTTGATTGAGATGATTGGGCAGACGATTTGCTTCAACGATATTTTCCATTACCCAATGATTGCTTCACGTTTATCTGAAAAGAATAAATAGTAGATAAGGTCCAAAAAATAGTCAGAAAAGAAGAAAAGACAAATCAACAAGCCTCGTTACAAACCAAACTAATAAATGTTGTGGGAAACTTGAGCAGTTGTTGGAAGAAATTAAGCGGGGTAATTAAAGTTTATGAGCAGGGGAGGCAAAAACGCCTTTAGTAAACGCAAAACGCAAAAACGCCACAAAGTAAACGTGAAAATTGAAATTTTACCTCCAAGAAGCTCAGAAATAACAATTGGATAGAAACAAACTATTTAAAAAACTGATTGGATAGATTTTTCTTGAATCTTTCGTTTTATCGCTACAATAATCCGTAAATGCGACAATTGAACAACAAAAAAATTGAAATTGCAAATCACTATCAAAAATCCACTTATCATAAGATTTTCAAGAAATCACCAGGGTATATTAAATTTTCATTAAAACAAACTACAATTGGAAGTGAACGAAAGGAATTGGCAACAGATGTTAAAGCGTAAAAAAAACGAAAACGTTCATTCAACGCAGATGTAAGTGAGCAAAAGAAGAAAGAAACAATTCCTCCAACAATACAAAAGGCAAAAGATGAGACATGGAGGAAGAGATCTTTCGCAATGTGACAGACAGGTATATAAAGGAAAAGAGGGGAAAAGGTGGCGCTATAGGTTGCTCCTTACATCTCTCTCAGGGATCTCGTGTAGTTTACCATTGTATGTGTCTGCATCTCTTCCCATCCTCTACCCACTCTGAACTCTTCCCTTCTTTCCCAGGGTCTTCTCTGTACGCCTCTTCTTCAGTTTTTTTTCAACAATTGATTTGCCTAGCATTTCTTCTCCACAAATCAAGATAAGAGAAAATAATTTTCCAACTGTCACCCGCTTAACAACCAACCGTTTCCACGATTTCTAGAACCCAATGACCGATGAGGTTTGTTTGAAAATGATCAATTTAAAACTATACAAACTATTAAGCTAATATTACTTGCTTTTCTGGTCACTTGCTGATACACCTTTTGAATACATTGTAGTATTGTACATTGTAATATTGTACATTGTAGTAAAACGACGAAATATCCTCGAAAAACGTGACCAGTTCATATTGCAAGATGTGAATAATAGAATAGAAAGCGTAGTTCGAATAGAATCAAGCTAATCAACACTTTTAGGAACCAATGGATGGAATTGTAGTAAAAATGGAGGATCCGCTCTCCGTGAATCCACTTTCAGTCGGGAGTTCTAGAGGAGAAGAGGCTCAGGTGGGTGAATAGGTGAAAAATAGATAAAAAACATCGGAAATCTCAAAGATATCCAATCTACTTTACCAGCAATCAAAACTGAATGTGAATTTCTTTGTTTAGGTATGTGCAATCTGCGGAGACAAGGCCACTGGGAAGCATTACGGGGCAATCTCGTGTGATGGATGCAAAGGTGCTCATTTACCACCATTTACAACCACCCCACTCCCTCCGATATCCTTAAAGTGGAGACTTTTAGGATTCTTTCGACGAACTGTTCGAAAACGACACAATTATGTCTGCAGATATAGTCACACCTGCAAAGTGGATAAAGGTGAGGGAAATGAAAAAAAGAAAAATCATTTTTCGTTTCAGATCATCGAAATACATGTCGAAGGTGTCGCTTCGATGTTTGCATGAAAATGGGGATGAGAAAAGAAGCTGTACAGGTGGGGAGTTAAACCGAAGTTGATGCAGAATAGAGTCACTGGACTGAATTCACATTTCTGGAATAGATGCAGACTATTCTAACAGTTTCAGGCTGAAAGAGATCGAATCGCTAAACCATCTCCAGCAGCCACTGTTGCAGAGGAACCACTTTTGGAGGAACTTCTTCAAGCTGAGGCTGCAGTCAGACAACTTCGGTCATCCGTCATTACAAGGTAATAGAAGAAGTTTATATGTTGTCTGATTCTGAAACCTTTAATGAATAATAATGTTTTTGCATTAAATGTTTAAATAAGAAAAATGTTTTTGCATTAAATTTCACTAAATTACTAAACAATTATAGTTTTTTGCTTTAAAAATGAAAAAAGATGCATTTTTTGTAATGTTTTTGATAGGCTATTGTTTGAAATTTGATTTATAAATAAAAAGAGCGTAATTTCTATAGTTTTTAAGCTAAATCTTCCGTTAAGGTACTAAAGTGCTGAACAAAACTAGAATTGTGTTTGATTTAACTAGATTTGATCGAAAAATTTAATAAAATTCTTTGTGAAATGACTTTTTAGGTAAAAAGCGGTTTCGAAGACGAAAGGTTTCAAAATCGGACGGATATACTGTTATTCAAATGCTTGAAAGTCTTAAAAATCCCCATCTTTCAGAACCTCCGATGCTAGACATGGGGAAGCTACTACAATTGATGTCACCGACAGGTAGTTTACTACAAAACTTTGAGCTATATTCATCAATACTTAAACAAAACAAAAAAACAACTTAAACATCAACACTTGTCATATTTTATTTAGTATGCATCAACAATTAGTCTTGATGGTTGAATGGGCAAAACGGCTGGCCTCATTTGCAAAATTACCAATGTCGGCTCAAGTGGGACTCTTGCGGTGAGTACTCGATCATTTAAACTAAGCTCTAGGCAATTTATAATTTCACTTCGAAATCCATTTCTTCAGCCATTTCTCGGCTCAACATCTTGTTATGTGCGCAGCTTTTCGGTCAATACCCCTCGATGATGCGGTTTGGTTGACAAATGAGACGAGATTGCACAAAAACTCGAAAGATGTCCCCGATATGAAGTCAGTTAAAAAAAATGCCGAAATCTTTGCCCAATTCTAATCTTTTAGTCGGGTCGCCGCTCGGATTGTCGATCAGTTGACAGTGCCGATGAGACGATTAGAGATGAATGAAATCGAGTACTGTGCATTGAAGGCTGTAGCATTTTTCGATCCAAGTGAGTTGAAAATAAAGGAAACGCTAAATCAGTCCAATAAATTGTTGAACTTTTAGTCGCAAAGGGTGTTGATGATTCGTGTGGTGATGTGGATCTAACAAGACAACAGGTTTGTAAATGGAAATACCGTAAATACTCTAATAGAACACCATAATGACGAGCGTACAGTCGCCTAGTCTAACTTTGAACATCCCGTTCTCTGCGTTGCTTTATGCTACATGGTTAAGCTAAGTTTATACAGCACGTACAAAAAGATTCGAAGATAATGAAGTGGAAGGGAGCCGAAAGGAACGAAACAAAACCATTTTAGAAATTTAAACAGGAAACATGAGCGGAACAATATCAAAAGGGGAGAACGAACGAGGGGAAAGGGAGTACTTTAAAAACATAACAGAACAGATCATAACAGCATACACGTTACAAGAACGTAACAGATTTTACGAAGGGGGAAGAAAATTTAGCGAGACTCGGCATAAAAGCCGGACAAATTTTCCGATTCCACCATGGAATAAAGGAAAAAACAATGATTTGAGTGAGAAAAGCTGTGAAAGTTAATAATTTCCATCAAAAAGCGCTAAACTATGGCAAATCTTTGTGCTTTTTTGCGTAATAGCCACTTCTAGACCTGCTCTATGCGTAAAAAATAAAACAGAGTCAAAAACAAGAACAAAAGCATAAAAAACATGCAAAATTATGATGATAGTAGTGCGAAAAATTCGGCGCTAAGATGAGGGGCGTTAATTTGGGCAAATGAAAAGAATGGGAAAAGAGAAATTTATTGCAGGATACGGTAGCGCATCCACGCTTTAGAAAGCGCGCCGCTTCCGCACCAGTCCCTTTAAACCGCACGTAATTAGGATTCTAACTAAATCTTTTGTCAGGTTTTGGATGCTTTTGAGCGCCATGTTCGTTTTGTGTCTCCATTACGTGAGAATCCCCGTCGTTTCTCTCAATTTCTTCTCCTCCTTCCACCAATTCTTGGAATCGCCCGTGATCTCATCGAAGACGTTCAATTGGCTAAACTTTTCGGTCTAGCCTCAATCGATCGGTGAGTTCAAATTTGTTTTTTTGCTGAAATGAATTCATTTCAGACTGATGGCCGAGCTGATGTTACCGGGTGAATCGGTGCATGAAGATGGGAAAAATGGTGTTGATGGATCACCGATGAATGGCGGAATTGGAGCAGCTTCTCTCAACAATTTTTCCACCAATCATCCATCCCAACCTAGTTATCATTGTCACTCAAGTGAATCGCCGAATTAAATGGTCATTTGATTTACTTTTTTTTTGATACATAAGCTCTATACTAGTAGAAATTGACTGTGCTAAAGATGTAAACTCATTTTTTCTAACAATTTTGGGGGTGGGACAAATGCGACCTTTTTTTTGCGCACCTGGACATTTGCGCACCTTTTTTTTGCTGGAAAAGGCCTTAGGCAAGGCCGTAGAGCTTCGAAAATATTTCCATATAGGGGAATCGTATGCGTAGATTCCGAATTTCGACAAATCAGACCTCGCTGACACGTCAAATTTGGGCTAAAAGGCAAAAACTACGCAACTTAACGCTTTTCCGCAGTTTTTGCCTTTTAGCCCAAATTTGACATGTCAGCGAGGTCTGATTTGTCGAAATTCGGAATCTACGCATACGATTCCCTTCTATGAAAACATTTTTGAAGCTCTACGACCTTTCCTAAGGCCTTTTCCAGCAAAAAAAAGGTGCGCAAATGTCCAGGTGCGCAAAAAAAGGTCGCATTTATCCCACCCCCTTAATTTCGTAAAGAAAAGGAAGTAATTGATTACTTGGTGTTGACTCCTTTTAAAGATATTCAGCTGTTTAACAGATTTAGTGGGAAATCCCTTTAAATATAAAGATATTCAGCTGTTTAACAGATTTGGTGGCAAATTCCCATCTAATGTAAAGGTATTCAATTTACTCGACGTGTAAAGAGGCTCACTCGTAGTTACTCGACCAAAAACGTCAATTAATCGAGCAAAAATTAGTCGATTTTACTCAAGTAATTACTTGCTCGCGAGAAACACACTCTACTATAGCTAAAATAGCCAAAATGTTTGCCAAATCTTCTTCTTTTTGTGATTTTTTTGCCCAATTCATTGCCATTTCTCGATTCGCTTTTCCTTTAATGTGCCATTTAACAAATTCAAACTCTAAATTGATTGTTTTTTCTTGATCTGATCTGATTGTTTCTTTTCAATCAATTCCAGATTCCCAAAATGATTCCCCAAATGATTCCCCAAATGATTCCCCATTGTGATTACGAGTATTTCTCTTACATAAACTTTTGTGATAAAGAATCCTTGTAAAATAGATATTGATTTTAATGTTTATTCTCTATTTTACACTAAAAAACGACCCGTATATTAAGAAGTCACACGAAATTTACATAATTTACATAATTTATATAATTATATGATAAAAATGCGACTTCGAATCGACCGGAGACCCGACTTTGGTATTGGAGGAAGTTGAAAATCATTAAAATTAATTGTAAATGATTGTAAATGATTGAAAAACATGGAAAATCATGAAAAATCATGGAAATGAAGAAAAATAGCTACCTTAAAAGGAAAAATATCAAAATAACTAATGAAAAAGGAAAGAATATTCTTGCAGAAGAAGATTCTAATGGCATTTCGATGACTTCTAATTGATTGAGCTGTGGATCTGATGGATCGATTTCTTCAATTGCGGGAATAATCACCGTTTCGGCCACACCGACACCTCTGAAATTTTCGAATTTCTTTTGTACAAATCTTTTTTACAAATCACAAACCGATTTGTGATTGGTTGAATCTCAACATGATATTCTTTTGATGGAATCACTCCATCAAAGCGCGTTCTTCTCGTTTGTGGCGGAAGAATTGAGATATTGTGGTCATCACGGAGTGCCGATGAGAGAACAAGTCTAAAGGGAAATCATGGTTTCTAAGATAATAGAAAATTGTTTCTATTAGACCGGACTATAGATTTTCTATTAGACTGGTCTCTTGACCGTCTATTAGACTGGCCTCTTGGCAATACTTTGTTCTTTCGAAATCATTGTTTATGCTAATTGTTTCTATGTTTCGAGTTGCTATTGCTCTGCTGTTGCTATTGTTTACATCGAAAAAGTCGACTTATCAGTCTTCTTTTAAAACATTTCATACGCCTCCTTTCAAAACATCCAATGCTTCTTCTTCTATTTTATTCAAAGACTACTCCAGATCTTCCACCAGGACATTTAAGATATCTAAGATATTCAGTTTAATCGCCCGGATTACGGGATTCAGTCTAGAGTAGGATATTCAGTCTAGATTAGCTAGGTTACGGTATTTAAACTAGATTAAGGTATTCAGTCTAGAATAGGATATTCAGTTTCGCTTAAATTTAAGACGTTATGTTGTACGAGTTTAAAAAAGATCTTCGTTGTCGGTGGCCCAGAATAACGTGTATGGTTGTATATTGAAAACGTGTATGGCAATGTTGCTTGTATGGCAACTCAAAACACAATTCAACGTTGGTTTGCCAAGCTCAGAAATGATGAGAATTCCCTTGAAGACAAAGAACGTGCGAGAAGAGTTTCTCAATTGAAAAATGAAGAGATACTTCAAAAAATCCAAGACAATCCTCGGGTTTCTATTCAACGGATGCGATTGGGCACTAACATTCAACAATTGAAAGACACCAACTGGGTTTGAAGGCAATGGGTTTGGTTTGGTTTGGTCAATGGATACCTTATACCCTTACTGACCCCATGAAAGGGCACAGGTCATCAATTTCAGCTGCGCTTCTTTCGCGCGCTTCTTAAGCCCGCGCTTCTTAAGCCCGCGCTTCTTAAGCCCGCGCTTCTTAAGCCCGCGCTTCTTAAGCCCGCGCTTCTTAAGCCCGCGCTTCTTAAGCCCGCGCTTCTTAAGCCCGCGCTTCTTAAGCCCGCGCTTCTTAAGCCCGCGCTTCTTAAGCCCGCGCTTCTTAAGCCCGCGCGAAAGAAGCGCAGGAAGTTATTAACAATAGAAAGAAATTGTTCTTATTATAACAATAGAAACAATGGGTTTCTATTGTTTCAAGCACTATTTTCTTTGAACTTACCGATATCCAATAATTGTATCCCTTTCTCCGGCAATTAATCGATCCCAATTGCATTCAATCGACGCGAAATCCCAAGCACATCTGAAAATTTGTTTGAATCATTGAATTGCTTAAATATTCATTTAGTCTTTAATAGTTATTTCAAACCTTACCGTAGTTTTGTTCTTTCAAAATCACACGGAGCTTTCCCAGTTGTCGGTGTCTCTTCACAGGATCTCGTTTCAAATGAACCGATCACTCCGGGCTAAACTCTTGTAACGTTGAGGCTTGAATTTTTTGATTTTTTTAACTATTTTAGAGCTATTTTCCACTTTTCAATGTGTTGTTTTATGTTTAATTTATCAAAAAAAACTATTTCTCAACAACCAAAAGTACAGGGTGACCAGAAATAACCCGCTCTCTTTTTCTAGACTCATATTTCTATTATTTGTAGACCAAAACGATTAATTTAGTTTTTTAAATGAAAACTCATCTCGTTTTCTGTATATTTTCAAGATTTCATGACTATAGCATTGATAGATAATTTTTTATGAGCGCTTAAAAATAGCTGGTCAAAAAATAACGAACCGCAACTCAAATTTAGGGGTTTCTTTGATCTTATAGAAAATATTAAAGCATTTAATGTTTTTTTCGATTTAATCTATTTAAACATAACAAAATCTTAGCTTTTCGAAAAAAAATGCAAAGAAAAAAATGATTTTTTGAGGTTTTTTCAAAAATCCAAAATCGAATCGTTGTTTTTTTGACAAACCATTTTTAAGCGATCATTAAAAATTATCTATCAATGCTATAGTCATGAAATCTTGAATATATACAGAAAAAGAGATGAATTTTCGTTTAAAAAAGAAACTAATCGTCTTTCTTCTACAAATAACACAAACTTGAGCTTAGAACAAACGAGCGAGCTTAGAACGAGCGAACTTTCTGGTCGCTCTGTCGAAACAATAATTCTAATGGTTCAAACGATAGGGAAAACGAGGCTACTCTCTTTTGAAAGACTTTGAAAAAGACAATCATCTTCATCTGAGTGAACAAAAAAGACAATCATCTTCATCTTCTTTAAAATTCCAAACCTTTTCTTGATCATCGACAAAAATTTGAACCAAATACGTGCATTGGAAATCCAAATTTTGAAGAGAAATCGAACAATCTTGAGTTTTCTCTTCATTCTTTTTATTTAATGAATGTCCATTTGCACATCTAAAGTGAATCTTTCTTTTAAAAAATCATTTTAACAAACTTTTCCGGTGAATACTTGACATTGAAAGTTCTCCTTTTTGGCCCACAAATTCTCGAATTCAGCCAATTAATGGGGATGATGAGAGAGTCGGTAAAATGTGGAGTCTAAAGAATAATATTGATTGAGATTGACGAAGATTGACATGTTTTGTTATTTTATTGATGTTTGCCGTTTTCTTGCTATTGCCGTTTACTTGCTATTGCCATTTTCTTCCTATTGCCATTTTCTTCCTATTGCCATTTTCTTCCTATTTCCATTTTCTTCCTATTACCATTTTCTTCCTATTGCCATTTCTTTGCCATTACCATTTTCTTAACGTTTCTCTCACCTCAACATGTAATCGATCGACTTCCTCAACTTTTCCAGGAGCTCCAGTGGGTACATTTGGCAATGGGTTCTCATTTTTTTCCAATTTATCCAATTCATCCAATTCATCGAATCCTTTCGTTTTCACAAATGTCACCGCTTTTTCTCCGTTCAATTGTCCTTCGGCTGAGTCAGCCATTGCTTGAATTTCAATAAGATAAACAGTTTTCGAATCGAGTCTCTCCAAGAATGTTTGGGTTGAATGTGATGGAACGATGACTGTTGTTCGATCTCTTTCCACAATTGTCCATTCTTCCTGCAATGTATAACATTTAAACAAAGATTAAGGAATCAAATTTAGAGAGATAAGGAACCAAATTTAGAAATAAGGAACCAAATTTAGAGAGAAAAGGAACCAAACTCACTTCATCAACATCTCTTTTCTCATGTTTATCCGTGCTCGCTTGTCGTCGAAGCATTTCCTCATAAGATTTGAGCTCTTGATCATTCGAGATAGCCCATGATACCTAAAATTTCGTTTTCTAATAAATGTTTACTTCTATCTTACTTGGTATCCAGTTATTGGCAAATCAGATAATGGTTGTGTCCATGAAATCGATTGTCTCCACTGTTCTCCATCTAATTTTGCTTCTCCTAGAGATAATTCTCGAGGTGGACCTGGAGCTCGAGCTTCTAAAAGGATAGAATCGATTTTAAAAGTTGAAAACCTATCTTTTTCTTGAAAACCTATCTTTTTCTTGAAAATCTATCGTTTTCTTGAAAACCATCTTTACAAATTCCCCACCTTTGCTCAATTTGAATGGCTGACTCGGCTCGGAAAAGCCGTGAGTTCCAAAGCGATTCACGGCGGCGACACGGAATTGATAGAATCTTCCAGGAGAAAGAAGATGCTTCAAAATTGCGTAGTCTTTATTTTTCTAAAGAAAAGATCGATTTTGATCTTCTTATCTTTTCATACCAATGCAACAGTTTGCCAATTTGTCATCGCTTCAGGATGCAATCCCCATCTCCACTCAATCACATAAAGATCACTCAAATCTTGGCCACCTTTTGACTCCCATCGAACGACTGCAGATCTAAAATTGTACCAATTGTATAGTATTACAAGAATTGGCATTTAATAAGATTATATTTAATAAGATTACTAGATAATATTTACAAGGATTGCAAGGATTGCAAGGATTACAATTATTACTTACTATACTACTGTTAATACTCTACTAGAGGATTAACAGTACTAGAGGATTAACAGTACTAGAGATTAACAGTACTAGAGGATTAACAGTACTAGAGGATTAACAGTACTAGATATCAACAGTACTAGAGTATTAACAGTACTAGAGAATTAACAGTACTAGAGGATTAACAGTACTAGAGTATTAACAATACTAGAGGATTAACAGTACTAGAGGATTAAACAGTACTAGAGTATCCAGTACTAGAAGATTAACAGTACTAGTGGATTAACAGTACTAGAGAATTAACAATACTAGAGGATTAACAGTACTAGAGGATTAACAGTACTAGAGAATTAACAGTACTAGAGGATTAACAGTACTAGAGGATTAACAATACTAGAGGATTAACAGTACTAGAGGATTAAACAGTACTAGAGTATCCAGTACTAGAAGATTAACAGTACTAGTGGATTAACAGTACTAGAGAATTAACAATACTAGAGGATTAACAGTACTAGAGGATTAACAGTACTAGAGGATTAAACAGTACTAGAGTATCCAGTACTAGAAGATTAACAGTACTAGTGGATTAACAGTACTAGAGAATTAACAATACTAGAGGATTAACAGTACTAGAGGATTAACAGTACTAGAGAATTAACAGTACTAGAGGATTAACAGTACTAGAGTATCAACAGTACTTACTATAGTTGTACTCGTCCCTTCAAACCAGTACCAGTCCAAACCTTTTTCTTTTCCTTTCTTGTACAGTGATTGTTGATGGAAGTGGAGGGATTGTGAAAAGAGATTTTCTTTTAAATGTTGTTGATGATTTGACAGGTTGTAAACATCTCCTTGAACATCCCCATGCACAACATTTCGATGTTTCCAAACAATCTCCATCCAAACGACATTCCGCTGTGCATTCCTGAAGATAAATGAGACTCAAAAACGCTTCTAAAGCTACACAAAAGCGTTTTAGTCTGTTTAAAACGTTTTAGTTCGTTTTTTTACGTGATAAAATGATATCACTTACATAATTTGAGACATTGTTCACCACTGGACAAGCCCCGGGTTTCTCGGAGAAAATCTCATGCAAGAAATCGCAAGATCTTTCACAACTGCTCACATCAAATGATTCCTGAAGAAAATTGATGAGATAAATATAGAATAGATATGCCTACCGTAAATACTGTAATAGTACCCCACCCCCATAATGACGGTGCGGAGTATTGTGTAGTCTAACTTTGAACGAGTTTTTCTCGACACTGGTTTATGCTACAATGCTCGTTTAGGTATCGAAAAATCGCTGAAATTCAGGGCTATTTTTTTATGCCGCTCGATCCCAATAATGCCGCTCGGAGCATCGCGTAGTCTAACTACTTTAAATGCATTTTTCTCGCCACCCGTTTACGCTACAGTGTTCCTTTAAGTATTAAATGAAAGCTGAAATTCAGGGCTATTTTTTGATACCAAAGCGCGCATTGTAGCATAAACCAGTGTCGAGAAAAACTCGTTCAAATTTAGACTACGCAATACTCCACACCGTCATTATGGGGGTGGGGTACTATTATAGTATTTATGGCATCCACTTTGGATTACTGTAAACATTCTAATAAAAGAGCTAGCTCTTCTATTTTTCTCATTATTTCTCTAAAATTCTTTTTCGTGTCCTAGCAGTATACTCAAACTTTCAAAAAGCTCAAAAATGGGGTTTTTTTGTTGGATTTTCATTCAGTTTTCGACGTCATTAAGCTTTTTTTTTGGAGTCTATTGCAATAACGATATCTTTGCTATGTATGTTTTGTTTAAAATTCCTTACCAAGCAAGCATTTTGTCCACACTTTCCAGTATCTGATAGGGTTTCTCGACATGGAGTCGTACACTGAAAATTCTAGTGTTTATTTCATTTGTTTATTCACGACTTTTCTCAAATTTCTGTTTCCTGTTTCTTGAAATTTTGCTATTTTGACTTGCACATTTTCAAAATTTTGCTATTTTGCCTTACAAACATTTCACAATAAACCGGAAATGAGTACTTGAGAGGAATAAAAAGGGGTTTAGTACTGAGTAGACATGGAAAATAGACTGGAAAATAGGTTTAGACATGGAAAATAGACTCAAATCTAATTCCACCCTCGTTTTTTCAGTCTCTTGACCGATTTTTCTGAAATTTTGTTTACAAATAGGAATTGCTTGCTGGAAAATAGGGATTGCTTGCTTGCAAGGCTCTGCTTGTAGCTGGCTCTGCTTGTAGCTGGCTCTGCTTGTAGTTGGCTCTGCTTGTAGTTGGCTCTGCTTGTAGTTGGCTCTGCTTGTAAATAAAATGGCTCTGCTTGTAGATAAAATTACAGAGCAATCGGCAATACAGAGCAAGCAAGAGACTGAGGAAACGAAGGTGGAATTAGGTTCCGGTTGGAATGTCTAGTACAAAGTTGAAAATGAAATGACTAAAGAGGAAAGGAGAAAGCTTTTCTTTATCAGAAAGCTTTTGTTTATCAGAAGGTTTACAGTTTTCTTTTCAATTTACAGAAAGTTTACAGTTTTGTTTACAGATTAAAGAACAAATAACTCGATCTCCTTTTATTGATCCCTCATCTTGATCAATTGTCGAATGCCAATTCTTTAACCAATTCTTTAACCAATTCTTTAACCAATTCTTTAGCCAACTCTCATTCTTCAGGTCAACCAATTCCTTTCTTTAATAATGGGTTTCTTTGTTTTCTGAATCTTTTTCTAGGTAAATATGAAGGAAAGACTAAGTTCTAAGTTCTTCTATAAATGTGCATTCGGGTGGAAGGCACCTTTTAGCCATTCAGATATTGACTGAAAGAGAAGAGTCATAAGAATGGAGTCTTGTGTGCACAAGGCATAAGAATGGAGGGGATATCCTCAATGGATGATCACTGTTTGGTTGAAGGTAAGGAAATCCGTTTCTTCGAAGAGAACAAGGCCATCTCTTTCCAGCCACAATCAACAGCTATTTGTGGATTGTGGATCAACAGTTATTTGTGGTCGAAGAAAAGAACAGGTGGAAAAGAAAAAAATTGAGAAAACTGTAGTTGATTCCTAGTCTAGTTCTGGTCCTTCATTTCCTTCAAAAAGACCGCTGAGCAATTCCTATCCTCTTTGCTCTTTAAACTGACCGCTGAGCAATTCCTATCCTCTTTGCATATCGTCAAAATATGATGTTTCAGATTTCGTCTCATCTCGGCGTTTTCCTGAAATTTCGAATTTACAAAAGGTTTCTATCAAAATTTCTGTCAATTTCTGTCAATTCGTAGCTTTAATGATCTCTTTACAATTTGATACTTCAACTGTGATACAAACAATAAACTCTTTAAGCTCTTAAGCTTTAAGCTCTTAGGCTTTAAGCTGTTAGGCTTTATTCAATCAATTGAGCACATTGTTAAACCTTTGATTGAATTGATTGATTGAATTAGATTGACTTGAAGATTCAATTAATTGAGAACAATTCATTCAATCATTTATGTAAAAAGGTGAGGAAAAACACTTGAGATAAGTTGATTGAATGAATGAATTACATTGAAATGATTGTCTAATACAAGTGTTCATTTGAGTGACGCAATCTCCCCATTCACTTCATTCGCAATTCATCAGGTAGGTGCTAATAATGGGTGATGAGGTCAACTTAAGACCCAAGTTTTACAAAAAAGCTAGTAAGTACACGGTTTGGCTTTTTGCTAGAGTTTGTTCCTGGTTAAACAATCTACTATCTATAAAAGAGCTGTGCCTGGTGTCTGTTTGTCTGTCTATCTGTCTGTCTATCTGCATGTCTGTCCGTCTATCTATCTGTCTGTCTGTCTGTCTGTTTTAGAAAACGCATTAACTGAGTGGAAATACTCTAGTTTTTACATACATTTTCCTTTTCTTGTCTTTCCTTTTCTTGTCTTTTCTTTTTTCTCTTTCCTTTCTTGTCTTTCCTTTTCTTGTCTTTCCTTTTCTTGTCTTTCTTTTCAGGTACCCAATCTCTGTATTGACCATTGTGTAACACTGATTGGCACAGGTCATTTATGGAAATAAAAGTGAAAAAGGAAATGGTTGAATATCTATTGATAGAGAGAATATCAATGTTTCCATTGTTGAGTCATTCATCGGGCATGTTTCGTAACAATAGATCAATTGGTACGGTCATTCACTCGTTCGGTCAATAGAGATACTGTCATTCACTCATTCAACAAAAAGAAGGAGAATGGTAGTATTGCTGAAGTTGGAGTCAAGGTCCTTTTGGGGCTGGTTCTGGGCTGGTTGGCTTTTGGAGCTGGTTCTGGTTGGCTTTTGGGGCTGGTTCTGGTTGGCTTTTGGGGCTGGTTCTGGTTGGCTTTTGGGGCTGGTTCTGGTTGGCTTTTGGAGCTGGTTCTGGTTGGCTTTTGGGGCTGGTTCTGGTTGGCTTTTGGAGCTGGTTCTGGTTGACGCCGGACTCGAATCTCTGGTTTACCAAGGCGACCAAAGAAAAACCTGGTTTACCGGACGAATGCTCTACCAATGAGCTACACAGACAAGATCCGATTGCCGCCAGTATCCGATTGCCATTCAACTCCAGTTGAATCTACTCTTACAAAGTCACTAGAACAAGTCAAGTAGAGAATTGTACAGAGTACAGAATTGTACACTAGAACTGAGAGTACAGACCTGATCTCATCATCAGGCTGCTTAAAGTGTACGTGAAGTTATGAGAAGATACACCCTCTTTCTAGCAAATTACTTTCAAATTCAACTTTCTCATACCCTTTCCTCCGTCCTTTTACGTAAACTTTTCTAACTTATCGGCTTCTTTTCTATCCGATCACTTATTCATCAATGACTGTGCATGGAAAACGTTGATCGATGTCTATCTGTGCATGGAAAACACTTGATTCATTGCAAAAGAGAAGTGTCATGAGAGAATCTTTCAAATGTAAAGAAAGATCCCATCCAGATGTCCAATCTTTGCCTCTTTTCCTCTTTTTTAATGGATTCATTTCCCCACTTGATATCACTTTTGAGCCGAAGCAAACATTGGACCCATTTTCGGCAATATTTCGGGTTTAGATTGGTTTCATTTTTCGGATTCAAGTGGAGAGTAGATATGGAAAGGATTTGAAGCTGTTGAAAAGGATTTGAAGCTGTTGAAAAGGATTTGAAGCTTGAGTTGAAAAGGATTTGAGCTTGAGTTGAAAAGGATTTGAAGCTTAAGTTGAAAAGGATTGGAAGCTTGAGTTAAAAAGGATTCGAAGCTTTAGCTTCTCAAATGAAAGCTGGGAAATTGAGTCGGTAATGTGAAAGCTAAAGCTTTGATCTGAAAGCTAGAGCTTCGATCTGAAAGCTAGAGCTTCGATCTGAAAGCTAGAGCTTCGATCTGAACGCTAAAGCTTCGATCTTAAAGCTAAAGCGTTGATCTGAAAGTTAAAGCGTTGATCTGAAAGCTAAAACGACTCACGATCCCTAAACATCTTCTCAACATCTTCTAAACATCTTCTAAACATCTTCTAAACAGCATCCTCTAACCGATTCCCTTTTCTTGTCCATGTGTGGGTAATTGTGTCTATTAGTGTTCCCCCTAGAGACAAGTCTTCTCGAAAAGATAGGATCCAAAGTGAAAAGCGCAAACGCTTCTCAATTCTCTCTTTTTTCTTTTCACTCTATCGCAATTTGCATACGATGTCCCCTTTCTTTGCCACTCTCACAAAAAGTCTCTAATAAGGATGCCACTTTTCATGGTGGAACGCTTGAAAATAATTGCTATCGTATGTTTGAGATAGAATCTAAAATCTAATACAATCTAAAATCTAATACAATCTACAATCTAAATCCAATCCAAAACCTAAATCCAATGTCTATCACTACAGTAATCCAATTCACAGACTGTAAAGCCTTCTTTTGCTTTCAAAAATTGCTTATCTCCCTCAAAAATCACCCCAAACCGTTTTTGCTGCTGTTTTTGACCCAAAAAAGAACATCTGTGACTCTTTTGTGGTTAGATGAATGATCATTTTTGACAGAAAACCCAATGAGGCGTGTTTCCTCTCTTTTTTTGATAGAGATCGCATCCCTTTTTTGTCCTCCGATCAGCCTGTCCCTTTTTTTTGTGACACCCTCACTGATGCTCTCATGGGAAAAACCAGCTGGAAGGATTTAAATCCGAAAAAGTGTTTAGAAAAGAGATTAAGTTGTTAAAAAAGTTAATTAAGTTGTTAAAAAACAGAAGGTAGCCAGGCTTTTCTCAAAAAACCAGTAACCAGGTTTTTGAATGTGAGTTCTTTGAATGTGAGTTCATAATTGTGAATTAACGATGGATTTGAGTTACCTAAACGGTGGAAAAAAACGGTGGAAATTACACTACTGGACAATGAAATATCATATTTGAAAAACGATCGTCACTTTCGCGCGTCTGTAACTCCCTTGTCTTTGAGTTTAAACTATTAGTGTTATACATTTTCTGAAAGCCCTTTTCAAGGGCTACATAATGGTAATATTAATATTTAGAAATACAGTAAAGACAAGGGAGTTACAGACGCGCGAAAGCGACGATCTTTTTTCAAATATGATATTTCATTGTCCAGTAGTGTACCTAACCTCGAAAAAGTCCAAGTACAAATTTTCGTGTTAATCCGGGTAAAATCGTTCTAATCTCAGAGCAAAACATCAAAAAAATATCATGAAATGTGTTAAGCACCGTCGAAATCTTTGATCAATTGCCGAATTCCTTCAAACGATTCCTTTAAACGATCCGATTCCTTCAAACGATCCGAAATTTGTTAATCCCATTTTGAGTGGGGTACTTGAGTAAAATGAATGAAAATGATGGATGAGTGATGGGAAAAGAAATGAAAAGAAATGAAAGAAAGAAAAGAAATAAAAGAAATGAAAAGAAATCCCTAAGTGAACAAAAGGTGTGCCGATTGTCGAGAGCAAATAAGCCTTTTTGGATGAATGAAAAGATTAGCATATTGGGCACATTTGGTAAAAAGGAGGGTAGGCAAGGGAAACTGTACAAGGAAAGGACACAGCAAACCCTTGGGTATCTAGCGCACTTCATGAAAACTACTGTAATATTTTGCATACTGTACAGGGTGGCAAACCAATATATTTCTGGTGCGGAAAGGCATCAATGGTGACAGAAAGATAGGCGACGTCGAATGCACCCATTTTGAAGAGATTTCTTTAAAGAATCAATGGTTGATCGATGATTGGATCAATGATCAATGAGATTTAGAGCATGTCCTGGCCTCTAGGACACTCCAAAAACTGAAATCCAATCCCTTTGAACGTTTTGAGGTTTTTGAGGCTAATTTTCGTTGAGAACGGACCATTTGTGGCGTAGGCTTTCGCGCACTTTCTTCACCGTCTCCTTTGTTGTCATTGTCATCCTTGGGCCTTATCCTGGTCGATCGGAATTCGATCGGAATTCGATCAGAATCGGTCGAACGTTCCCAAGACTTTATAGCGTTGAATTGTCTTTGAAACAACAGAGCTACCATCAATCGAATGGCGATGCTTTTCTGCCTCATTTCCCATTTTTAGAAGTTGATGATCATTGATGGAGTACAGAGAATAAATCCTTGTGCTTTCTGGAGTACAGGGAACAAATCCCTGTGCTTTCTGGAGCAGGGATCAAATCCCTGTACTTTCTGGAGCACAGGGAGAAAATCCCTGTACTTTCTGGAGCACAGGGAACAAATCCTTATGCTTTCTGAAGCACAGGGAACAAATCCCTGTACTTTCTGGAGTACAGGGAACAAATCCCTGTGCTCCGATTTCTTTGCCATTCTGAAATTTCAAAAATAAAAGCAAATAAGATGTTGCCAAAGTCTTAATTGACAAGAAAAACAGAAAAAAACTGCCAAAAAAAACCAGCTTTCAAGACAAAATGAGAGAAAATTCTGACTAAATGACCAGACGTCCTTTTTTGAGCCCGACATTGTTTAAGGTACGGTATTTTTGGTGTCTTTTCGGTGGTCAGTGGTCAGTCAGATCAGTCTTTTTTTGTCTTAATCGACTCTTTTTTTGACCTGAGAGAACCTTTTTTGGCCTTTTTGAATGAAGAAAAAGTCATCAAAGTATAGATATCTTGACAACAGTATTCTTCTATTCTAACCAGCCATCTGTTGCCATATTTCTCCTCTCACTTCCATCTAGCCGACCACCATTTTTGTGCTGGGATTAATTGGGGGGCTAGACTACCTGCTCAAAAAAACCATCATTGACC